GTGATGAGGAGTGAACGGCCGATGTGGTAAGTCGGCTTCGGGGCAGGTAAGACATGATCCTCGTGCCCGTTGAAGTTCTCTGCCGTCGAGTAGTAGTAACGAGTCCTTGTCAAGGACTCCTGCTCTTATTGTGTTGTTTAACACAGTGTTGCTTGGGTGTCCCATGCGTGCGTGCCAGATGTCTTCGGAGGCGCGGTGTCCGGGTGAGCGTCGATACGCGTCGGAGTTGGAGTAGAAGCTGGCGGTGAAGTTTGCGCTTCTATGGACTTCCCGTTGAGCCGGATTCAGCTGCTGTGCGGGTGTTGGTGGTGCTTCGTCAACGAGGAGTGGTGTCGTTGTTGCTGCTACTGTTGTTGTTCCTGCTACTGCCGATGATGTCTCTGCTGCTGCCGATGATGTCTCTGCTGCTGCCGATGTTGTCTCTGCTGCTGCCGATGTTGTCTCTGCTGCTGCCGATGTTGTCTCTGCTGCTGCCGATGTTGTCTCTGCTGCTGTCGATGTTGTCTCTGTTGCTGCCGATGTTGTCTCTGCTGCTGCCGAATGTTGTATTGTTACTAACGCACGTGTTCGTTCTGCTTCAGGAATGGTATGTGAATACCAAAAGCCTTACGGACTAAAGTCGGGGTCGAGATCCGGCGGGTGCGTCCAAGATGTGAAGGTGACGATCCCGTCACTGTCTGCGGTGCCCAGGTCTGGGATGAAATCGAGAACGAAGACATTGTTCTTCAGGACCGCCTTTCCGATGTAGAGGCCGCCCTTCCCGTGGTACAGCTTGAACTCCTGGGTGGTACTGTCGGCTTCCAGATGTATGCCTTTCGCCATCAACTGACTGACGCTCAGCAAGTTGTAGCCAAGTCCTTCTGCTATTAGGACTTTGGACATTTGCAGTATGACATTCGTCTCTCGTGACTGAAGTTGCACTACTCCTTGTCGTCGTGTGCGCAGGTTCTGATTATTGGCGACAGTGATGACGACTTCTCGTTGAAGTTGGTGCTCGCGTTGAACGAAACGTCCTGAAGAGCACATATGTTGTCCGCAGCAACTGTCCAAGAACCATGTATCCTTCCCGGACGGCTCGCTTTGAGCGATGGCGGCGTACGTCGGGTTCGGTTGAAGTGACTCGCGGCGAGGCGTGCTGTTGTCGATTGTTCTTCTGGTGAGTAATATGGTGGTGACTCAGTTACGCAGGAGTCACTCAGCCTTGCCATGCAGCTGACGATGTTTCTTGTTCCTTTCGCAGGTTGTCCCGTCGATGTTGTTGATACTTGTACTGAAGTTGTCGGATTTGCTTGCGTTGAGGCGACTTGACTGCTAGAAGGGCGAAGTTGGCGTTGCGGCGACGTTGACTGTTGTCGATTCGGGCAGTGCGTACGAGGATGCCCTGAAGTCTTGCAGAGGTGGCAGAACGGAGGTACGATTTTCGGTCGATTGTTGTTGTTGTTGTGGCGCCGTTGAGTGTGAAACGCGAATTCGGGCACTGATACCTTTCTCTTGTGTCGTTCTTCTTGCAGGTCCATGTCTTGCTGCTCGGCGTGGATTTCGGCGCAAAGTGCTGCTTCAGAAATTTTCCCGTGGGCTCGTAGTATGGCGCGAGTGGAGCGCCAGTGAGGACCAAGACCGCCGATGACAACCGTGACGAAGGCGTCCTCTGAAATCGATCCTCCACATCGAAGAAGCTTGTCGCGCAGCTCGCGGCAGCGACTGATATACGCCATTCCCTTCTCGCCTGGTTTCATTTCGATTGTTGTCAGCTGCGCCATTAACCGACTTTGGTTTACGCTGTCTGTTGCTTGATACAGGCTCTTCAAGTGATTGTACGCGAGCTCCGCGGAGTTGCCGTAGCCTCGGTAAGACCGTATGTTTTGTTGTTGAGTTGGAGTGATGTTCCTCAGTAGTATCGTGTACGCCATCATCGATTGATAGGTGTACTGCTGCTTCTCATACTGTATGCCGTTTGTTGGGTATGGCAGGGACCCGTCGAAGTAGCCAAGGATTTGCGCTCCTTCCATCATCAGCTCGAATTCGAACGACCAGGTAAAGAAATCCTTCCCGTCGAAGGGTTTTGTCGTTTGCAGTTTTAGAACGTGCGCGAACTGCGACTGAACTTGTAGTGCGTCCAGCGTTCTCTCTTGTCCCGATGCAGGTTGTGGTTGTGGCATGAAGCTGACGGAGCCGCGCTGGGGCTCGTACGGAGCGAAGGTAGGTTGCTGTTGTTGATTCCCGCGTGCGTAGGATGAGCCATCGAGACTCATGGGCGTCACGTTGTTGTTGTTGTTGCTGCTGTTTGATTGCGCAGGTGCTCCTTGCTGATGCTGCTCGTAGAAGGACATGAAGGAGAAGAACTTCTCCATCATGCTTGGATCGAAGCCCGCGCCTTGGTTTGCGGGTGTTTCAGTAGACCCAGCTGCCGGTCTCGTTGTTGTGCCTTCCTCTGTCTGTAGGCCAGAGGCAGGAGGTGGAGTAGGAGTAGTACCAGGAGAGCCGTTGGAGGAGTTCCTCTCCTTTCTGGTAGACATGTCTCTTGGTGTATTAGGTGTTAAGGAGAAATAATTTTAACCCTAACCAGCTCTCATACCATGTTGGGCTGAGTGCCCCTTAGGATCTTTGGTAGGGTTAAACTCTGGGTAGAGTGATGTAGTAGCGGAAGCGTTTAAATGAAGTCCTTGAACCACCTTGCGCTGGTATGTGAGGGCAAAGTAAGTTAATTAAAACAAGCAAGTACAAAGGTTTATATAAGAGTACAAAGAATACGAAGAGATATAATTAAACTGTTTTACTGTTGCGGTTCGATACAGTGCGACTCGGGCAACTGCTCAATGTCGAGTCAGTTGTGTGTCCTTGCTGTCGCGCTGCATTTGTCAAGTCAAAGGTCGCTGACCTTTGACTTTCGCGTAACCTCCAGCGGTTACTTCAACCTCCGAGGGTTGACTCGCTGGTGCCTCGATATGCTCTGCTTCGCTTGTGCCTTGGTGTTTCGACACGACAGAGGCGCTTAAGATTGTTTGTTCCCAACACATCTGTTGTAGTTCCTGCTGTTGGAGCCACTGATTTCCTTGTTGCTGCTGCTCCTCTTGGTTTAGCGGCGAGTGTTGTTCCTGCTGCATCAGACGTTGTTGCTGCTGCTCTTGCTGATGCCGCATCAGCTGTTGTTGCTGTTGCTGGTGGTGGTGCAGCTGCAAACGTTGTTGCTGATGCTGCTGTTCTTGTAGCATCAACTGCTGCTGCTGCTGCTGTGCCAGCTGCTGCAGATGTGAGCGGAGTTTCTGCTGCTGATGTTGCTGTTGCTGTTGCTGTTGCTGTTGCTGTTGCTGTTCATGTTGGTGCTGCTGATGCTGCTGCTGCTGCTGCATCAGCTGCAGTTGAAGCTCTTGCTGCTGGTGTTGCTGGTACAAGTCCTGCAGCTGCTGTTGCTGTTGCTGCTGCAGCTGCTGCTGCTCCTGATACTGGCGCAACTGTGCTTCATCCCAGGCATGTGCCTCTGCTTGGTGCAGGTAAGCCTCTTCTACCTGCCTCACTGGCCACCACATACAGCCACGGTGAAGCATGAGCAAAAGACATTAGGTGACACATGTCAGCAAGAAAGACGAAAGCTCTAACAACTCCCAATAATCTAGGCTTATGCAGCCTTCCTCACCTCTTTTGTCCAAATTCATGTGGCCTCGGCGCGCTGGAGAGATATTTAATCTCCTGCCACAGAATCTGCCCTGGAGATCCGCTTCGGAGCCTGTCCCCAGCCTCCCTCCTCCTATCCAAAAGTCACCTATATTTGGCAAATCAGCAAGGTTGGGTGCAGATCTAGGAGAAGCAAGCGAAGGCTGCTGGGAGGAACCGGCGGCGGGAGAGGCGGACGAAAGGGCTGAAAGTGTAGAGTACGCTGCTGAAGTAGCATCAGCCGAATCGCCAGGCAAGGCTGTTCTAGACGCTTCAGCAACAGGCACAGGGTTTGCCATACTTGATTTTTCCGAAGGAACAGGGTCTGTCGTAGAACCTTCAACAGGGGGCACGTGTTCCTGATGTGAAGGATCCATGATGCTGTTCAAAGCTAGTCGTGAGACGTGCAGCAGCGCGGGGACTGGGGTTCTTCTGGCTGATACTACACGATGCTGCTCCCGATTTCTGGCACCACAAGAGTGAGGAAAGAAAGAAAATCTCTCGGTTTATGCACCTCCGAGGCGTGAGAAAAGGAGAGGAAAAGAAAGCCCTTCCTGTTGCAAACCACGATACGACTTCCTTTAAACGCCGCGCGCTGTGCTCCTCATGACCCAGACTGAGCTTCACTTTCCATCGAACGACCTCTCAGAAAAACCATCGTCTAGCGCGTAGAGTGTTCTCTGCTATAAGTGCTTTCAGCATCATGATGCGCTACACAATATGGCCTGGATACATAGGATGATGCCTGCGCTGCTGGGCAGGGAAGGCTGGGTGAGAAAGCTGGAGAAACCTGGGTAAGAAAGAAGATGGAGCGCGCCGATAGAGAGCGCCGCTGAACAAGCTCGATTCATGGCTGCACACACACAGAAGAAGGAAATGGTTAACAGCTGGTTTCTGATCTGATAAGTTGAAATGTCTCTTGTACGAAAACGGGACATGCAGCAGCGAGTTTGAGAATGAGCATGGGGACCGTCGCGGAGACGTAAGGTCAAGCAGGAAAGGGACCGCCGCCAGCCGACGCGAAAGGTCGAGGCACAATTAGGGTACCCAAGGCGCCTCATTGCTTATTTCTAGAGAGCTCCGCATTCGACCATGAGAAGATTCGCGAAGCAGCACTAAAGACATGCAGGAGCAAGCACATGATGTAGTGCCTGCAACGGTAGTAGTTGACAACTCATACTACATAACCTATTTCAATTCTCTGCTGCGGCTCGCGTGCGTCCTGCCCAAATACTCCTCACATGGGCTCCTCTGTTTTTCTTCCACGGAAATCTCTGGAGCGCTGATGAGACTTGCATGGCATGAACCTGCATCCCCGTTCGCGTTAGAGTAAATTAAACGACTTCGTACTACGCAATCCGTAAGTTTTGAAAGGATTCTTCTGAACAGCACAGTTTTTCTTGCCCTGCTATACCCCCCTCTGTCTCAACCTGCTGGTTCAAATCGCCACAACACTCCACACCTTTCATCCCCTCCAGCCCCTGCCTCTTCAACTCAAGACCCTCTCCCCCTGGTTGATCCCTTAAAAGCTGCTCCTGTAAGAGCAGCAACTGGCGAAGCTGTTCCAGCTGTGCCAGCTCGTCCTCCTCGCTCCCTCCTGCACCCTCCCCTTGCAATGGCCGCCTTGTAAGAGCGCTAGCCTCCTGCTGCTGGCTCACGACAGGCCGAGAGGTCAATATCTGCTGCTGCTGCTGCTGCTGCTGCGCCAAGTTGGGCTGATGGAGAAAGATAGGCGGCTGCAAGGAGGAGAAGGACTGCTGGCGCGCTGGGATGGAGGCAGGTGGAATCGACCGGCCATGGACCACAGGAGATGGAATGGCAGCACCTGGTGGGCCATGAGATGTAACGGCAGCACCTGAAGGACCATGAGATGTAGCGGCACCAGCAGCTGAAGAGCCGTACTGTGGAGTGGTCAGGGGAGCAGCGGCAGCAGGAGTTGAAACTGCAGACCCAGCCAGGACTGGCGGCCTAATCAGTGAAGGCGTCACCAGAGGAGGGGTAACTAGGGACATTCGGAATAGTCACATTCGGCATAGTCACATCAGGAATAGTCACATCAGGAACAGTAACAGCTGGCATCGTTACAGCCGGCAGAGACAAGTCAAAGAGGTGCGAGGTTGCAGGCAGCCAATCCAAACCCGTGAGATCTTGCACGGACCCCTCTCCTCTTCTCACTCCTCCCACCCATCCCACTCCTCCTTGGGGAACATTTTCTGACCCCACGCATGCTTCTGCTTGACTGCTCCCCCCCTGCTGCTGCCCTGCCTTGCCCTGCTGCTCCAACACCCCACCGATGCCTGGCTGTGCTTGCTGCTCTGCCAAGGCCAACAGTTGAGTCAACAACTCCTGCTCCTGCTGCTGCTCCTGCTGCTGCTCCTGCTGCTGTTTCCGAAGCAGCTCAAGCTGTCGCCTATGTGGTCGCAGCCATGCCAAATTATCACCACTTGCCCTCTGCATTGCCTCTTGAGCTGCCCCTGCCACTGACCGCACTGGCAAGGATTCCATCTCCCTTATAACCTCTTCCGTCATTTCCATTGGCTGCTGCTGCTGCTGCTGAGTCTTTTGCAACCCTCCAGATTTTACCTGCTGCCCCTGCCCCAATTTTGTGACAGGCGGGGCCGACACTGGTCGTCCAGATGTAATATCAGATGTAACACCAGATGTAACAGCAGCTGGAAGCACAGAAGCCAACATATCAAGTGGTGTTGCTCGCAGCTGACTAGCGGTTACAGGTGGGGAAAGAGAGGACGGATGCTGAGAAAAGGTGGTAACTGATGGTACGGTTACCCGTGGTATGGTTATCGGTGGTGGTGCAGCAGCAGGCAGGCAAGGGTGGAAGTGAAGGAGGAACAGAAGCAGGATGGGCAGGTGCGAATGAGGATGCAGTGATAACTGCACGAGGTGTAACAGCGTCAGCAGGGGATGTTTCAGAGGGGCAGGAGCAGAGAAAGAGAGACTGGAGGACCTCCGGGGAGAGGGTGGAGAGAAAGGGGTCTGAGGCGAGAGGAGGGAGGAGCAGATGGTGCGGTGGGGATCGGTTGGAGTGGGTGGAGGGTCCTATGGGTGTCTGGGTGGGCGGCCATGAGGGAGTGTGAGGAGACAGGGAGGTGGGAGTATGGGGAAGAGACGAAGGCATGATTCGGTGAGGCTTGCTGGGAACAGCCCTAGGGGCCCTGGGCTCAGTGAATACAGACTGCTTGTGACCCTGCGGCGGCTGCTGCTGCTGCTGCTGCTGATAATAATGCCTTTGCTGCATCCCTTGCTGTTGCTGCTGCTGATGCGGCTGTTGCTCTTCTTGCTGCTGCTGCCACCGAAGATGCTGCTGCTCCTTCTTCTGCAGGTACTGCAGCTGCCGATGCTGCTGCAAGTGACGCTGCAGCAGCTGTAGCTGATCTTGACGCTGGTTGTCCTGCCTCTGATGCTGCCGTTGCGTATGCAGCAGCTGGTGCTGCTCCTCCAACTGTTGCGGATCAATCAGCATCGGCTCCTCTGACCACCCACCTTGACCCATGGCAGCAGGAGCACCAATAGCAGCAGGAAGGCCAAGTGAAGTCACAGCAGAGACTCTGCTTCCAGTGCTCTGGGATACGCCAAGGGAGAAACGGTGTGCCTCAGGAGTCAATTTCTGAGGCGCCTCAGGAGTCAATTTCTGAGGCGCCTCAGGAGTCAATTTCTGAGGCGCCTCAAAAGCAGAGGCTCGGCTTCCAGCGCTGTGGGATACGCCGTGGGACACACGGTGTGCCTCAGGAATAAGCTGCTGCTGTTGCTGCTGTCCGGCAAACTCAGGGGAGAGTCGAAGTGGTAGTGCCTGTACTGCTACTCCTGGCTGCTGATTCTGCTGCTGGTGCTCGTGCTGCGGCCACTGCAGAGACAGCTGCTGCTGATGATTCTGCTGTCGCTGCTGCTGCTGCTGCTGCTGCTGCTGCTGCTGCTGCTGCTGCTGCTGCTGCTGCTGCTGCTGCTGCTGCTGCTGCTGCTGCTGCTGCTGCTGCTGCTGCTGCTGCTGCTGCTGCTGCTGCTGCTGCTGCTGCTGCTGCTGCTGCTGCTGCTGCTGCTGCTGCTGAAGTTGTTGCTGCTGCTGCCAAAGAAGCTCCTCAAACTGTTGCTGTTGACCCTGTGGCTGCTTTGCCTGCTGCAGCAACCACTGCTGCTGGTTCTGCAGCATTAGCGGCTGCTCCTGGCCGTGTAGCTGAAAACCTTGCTGCTGCTGCTGCTCTTGCTGCTGCTGCTGCTGCTGTTGGAGAAGCAGCTGTAGCTGCTGCTGCTGGCGCAGCTGTATCTCAGCCCGGGCTTGCGCCTCGGCCTCCTGTAGGAACACATCTTCTAGCTTGCGCTCTGGCCATTGCAACAAGAACAAGGAGGGGTGCAATGAGTGCAAGGAGAGCAACAATGGCAATGAATGCAATAAGTGCAACAAGTGTGCATCTGGCCACCACAATGCACGCACACACGCAGGTAGGCACAAACACGCATTCAGGGACGCAACCCTCTCTCCCCCCCCCCCTCCCCCCTCCCCCCTCCCCCCAAACACACACAAAACACACATGCGGCCACATCTGCGCGCACACACCCACATATGCACACGCTGAGCCAGCCACACCTTTCCTGTGCAGATTCATGTGCCCTCCAAGCGCCCGAGGGGAATCAAACCCCTTGCCGCAGAATCGGCACTCATAGTCCATTACCCTGGGATCGCCACCCAGCCGCCCTGGCTTCTACAGCCCTCCAATGCTTGGCATTTTGCTGGTAGGTGGCAGAGGAATTCTCTGCTGTTGCTGCTGCTCCTCCTGCTGTTGCCATTGCAGCTCCTGCTGCTGATGTCGCTCCTCCTCCTCCTGTTGTTGTTGCTTCTGCTCCGCCTGCGGATGAGCGGGTAGGTGTAATGCAGCTTTTGGCTGCTCCTCTTGGCCCTGCTGCACCAACCCTTCCTCGTCCACTGCAAGACATGTTGCTCCTTCAGCTCCCTCCATCCCTTCACAGAAGCTCCAACCATGTGACCGCGCTGCTCCTGCTGCAGCTTCTCCTGTCGGCTCTGCTCCTGCTCCTGCTGCTCCTGTCCCCAGTCCCCCTCTGTCGTCCACCCCACTCCCTCCCATGCGAAGGACTCGTCTCAGAGTGGTCCCAAGCGTTGGCCAATCAGTAGCAGCCTCCCTCACCTCGTCCTCACTGGGCAGCAACCGCTGCTGCTTCATGGGGTTCCCCCGTTTCCTGCTTCTACTGCCACTTAGCCAAGAATTTCTCTTAAGACCATCAGGCCGAGCGTCAGTCCTCCCAGCCTCCGCCTCAAGCTGCTCTATGCTCATACCCCTTGCTCTCCCTCCCTCTCCAACCAAACCACCTTCCCGCTTCTCAATATTTCCGATACCCCTGCCTCCCGCTACTCTTAGTCCTCCTAACCTTTCTCCATTTCCTCCTCTTACTGCTCGACTTTTTACCTCTCTCTCATGCTCTCCCTCCCTCGCTTCTGGAAGCTTCTTAAACTCCTCATGCGGTTGTATCTGAGGGTTCTCACGCGCCCTCCTGCTACGGCTGCTGGTTAAGCTACGAGCCAGGTTACTCTCCGCGGTACACTCCAGGGACGCATGCGGCGCTACAGCCATAGGACAATGCGCTTGTAATGGGGATATAGGCTCATCCAGTGCAGCCAGAAGCCCTGGTGATGACAAAGCTTTAACAGTGCAAGGGACGGCTCCAGGGAGAGAGAATAGCCCGGATGAAGAATTTAGATGCGCTTCTGACAGAGACGGTCTGGTACCAGCACCAGCAGTAGCAGCAAGACCAGCAACAATTCCAGCAACAAGTGGATCAGAGCCGACTGGTGCAGACGCAAGGGAAGAGTCTTGGATTGGAGCGCCAACGGCAAAGGAAGGAGGGAGAGCAGGGGATGCAGAATACGCTGCAAAATCCGCGTGCTCTTCTGTGGGATCCATGGTTTGCAAAAAGCCCCCACCAATAACGAGACGTGCGGCTGTGGTGCACTGGTGCTTATGAGACCCGCGAGGCGCCGCAATTTCCGCCTCTTCCTCCACGTAGGGTTCTTGTCGATCAGGTGTTTCTCCAACTTTTGGTTGGGACAAATTGTTTATGTCCTCCCTGAAACCAATACGGTCAAACTTTCAAGGAAAAGAATAAGATCCAGCTGCAGTTCGTGAACGCCACGGCCTTGCAACGCCCTCTTGAACTGCGACAAGAAGCCAAATAGGGTCTTGAGATCAGCTCCAATTCCTGACGGGCACCGCCTTGCAATGCCCTCTTGAACTGCAACAAGAAGCCAAATCGGGTTCTGAGCTCAGCGTGCAAGCAGGTACACAAACAAAAGCGTCTAGTTGAAAGACAGAAGTTCTGGCGACGGGGACAGCCAAGTCGGAATCTGTCTCCACAAGACTGGGAAAGAAAGAACAAGAATCTCGGTTCTAGCGTCTCGGCGTTCGATCAACTTACAGTTAAGCCATCCGCTGAGGCTGGTTGCGTCTACGAGTGGGTTTCCGTCTCGTGCGCTAGTGAGGAAGGAGCAGCTGATGCGGGATGTTGGAGATAGCGTTTGGAACCCTGGTTCGTGGAGAATCATATCCATTCCTGTAGATTGTAGAGTTGGAATCTTACAGGAGTCGCAAGGAGCTTTACTCGCGACACAAAATTCTTGGTCGGGCGCCTGATGGATGCGATCCCGTGACACACGGTGGTTCCAAATGCAGAAACGTTTCGAGAAACCTCCATCACGTGGAGAGTGCATGCGTGGGGATTTCAGGCAGTGACTGGTGGAGGCACGCCTGACCGGGAGAAATATATGAGACAGCACAACTTCGTGCTTCGTCGACCTCGGTCGGGTAAAAGGAACTAAGATTTTCCTGTATCTCTCAACGGAATCGGGGGTGACGCTCCGTTTTGCGGTGACGCTCGGGGGTGGCGCTTTCGGGAGCGTCACCCTGACCCGGGCAGAAAAAACTAAAACCCTATCGGGATGGCATGCACCATTCGGGAGCCTAAACCCTAAAATTTTAGGGTTGAGGCTCCCGAATGGCATGCCATCCGTCTGGGGTTTATTTTTTTTGCCCCGGGCAATTTGTCGTTTTGTCGAAACGACTTTGTCGTTAGCGCGCCTGCTACATTCCGTTGAGATATACTACGCTGCAATTGCAAGAAGCTGGTGAATTCGTTTAGACCGATAACGACAAAAAATACGGAATGACATGCACTTCTTTGGAAACTCCTGAAAGGCAGAGATGGACAACCCATCGCTTATTCTTGGTCGGCGGAACACTGACACACAAGAGTTCCCCCGCCCGACTGTAAAGGCAGAGGCTGGCATTACTAGGTTGCTTGAAACGACGACGAACACGTCGCCTGACTGTAAAGGTCACGCGACTGTCGTGTGCTCGAAGCGACATCCATGCGAACACTGTCGCAACCTCACGTGCCTGTCTATCTGCATGTCGTCGATCGTCAACCCCGTCGATGAAACTACGTGAGAAGGTTCGGTAACGGATCGCTTAGCTTATTCCGCCATGTCAAGGCCATCACGAGAAGACGTCTCGCGCAAAGACGTCTCAGTGGGCTCCTCATTGAGCGAGGCTTTGAGGAGCGACACGAAGAAATCTAGGTAGTGCGGAGGAGAACTGATAATCTCGGTGGCTGAAGAGTTTGTCAGGAGAGGAGTCGAAGGATGTCAGTCATGCACCTGCGAAGTTCGAACGACGAGGTTCATGAATGGTATGGTATTGCACAGCAAACTGAATGACATAAGTATGAGATGAACGGTACACTGTGGCGTGGTAGTGGTTATGTTATAGATATGATAATTGAGATGTGACGAGGTGGTTAGCTAGCATAGGATATTACCTTGTATCGAGAGGCAGGCAAGGCCTCCTTATTGTGCCGCATTCTGAATGTAGGGTTTATAGGCTGAAACCTGTACTGCAAGTTCGGGACTGCAATAACAACATCGGCCATTGGATCCCACATCGAATGAGAAGGGTAGCACAAACAACCACCAATTAGCAAGCCTCACCCTCTGGCACCACAACAGCATTGCATTGCATTCTCATGGATGCAAATACAGGACCACGCCCTGTACATAACTCATTTAAGTGGGATCTGAGAGTGTATTGCTACACCCACGACCAAGGGCAAAAGCAGGAGCAGAAACAGGGTTGGCAGCAGCAGCAGCAGCAGCAGCAACTATACCAGCAGCACCAGTAGCAGCAGCAGCAGAAGAAGCAACAAGCGCACTACTAGAAGGATCCATGGGAATTGTCAGGGAACTCAACGCAGCAGCAGAGGCAGGAGCGGCATCAAGAACAGCAGAAGCCGAAGCAGTACCATTACCAGTCGCAGTAGCAGTAGCAGTGGCAGCATGGGAAGGGGTTGGCATGAGGTGTTCCGGATGGGCTTCAGATGAAGGGCGGAGCGTTGCCACTTCCCTGCGCAGATCCTGTGACGGAGAGGGGGGAGAGTGGAAGGGGGGGGGGGGGGGGGGGGGGGGGAAATGGCGGGTGTTGACATGGGGTGTGCGGGCTCGGTCTCAGAGATGAGGGCCGCAGCGATGCCACTTCTTTGCGCACATCCTGTGATGGGAAAGAGAGGAGGGAGAAGGGGAAGCGGCGGGGGGAAGGGAGAAGGGGAAGCGGCGGAGGGGAGGGAGAAGGGGAAGCGGCGGGGGGGAGGGAGAAGGGGAAGCGGTGGGGGGAAGGGAGAAGGGGAAAAGTGGCAGACGTTGGCGTGGGCGGCATCGTGAGACAGAAAAAAAAAAAACAAATGTCTCCAGATCGGGCATCTAATTAGACATCAAACATCACCTTTTACGGCCCAAAGACAGCAGTGGTACATGAGTGAGCACAGCCGAACACCGCACGGATCTGGTTCTCTCTGGAGAGGCTTTATGAAAGTGATGGCAGATTGAGAACAGACGCAGTTTGAGGCGCCTAAGTACCGATAATCCCAACCCACTCCCCGTGCCTCGGGGAGAACAGCACCCATCTGGTTCCGGAAAAGCACAACAGCACAGATTTGGCTCTCCCAGGAGATGCGTTTGATGAAGAAGAGGAGCAGCTTGTGGTGCCGCAAGTATCGGCAACCCCCAACCAACCTGCTGCATGAGAGCACCAGCAACAGCACGCACCTGCAAAATGAGGGACCAGCTTACGCACCTGGTTCTCCCGGGAGAGCCGTTTGATGAAGGAGATGGCGGACTCGAGAACAGAGGCTGCATCGCTGCGAGCTCTCTGCGGCACCAGCTTCTCTAGTGCCCGGATGTGCCGCGTCAGCCGCTCCCTCCGCTTCTGAAATGGTGTGGAGTGGGGAGAAGCAACAAGGAGAATGAGAGTAGGAACAGTGCAGTGTTGACAACTGCGAGCCCTCTGCGGCACCAGTTTCTGAGAGCGTGTATGTGTGGGGATACGGGGGGTGGAGGGATGTTCCTGTGGGGTTGCTGCGAGCCCTCTGCGGCACCAGCCTCTCCAGCGCCCTGATGTGCCGCATCAGCTGCTCCCTCCTCTTTTGTAACGGTGCTTTGTGGGGAGGATGGGGAAGCAAGCGGTGAACGAGAGTAAGAGCGGTGTTGTGTGGTCGCTGCGGGGGAGAGAAACCGGCATTGTGGGGGGGAGAGAGGGGTTGTGGGGGGGTTGTGGGGGGGGGGAAGAGAGGGGGAAGGGGAGGAACCGGGAGTGGAAACTAGTGGGGAGCGGGGGATGAGGAAAAGCAGTGAGGGGAAGGGAATGGAGGCAGTACTGTCCATTCCGGCGCTTTTGGCTTCTTGTGGGGTGTACGGGGGAAAGGAACGGGGAGGGGAGAAAAAGCAGCCTCTTGAAAGCAACGTCACAGAAGCGCCTCGCGGGAAGAGCCTTGCAGAGAGGGACAGCAGCAGCTTTGAGGCGCCTCATAAGTTGGAAACAGAAGCACTCACCCGTGCGTTCTGGCAGAAGTGGCTCACTGGCCCCTCCTTCCGTTTCGGCCCTGGCTTGCGGCTCGCACACCCGTCCATTGCCCCGCCCAACCCATTCCCCTCCATCCGCCTGCGCAGATCACTCCCTTCCATCCGCCCATTGTAACCCTGGCCATTGAAACCATTCCCATCCAGTCTATCATCCTCCTCCATCCCCTCACCCTCCATCCCCTCACCCTCCATCCCCTCACCATCATCACCACCATCGCTCCCCCACCTTCCCTCATCCCTGCCGCCCCCTGCCTGCCCCTCATCGCCCACCCCATCCAACGAATACAAGTCCAGCCCAGAGCTGTTTCCCCTCAGTTCCCCCAAGCTGTCTCCTCTCTGAAACCCCTCCCATGCTTCACTCTTCCCCACTCCGCTTCTTCCTCTCTCCAAGCGCCTCCCACTCCCTTCTCCAGCCAGTGCCCCGCCAGCAGAGGCATCTGCACCGGCCCACGCTGCTGCCGCTGCTCTGGCCCCTTCGCCGCTGCTCCCTCCCTCTCCTCCCCCCGCACCTGCTCCTGACCATGCCCCTAACCTTAACCGTGCGTCCCCTGCTCGCGCCTCCCCTATTCGCACCTCCCCTGCTCGCGCCTCCCCTATTCGCACCTCCCCTGCTCGCGCCTCCCCTACTCGCACCTCCCCTGCTCGCGCCTCCCCTATTCGCACCTCCCCTGCTCGCGCCTCCCCTACTCGCACCTCCCCTGCTCGCGCCTCCCCTACTCGCACCTCCCCTGCTCGCGCCTCCCCTACTCGCACCTCCCCTGCTCGCGCCTCCCCTACTCGCACCTCCCCTGCTCGTGCGTCCCCAACCTGTGCGTCCCGTGCCGCACCTCCCGGCTCCCCCTCCTGCTCCATGTCAGCCATGGCTTCTTTCATCTGCTCGATCTCCTTCAGCTGATCCTTGCTCCACACAAAGCTACGAGCCAACCGCGACCCGCCGCCCAGCCCGCCACCGCCGCCGCCCAGGCCCCCGCCGCCCAACCCACTGCCGGCCAGCCCACCGCTGCCCATCCTGCTGCCGGCCAGCCTGCTGCCGCCCAATCCACTGCCAGTAAAGCCACTCGATGGGAGCAGCCCGCCAACCCTACTGGAACGAGCTAAACCGGCAGCAGAGGCACCAGCAGGAGCAGCAGCAGAGGCACCAGGACTAGCAACACCTAGACTAGCAGCAAGCGCACCACCAAGAGCAGGAGCAGTAGCGGCGGCTGTAGCAGCAGCTGTAGCAGCAGTACCAGGACCACTAGCCCCTACCCTGCTGCCTCCCCCTCCTCCCCTGCCCTCATCTTCTCTCACACTCACGCCCTCACCCCCCTTACCCCCTCGCTCACCGACCCCCATGTCCATGCCAGTCCCCGTTCCCACTCCTCCACCCTTGAAAATCCCCATGCTGTTAGCTTCACACCCCATGCTCGCCCTCTGTTCCAGATTTCCACTCTCCAGACCTGGACTTCCCAAGCCAAAGTCCCCTGTTCCTGCACCTGCCGAGCCTGAGTTTCCCAAGCCTGACGGCCTGTGTCCGGCGGGGCGGAGGCCAGCTTCGGCTTTATCGATAGCTCCGGTGGCAGCAGTGGCAGGGACGGCTGAAGGGATGTCGTCAAGAGAGAGGGAGACGGAGGGGAAGGAGAAGAGCGGCCGCGGAGGGGAGGTTGGTGTGTCGTCTACTCGTCTCCCGCTGAAGAACCCACCAGGAGCAGCAACAGTACCACCATAGAACGGGACACTGCCGCCGACAGCAGCAGCAGCAGCAGCAGCAGCAGCAGCAGCATCACATTCGGGACCAGCAGTATCAGCCATGTTGCCAGCGCCACTGCTGCGTATCAAGCCCTTGGCCCTCTTCCCCTCTCTCTCTCCACCTTCCCCATTGACCTGCATGCTGCCGTATGCCCGCTTTACCCCACTCCCCACTCCCTCAGACCCGCCCCCTTCTCCCCTCCCCAATCCAGTCTCTAGCCCTTCTACTATCCTGCCATCCCTTACCTCTCTCTCCCCTCCTCCCTGCTCCCAAGGGCCGCTCACACTACCTAGTCTCTGGAGTGGGACTTCCCCTGTAAGCGAACCCCTTCTGTAAAGCGCAGCCTCCCCTGAAGCCAAACCTCCCCTCTCCCTCTGTAGAGAGATATCTCCAGTAACGGAGCCTCCCCTGTAGAGGGGTATTTCCCCTTGAAAACTCAAAGAGCCGATGCTCGGCCCTGCTCTCTGCAGTGCGGCAGCACGGGAAGCCATCCCAGCTGCCTCCAGATTCAAACGGTCTATGCTGGGTCCTGCCCTTTGCAATCCCAGCCTTTGCAACCCCCCACTTTCTATCCCCCCGGGACGATGGTCTCCCTGCGGAAAGGCAGGAGGGGGCGGAGGGATGGCAGAGGCAGAAGAAGCAGCGCCCTGAAAGTTGAGGCGGCCTATACTTGGCCCTGACCGCTGCAACCCCCCCCGCATGCGGGCATCTCCTGGAGAAGACAGAGGGGGAGGAGGAGGAGGAGGAGGAGGAGGAGGAGGAGGAGGAGGAGGAGGAGGAGGAGGAGGAGGAGGAGGAGGAGGAGGAGGAGGAGGAGGAGGAGGAGGAGGAGGAGGAGGCAGAGCAGAGGGGCCGTGTAGGTTCAGACGGTCTATGCTTGGTCCTGCTCTCTGCAGCCGGCTGAGTGGCTGAGACGGTGAGCTGTTGAGGGCAGGAGAGAATGGGGGGACGACTGGTGCCGCTGAATCCGCACCAGCAGCAGCAGCAGAAGCAGCAGAAGGTGAGTGCGGGTGGGCAGTTGGCGAAGCAGTAGCAGTAGCAGTAGCAGCAGCAGCAGTTTGTGACTGCTGCTGCTGCTGCTGCTGCAGTGCGTGATGCTGCTTCAGTCGCAGCACAGCCTCCTGCTGCTCCTGCAGCAGCCCAGACAGCTGCGGCCGCAGCCGCACCCTCAGGCTCTCCAGCACTTCCAACCCCCTCGCTCCTGCCCCACTCGCCCCTGCCCCATCCCCACCTCCCGCAATAGCCCCTGCCCCTCCCCCACTTCCGCATGCCCCATCCCCACTTCCCCCTGCCGCTCCCCCACTTCCTCCTGCCGCTCCCCCACTCCCCCCTGCCGCTACCCCACTTCCCCCTATCCCTCCTCCACTTCCCACTACCCCTCCACCACTTCCCACTGCCCCTCCCCCACTTCCCCCTGTCCCTCCCCCGCTTCTCCCTGCCCCTGCACCTCCTCCACTCCCCCCCGCCCCTCCCCCGCTCCCACCTCCTGCCCCGGCCCCACTTCTTCCACTCCCCACTGCTCCAGTCCCACTTCCCCCACTCCCCCCTGTGCCTCCCCCACTCCCCCCTGTCCCTCCCCCACTACCCCCTCCCCCTCTCCCAGTCCCACCTCCCCCCAGGGCATCCCCCAGCCGGCGCGACCCCTCCGCCGATCCCAGCCGTCGCAGCCGCGAGGACGACGATCCAACGGTCTGCGGCGTCTCGAACCCGGCTTCAGCCGAGCAAAGCCGCCGAAGGCGGGAGGAGGTGAAATTAGGGTTGATAGACGCGTCTAGTGCCTCTGCAGATGCTGATTCCTGCCGGGCCAGAAATCTCTGCCTGCGGCTGCCGTGCCACACGGGGGGTTGCCCTGCTGCTGCTGGTGCTGCTGTATTGGAACCAGCGGGATTGCTGCTGCTCGTGCATGGGGTAGCACCTGCAGAGGACCCAGCAGCAGTAGCAGCAGCAGTTGCAGTAGCAGTAGTGGCAGCAGCAGCAGTAGCAGTACCAGCACCAGCAGTGGCAGCAGCACCAGCAGCAGCAGCACTAGCAGCAGCAGCACCAGCGGAAGGGGCGGCAGCACCAGCAGGAGCAGCTTCCGTACCTAGTCCCCACGTCCATTCGTTTCCCGAACCTATGCGTGAGGTCAGGGAGCTGCCGGCACGGGAGAGAGGGGTGAGTGGCTCGGTTCGGATATTAAGAGCAGCAGGGGCCAGTGCGTCTAGTCGACTGGTAGACCAGTTTCCAGCCAATAAGCCCTCCACAACTCCCCCTCTTGCTGCCACAGCTCCTCCCTCTGCTCCCACTGCTCCTCCCTCTGCTCCCACACCCCCTGTTCCTCCCCCTCCACCTCCCTCCCCTCTCATTTCCCCTGCTGCACTCCCAGCAATCGCAGCATCAGCAGAACCAGCACCAGAACCAGCAGCGGCAGCAGTGGTAGCGGCAGCAGCGAGGGTGGAGGGGGAGTGGGGCGACGGGAAGGAGGCTTTGTACAGGTCACGAGGAACAGATGGGAAGAAACGGGAGGGAGCAGGGCCGGGCAAAGACACAGCTCGAATAAGCTGATGCTGCTTCTGGAACTGCTCCTGCCCCTGCTCCTGCCCCTGCCCCTGCCCCTGCCCCTGCCCCTGCCCCTGTCCCTCCCTCTCCTTCTCCCTCTGCCCCTGCCCCTGTCCCTGCCCCTGTCCCTGCCCCTGTCCTTGTCCCTCCCTCTCCTTCTCCTTCTGCCCCTGCCCCTGCCCCTGTCCCTGCCCCTGTCCTTGTCCCTGCCCCTGCCCCTGCCCCTGTCCCTGCTCCTGCCCCTGCTGCACCTGCCCCTGTCCCTGTCCCTGCCCCTGCCCCTGCGCCTGCCCCTGCGCCTGCTGCACTATCCCCTGACCCTGACCTGATCCGCTGCTCGCGCCCTGATGCTCTGATGCAGGTGCTGCGGCTTGCTGCAGGCTCTTTCTTTGCTGGAGGGCGGAGATAGCAGCCAGGAGGGCGGGGAGAGAGGAGAGGCTGGGCTGGGATTGAAGCCCCCCAAGGGTGAGAGACTGGGCGAGCGCTTCGAAAGGGAAAGCGCTGGGAGCTGGATTAGGAGTAGAGGCAGCAAGCGGAGGAGTTGCAGTGGGTGCAAAGGCACCAGCTGGTAAAGGCGCAGCGGCTGGTCGATATGGCATAGGAGCAACGTCAGGAGGAAGAGGAAGAGGAGGAGGAAGAGGAGCGGATGGAGGCACAAGGGTTGCTGCTGCTGCACCTGGAAGGTTCACCACGGTTGGAGTGACAGCTGGCGCGGGGGAAGACGTAGACCTTAGCGTCGCAGCACCAGAATCACCAATGCCCCCAGAAATGGCAGTGGCACCAGAAAAGTGATCGGAGGCTGCACCAGCAGTAGGTGTGGCACGGGCAGAAGTAGCGGCAGGAGCAGACGCGGCAGCTGGAGCAGAGGTGGCAGCTGGAGCAGAGGTGGCAGCTGGAGCAGAGGCGGCAGATACTGCGGGGAGTTCAACGGATTCCGTTTCCTCTCTGACAGCCGCTGCTGCCATGACCACTGCTGCAGCTGCTGCTGCTGCCGCCACGTCTAGCAGCTTTGACATGGGACCCCCCTTGCCCGAAATTTCCTGTGCGCTGGGAGCAGGCGACGCAGAAGCAGCAGCAAGCGTGGCAACAGCCGCAGTCGTAGCAGGAGCAGCAGCAGCAGCAGCAGCAGCAGCAGCCGCAGCCGCAGCAGCAGCAGGATCCGCACCCAGTGTACTGCCAAAACCAATTGTCCGACCCTGATTGGACAACGAACCACGAGGGTCGCCACCGAGGCTGGCAAGCAGGCCCGGGTTGGCGCTGGCGCTCTGCCTGCCGAGGCTGGAGAGGAGCCCCGAGGCTTGGGAGAGGTAGTGGGTGAGGCGGCCGTGGTTCTTAGTGGCTAGAAGCTCGCCGGTTCTTGACCCGTCCTCCAGGATCTTAAGTAAGTGCTGGAGTTGAGGAGAGGAGTCAGTACTAGCGGGGACAACCAAGGCAGGGAAAGTTTGTGTGTTGGTGTTTCGATGGGGTCCTGGACTAGACGGGAGGGCTGGGCTAGATTGGGGGACTAGGCTAGTTGGGACGGCTGGGCTAGATTTAGGGCCTGGGCTAGATCGGGGGCCTGGGCTAGATGGGAGGGCTGAGATAGACTGAAGGGTGGGGGCGCGAGGGAATGCAACCGGTGCTGCTTCCAGTGCAGAACCTGCGGTTGTTCCTGTTGCTGCGGCGGCTGCATCTGCTGAAGCTATCGACAATTCTGCCCCTGTCCCTGTCCCTGCCGCTGCTGCTGGTGCGGCCACTGCCAATGCTGCACCAGAGGCAACCCCTGCAGCCGGATTCGACGGACCAGCCGCAGCAGCAGCCGTGCCCCTCCCTCCTTCTCCTCCTGCTCTGATTTCCCCCTGGGTGGATAGAAAACCTGTGAGGAGGGACAGCGCGCTGACAAGCTGCTGTTGCGTGCCTGAGGGGAGGCCGCTGGACTGCACGACATGCGACATGGACAGGACCGTTTGAGCCACATGTGCTGCCTGTGTCATTGCCGCCTCTGTCGTCGCTGTCTGTACTGACGCTAACTGTATTGGCCCTGCCTGTGTCGCTGCTGCCTGTGTCGCTGCTGCCTGTGTCATCGCCACTGCCTGTCTCGCTGCTGCTTGTGTCGTTGGTGCTGGTGTCGCTGCTGCCTGTGGCGTCGCCGCTCCCTCTGCTGCTCTGCTGCTCCCCCGGCCGCCGCTGCTGCCACTATGAATAGCTCCGCTTACATTATCTTCGAACGTCACACCTCCGCCTGTGATACCGCCACCTGTCACACCTCCGCCTCCGCCTGTGATACTTCCGCCTGTCACACCTCCGCCTCCGCCTGTGAAACCGCCGCCTGCCACACCTCGCGCGGTCACACCTCCGCCGTACAGCGGTTCTGCTGCAGCAGGTGCAGAGCTGAGGGTGGTTCCGGCGGTAGGGGTCGCACCAACATGATGATTAGCTTCCAGTGGATGGCTGGGTGGAAGGGAGGAGGGGAACAAGGACAGAGTCATACCGACTTCAACCGCTGACTTATCCCCCCTGTTATTAACTGCTTCGCTGCATCGCGCTTGCGGCTCGTCAACCTCCATTTCTTCCTTGATCTTTGTTGAGATGCTAGCCGTAGTGTGGTCAACCTTGGGTTGGCGGAGGTATCCGGCGTTCTCGCTAGCTCTCGCATGGTCGTATGGCGACGCATTCGTCGCTAATATGGTCGCGCGCGACAACTCTTCGGCACGAGCGGCGAAGTTTCCGTCGCCGACTGGGTCAGCTGTACGGTCGATCATATTAGGGTTGGTGAAGGTTAGCGGAGATCCCGGGGGGCTAGTAACAGCTTGTTCCGAACCCTCCTGTAACGGAATGAAACTTGAAAGAGGCAAGTCAGCGACATTGCGAGTGAGAGGGTACCGATAAGTACGGTGAAGAGAATGCTGATCCATTGACAAAGAATATAACGTATGTGAAAAATAAGAGGAAATGACAGTGGGTAGTACTAGTACTAGCTCAGATACTTCAGCGTAACAAAACTCGTTCAGCAAAACCGGCCTCACTGAATGTTCATCATCGACTTGACCGCGGCTGCTGCGAAATTAGTTGCTGGACTAAGCACTGATTCAAAGGCACTGTATTCAACAAAACAGATTTACCTCCTTTTCTTGACGAGATTAATAGTGTTAGAATCATGCGAGCGAATGTGGCTGACAAAAGACCGAGGCCGATCAGCTGGATTCTGCGGGCTGGTGCTTGCAGCCGAACCCCAGGTAGGTGTCGGGCAAATGCAGTCCATTTGAACGATACAAAACGTTTTATGACAGAACATTGCTATCGCGTACGGTTGAGTGCGGCAAATTGTGCTTATATGCAATGTTCTGGGACCGTTTTGGACGCGTTGATGTCAGAATAGGCAGCATGTCAATACATCGAATGTCAGTGTGGCGCGAAACAGGGTGTAGCTCCTTCCTGGAGAACTCTAGGTCTCAAATCTGGTTACGCGGCATTTCGTTTCTCCACGCGTCATACGAATTGTAATTCTTGGCGACAGCAATTTGGCAACCTCCCCCCAAATACATGTACACAACAATTCAATCCAGATCCTGCGAGTGGGTGATAACGCGGATACTGACTGGGGTATTAGGCATTAGTTTCCAGCACGCGGCTTCTCTGCTATGTTCCATAGTCCATCACCCAGCAGCCATGTCACACGGAAACAGCAGCCCCGGAGCAGTCATTTTCTGGTTCGTTCTCCTCGATTTCGCTATTCAGTGGACTGCGTGCCTCTTCTCCGCAGTCTACCAGGTCGGCTTATCTCTGCAGAGTTCATATTCCGCTCGGCATGTCAGCACCGGACCATCATGAAAACCTTGCCTCGTGTTATGATTTTTTTGCGGCGGTTCAGCCAACCAAACCCTTTCCCGTTATTCCCCGAATTCCGTCTACCGTAACCCATTCAGACGGAGCTTTTCTTTGATTTAACCGGATCCTGCACGTTCCTTCTCGGCGCCTTCCTCTCCCTCGCTATAGGCGGGTCGCTCCACCAGAGACAAGTATGACTCACTTTTCTTTATCGAATCCGCCCTCCGTTCATCGACCTTCTGAACTCCATCTATCATGGATCCTTTAAAACGCTCCCTCATGCATAGTAATTTTTAACTCTGATTGGAAGTCAGACTTCTCCCCTTTTGAGGTGCTTCCGAAAAGTTCATCAAACGCTCTCAGTCGATTTTAACATAAACTCACAAGCCACTTTCAGCTTTCCTGCCTCACCTTTTTAATTCAATGACCCTTCGATTTGCTCCTTCATTCGCCGCTTTGACCCCATTTGGTTCCTGTATTCCGTTCACGGTGACGCCTTCGTTGTAGTCACAATTCACTCATTCCGTAACGCTGCATAGTAGCCACATCCAAACTTCTCATGACGCTTCGTTGCAATCACATTCAGTTCGCTCGATGACTCACCCCCTTCAATATCAGGTGGTAGCATCATCGCTCGTTTCAATCTGGGCCGTTCGTCTCGGAACATTCCTCTTCACCCGCATCCTCCGGGTAAGTCCCCCCTTCCCCCCCCTTCCCCCCCTCTCCTCTTCTGCACCATGCACCACCTCGCTGCCTCCCCACTCCGCCTCTGCCTCCGCCTCTACCTTCCCCCTCTACCTCCACCTCTACCTTCCCCCTCCGCCTCTCTGCCTCCGCCTCTACCTTCCCTGTAACACCTCGCTACCCACTGGGTCAAAACGAGGGTTGTATTTGAGGCGCAGCGGATGCTCTCATACCCTTACGTGTAAGCCCCACAGGCGTTACATTCCCCCTCTACCTCCACCTCTACCTTCCCCCTCTGCCTCCTTCCCCCTCCGCCTCTGCCTCCGCCTCTACCTTCCCCCTCCGCCTTTGCCTCCGCCTCTACCTTCCCCCTCCGCCTCTGCCTCCGCCTCTACCTTCCCCCTCCGCCTCTGCCTCCGCCTCTACCTTTCCCCTCCGCCTCTGCCTCCGCCTCTACCTTCCCCCTCCGCCTCTACCTACCCCTCTGCCTCTGCCTCCGCCTCTACCTTCCCCGTATAAAGTTCTTTCGCCTATTAAAATCTTGAAAACTGCCCCATGCACCTATTGAGGCGCCTTAGTAAGTTATCGAAAATGGTCCTAAGCACCTATTGGTGCCCTCTCCCTTGTGTTGCTCACCGTCTCATTGCCGCACTCCTGAATCCTTTCCGTGCGTGTTTTATATATGAGGATTCTAACAAATAACACAAGCACCACTGGTCCCGCACTGCATTCTTTGTCTGTCCTTCCCCCCCCCCCACTGTACTGTGCTCGCACTTCTCTCCCCCTCTCCCCCCCCCCCCCCCCCCCCACCCTGTACTGTGCTCGCACTTCTCTCCCCCTCTGCCCCCCCCCCCCCCCCCCCCGTACTGTGCTCGCACTTCTCTCCCCCTCTGCCCCCCCCCCCCCCCCCCTGTACTGTGCTCGCACTTCTCTTCCCCTCTTCCCCCCCCCCCCCCCCCCCTGTACTGTGCTCGCACTTCTCTTCCCCTCTTCCCCCCCCCCCCCCCCCCCCCTGTACTGTGCTCGCACTTCTCTCCCCCTCTGCCCCCCCCCCCCCCCCCCTGTACTGTGCTCGCACTTCTCGCCTCCCCACCGATTCATGGACAAGTTAAGAGCCGTCTCAGAAGTCATTGCCTGTTTGGTTCCTTCTCCCGCGTTGCCGTTGCACTCGCTCGCATTTCTCTCCTCCCCATCGACTCATAAACAAGTTTTGCGCCGTCTCAAAAAGTCACAGCCTGTTTGATTCCTTCTCCTGCCCCTGCTCTCGCGCTTCCTGCCTCCGCGCTTCCTGCCTCCGCGCTGTTCCGTGGCAGAGGGGGAAGGACTCTCGGTTCGATGGCGTGAGGGACCACCCCGTCTACCTCATGATGTTCTGGACCGTGCAGGTGGGGTGGGGAGCGGTCCAGTGCATGCATGCAGAAGCAGGTGTGTTCTGGGACATGTATGCCTGCTGATAGGGGACCAGCCCATCTACCATGATGTTCTTGACCGTGCAGGTGGGGACTGGTGCAGGTGGGGGGGGGAGTGGTGCGGGTGTGGTCTGGGCCAGGACCAGCCCATTTACCTAACAATGTCCTGGGTTGTGCAGGAGGGGATCGAAATTTGAGACGTCTCAAAAGCTGTCTTGGGTTGTGCAGGAGGGGATCGAAATTTGAGACGTCTCAAAAGTTGTCTTGGGTTGTGCAGGAGGGGATCGAAATCACACATGCCCATCCAGTTCATCCCGCACCTTCCCCAGCCTCTCTCAGGGGAAGGCGATGAGGTAGAGAGACAACAATTGACGACAAGGCTTTTGAGATGTCTCAAAAGTCACCCCTTCCTCAGCCTCTCTCAGGGGAAGGCGATGAGGTAGAGAGACAATTGACGATAAGGCATCTGCCTTCTCATCTTCTCTCTGCCGTGTCATTTGTTTTTCTCGCTCTCTGTGTCTCGTCCTCAATAGCACCCACACTGACTATCCCCGTGCCTGTCATGAGCTGAACTTGTCCGTCCGTCCACCTCATTCCATTGCCACCCCCTTCCAGGGCATGTGGCAGCTGCTCACCTCTCTGCCTCATTGCCTGCTCGTTCTCACCACTTCTCATCTCATTTGCAATCCCCCATGCCCGTCACTACCATCCCGCTCCAGGGCATGTGGGTGCTGCTCGTCTCGCTGCCTCTGCTCATTCTCAACGCCTCCCATCCTCAACCACAATGGCTCTCTGCTACAGACGTGGCAGGTAAGGAGCCGTGCTTTCCGCAACAGACGTGGCAGGTAAGGAGCTGTGCTTCCTGCTGTGGACGTGGCACGTGAGGAGTGAGTGAGGAGCCGTGCTTTCCGCTACAAACGTACGTGTCATGTGAGCGGCCGTTATTTCTGCTACAAACGTATCACTTAGGTAACTGCGCTTTTTTTGCTACAAGCGTTATTGCTTGTCATGTTGTGAAATAACCCGTTCTTGTCCTTATGCATGGTCCATACCCGTTATTGACTGCTGCAGGAATGGCTATATGGCTCACTGGCTTCCTCATTGAGACCATATCCGACCATCAGAAGTTACTGTAGGTGAAGTGACTCTAGGTGAAATAGTTTAGGTGGAGGTACCAGTGGTAGGGCTCGTCACGATCGAATTTAGAGTCGACTCAAATGTCATCTAGGTGAGACAGTTTAGGTAGGTGAAGGTACAAATGGTAGGGTTCGTCACGGTCGAATTTAGAGGCGCCACAAAAGTCATCGCATCGGGAAAATGGACACAAATGAGAGGTGAAATACTGTGAGAGGAAGCGTGTGGAGATGGTTGATGAAGATTTTTTGTGCGTTAAGGTTTTCGAGTTGAAGGTCGGGTTTAGGGTATAGGAGAAATTGATTGTGCTAGACACATGGCCATGTTCCTTTGTGTAGAATCTATTCCAGGTCTAAACCACTGATTTTTCCTCTTCCCTCGCTTGCTTCCCCCACTGCACCGTGTTTCGTCCTCCCTCTCCCTTTTGCTCACTCTCTCCGATTTTACCTTGCTCCCTTCCGCCCCGCCTCTCTATCTCCCTTCATTCTGACCTCCTTGTGCTCGTTCCCGCTCACCCTTCCCTTCCACTGCAGCTTCAGCTTCAGCCAGGAAAATCTCAGTCAAAATTTTCAGAAAGCTGGTTAAATCCCAACGTGCTTGTGTTCAACTGCCTGTGTTGTTCCTCCCTGTGTTCCTTCCCCCTCGCCCTGCCCTTCCAATGCAGCTTCAGCCTGAGACAGGAGAACGAGGGCAGGTGGATATCCACTGGTCTATGGAGGTACGTGTTTCCGTGGCTTTATTGGATGTTTTCCAGTTACTTGAAATTCCTGAGTCTTCTGTCCGACAGAGCAATAATATGACAGGGATTTTTGGATAACATAATTCGTGTGTGCCTTCTACTGCTCTTTTCGTTCGCCATCTTACCCGGCCTTTTCCCCCCTGGAGCTTCCACTTCCATTCCAATCATCCCACCTTCTTTTCCTTGCTATCCCTTTGCTCCATTTTGCTCCGTGCTTCCCGCCATGTCCACCTGATTCCCAGCTGGAGTCAGTACCACAATATTTCGGGGGAAAAAACAAAAACAAAAACAAACAAACAAACAAACCAAAAAAAGTCAACAAAATAATTGTTTCGCTCTATGTTTACTGTCCGCCTGGTTCGCAGCTGGAGCCAGCACCCAAACTACTTTGGAGAGATCCTCCTCTGGTTTGGCCTCTACCTGCTCACCTACTCCGGCCTCTCGCCTACCTATCGCCTCATATGTGAGCCTCCTCTTGTTGAGCCGACTTAGAAGGCGCCTTAAATCATGCCTACGGTTCTTCCTCTACCTGCTGACCTACTCTGGCTTCTCACCTGCATATCGCCTCATATGTGCGCCTTTTCTTGCTCGGGCCTCTCTTTGTTTTTTCCATCCACTGGCATTTTGTTGTTTCCTTGGTTCTTTTAAATCGTTGTTTTCTTGTATTTCCACGTTTCCACTTTGTCTGTGCACCTCATCTTAGATCTGCTGTGCCTGGTAATGCATGGGACATGTGTTGGTGTTTTTTTTTTTTTTTTTTTTTTTTTTTCAAGTCTGACAAAGCCGCATCCATGGGACCTGCTCGTGTGATCCTTCACACTTCTCAGGCACAAGATGCCTGGTACCATCTGTTGGGGGTGTTGCATGCTCCATAGAATGACTCCACCTTCTACACCCACACATAACCCTTCTTGTCCCAACTTCTTGTTGTCATCATCCCGTGTGGTCACAGGTCTTGCGAGTCCTCTCTTCACACTCTATGCACTCGTGCGCATGAGCGGGGTATGTTTCCTGCCATTGGCCTATGTTGGAGTCATTCTTTAGAATTCTCAAAACTGACTCCAACATTCTTCACTCTTTGCACTTGTGCGCTGAACAAATTATGTTTTCAAGGCCCCCTTCACACTCTGCCCTTGGCCTATCGAAACTAATGTTGCGTATCTCCTCACCTCAAAGCGTAGTCCCCCCTCGTTATAAACGCGCCAACTTCTTTCTGCAGTCTAAAGCATGAGATCTGCCGCAAATCTTAATCTCCAACTATTGTAAACTCACCAGCGGCTTTTACCCAACAACTAGCTCATTCGAATTTCATTCACAAGTTTCCCTCGTCCCATCCCTCTCCCTTTTTTCACGCAGTCAATGTCTCGTCTCCTTTAGTTGCCGCCCGACTTTTGAGACGTCTCAAAAGTCGTCCCCCTCCCTCTCCCCATTTTTATGCAATCCTCGTCTCATTTCCTTGAATTGCTGCCCGACATTATTTCGGATCCCTGAGAGGGTTCATTTCGAATCATAATAAGCCTCCTTGGATTGCTGCGAGACTCACTTCCAGATCACCCTTTTTGACAACGCTTCACAGCAGTGGTGCAGGGAAGATGCAGCGTAAGCGTATATCGAGCGTATTTCAAGTCACCTCCGTTATCATTACTTCCATTGCCTTCCGACTCTTTTTCAGATCCCCTTGTTGGACAAGGCGTCGCAGCAGCGGTGGGGAAAAGATGCAGAGTATCGAGCGTATCGCGAGTCGACCTCCATTCTCGTTCCTTGGCCATGGGCAGTGAAAAATACCCATGGCCACAAGATTCCCATGCAGAATGACATGTTCTGTAAATGATAATGTGAACAGTTTCCTGATGACGGGTGGGTGGCGAATAGAATTCGGAATCTTTCCGTACAGTTCCCAACTAGGGTATCTTTGGAGGTGGGATGGAAGAGTTGACTTGTGAGTCGACACAAAAGGTGGGATGGAAGAACAGCTTCTGGTCATCACCGCACTCAAGTCTAGGCAACTGCACGGCATGAAGCAGAAGCATGCTATGGTGGGGGAAGGGGGGGTGGGGGGGGGGGGATGGGGCCGTTGACTGAGCTGGGCTGAGATGATGGCGTACGTAGCCAGTGCAGTGCCCTTGGGCAGCTGGGTGGTCGTACAGCAATTTCGTCTTTCCCTTGCCGTCGCCTTGATAGAATCATCATCATCACCTTTACCTTGCCGGTGTGTGCACTGCGCACCAGATGTACCATACATGCATTTCTGCATGGATGAGAGGCCAGGGAGAAACAGTAATTGCTGCGGCACAAAAGGGATATTACCGTATTATCACTGAGAGAGAGGCCAGGGAGCAGGGACCACGGACAATGAAACGGCGAAGAGATCCAAATAGTATCCAACTTGACCCTCATGGCTTAGAGACAGACTGGCAGGTTTCTCTTGCTCGTCCAGTCCTTACAAGGGGCCCCTGATTTGCAGGGCATCATCCCCTATTTCGGGCGAGCGCAAGTCCAGTTGATTACAGCAGCAGTAAGGTGGAGAGTGATAGAACCAATGATTGATGAACTACCTTCGCGCTTGCAATCTAGCTGGGCAAGTGATAAACCTGCACCCTAGCAAGAAGTGCACCCTCTCCTTGAGTCATTCTGTTTGTTTTGTCTATGTGCAGTCGTATCTTAGCGATAATTGCATCATCGAGGACAAACATTCGTTCCTCCGTCTGGCTCCGTCGAGGAATGCTGACGTCCGTCAAGCTCATCACCGCAATGTGGTAAGGCGACGCGAGCTTTGGGATCAGTTCTGGTGTTGGTGTCGTCTATCGAACTCGCATCCAGCCAAGGCAAGAATTCCACCAAACCGCAGGGATTGCCCTTCAGCCAATCATGAATGATATTTTTTGGGGCCAGGAGGGCCGAAGTCTCGGGCTCGTCCCCGACAGCACGACACTTAGTTCAACAAGCCGCACGCCTCAGGGTTGGTGGGGGCAGTTGGCTGGCGCTGTGGGAGTGGGAGGGACGCACATTCTCCCCCGGCAAGGTCTCTTTCCATCGAAGCGCGGTAACTCTGGGTGGTGTGCCCGTGGCTAGTGAAAGTCTCTGCGGGGCAGGCTGAACGAAAATGATCCAAGAAGTTCAAACGGAAGCATTTCGAGTCAGAAAGTTGGTAAGCATGGAAACGCTTGTTTTGTTTTCCGAGCAGCCGGCTGTACTGTACAAAGAGCCATTCTTCCACCGTAATTTGTGTCTGGTAATTGTGCTCTGCAAACCTATTGTAGACGGAAAATTGAGAGCGCAATGTCGGTGATTTACCCAATTGCTCCGTCTTCCACGACCACCCCCCCGCTGCATCTGCCTTTGTGACGAGATTGTTGTAGGCTCAGAATGAGCTAAGGACTTGCGGCTATGGTGGTGTGTTTGTGGTAGCAGTTCTGTCAGAAGAGTAGGATAGGCACGGACGGTCTACTAATTGTAGTAAGTATTTCGCATAAGTTTACCTAAAGCGTAGCAGTGACTTACTGATTGGTTACAGTTCCATCGTTCGCAGGCGTCACGTCCTAAACTCTATCACCATCAAGCTCTGTCAACTAACGGCGTATCAACCAGAGCACGACCGCTAACTCATTTTCAAGACACAGTAGAGCAGCATGCGAAGTGTCCGGAGCTTAGCGTGTGTAATACCTTACTGTACTATGTAAGTATCAAGACTTTTAACCTCTAACCGCTAGCGGTAACCAATGACGGTTTCAGTGGCCTATCAGAGCTCCGGGTTTTCCAGAAACGGGAGACCCGGACACGTTGCCAACAATAGGCGGCGAAGGAGGAGCGGAGTTTCCGGCGGGAACAACCCCCAAGGGACGTTCGGCGGTGGCGGACGGAGCCAGACCGTTTTAGGGTTTGTACAGCAGGCTCAGTTCCTCCAGTTCGTTCTCGACCCGTGGACGGCCAGGATCTGCTGCGCCAGCGAAGGCGCGCGGAGAACCCTTGGATACAACAATGCTGAGCTGGAAGCCTTATCGCTTTGCAATCTTGTGGATGGCCTCCCATTGGCTGACTGGCTCCAGCTGGTCGCGCCTCTGGCCACGGGTGAAGAAAAGGCTGCGCGATTCTCGGTAGTTCTGCCAGCGAAGGCCGGCGGAGATGGAGAAGAAGAATCAGAGACGGACGGGGAAGTCGGGGAAATTAGAGGGGCCGGGAATAACGCCGCGATTCACGGCCGTCCCGGACCGAGGGTTCCGAACGCGCAGGTTCGGCATGGAGACGTCAGCCGAAGCAGCAGCGGAGGCTCGGAATGGGCTGCGGCGAACCTCCTCAGACGGGGAACCTGGGGGGAAGGTAGCTTATCTCGAGCCGGAGCCGGCTCGGGGTCTATATCGGGGATAGTATCTAGCACGTCAGAGGACGTTCGGTCAATCCGAACCGTCTCATCAGTTTCGGATGTTGGCGAGGCGGGAGCTGGCGAATTGTTAGAGAACGACGAGGAGGAGGCGGAGGAAGGGGAGGATAACGAGGAGGAGGAGGAGGAGGAGGAGGAGGAGGAGGAGGAGGAGGAGGAGGAGGAGGAGGAGGAGGAGGAGGAGGAGGAGGAGGAGGAGGAGGAGGGAGAGGAGTCGGACCTAGCTTCCGCCGATGACGGGTCAGTCAGACGCAGGAGCGGCAGAGGGAGAGCCGGGGGACGGGACTGGGCAGCGGGAGGGGCGCAGGGGCACGCGCAGGGACAGGCGCAGGGGCAAGGCGCATCGAGCATTGCGGTGTCCATCGATCTGCAGTTCTTCGGCATTGGCGGGGAGAGGGAGCTCGTCGCCACAGCGCATGAGCAGCCGCAATCACCGCCGCCGCCGCCGCCGCTGGCTGAGTCGCCAGCGGCGCCTGGCGAGGAGGGCGCGGGCTTGGCGGAGGAGGGGGGGATGACGACAGCAGAAGCGAGAGGAGGCGTTGCGGGAAAAGGCGGGTTCGACAGTCCGCTAGCAAGCGCGGTTCACGGCGCGTTTCACAGCGCTCACGGTTCCGCAGCTCATGATGCTTCTGCTTCCCCCGCTTCCGCCTCCCCTTCCGCCTCCCCTCAGCCCAAGCCGCTCCGCCGCGGGTTAAGCATCGGGGGAAAGGTTCACATGCCCATGCCGTCAGACCCATTCAACCGGTCCCAGACTGCCGTTTTCTCGCAGCCGGCTAGCCGTAAGCAGGACTCGGCTAGCCGGCAGGACTCGCTTAGCCAGTCGCCAATGCATCAGCGGTCGCCGTCTAGATCTCCCGAGCCGCGTAGACCCGAGTCGCGGCTTAATAGGTGGCAGAGCATGGACGTCAGCTCCATGGATAGTAAGAATATGCTGTTAGCGAAAGGCGACGCGTTTGGGAGGAGCGCGGGCGCGGGGGCGATTGGCGGAACGGTGGGGGGAGCCACGGGGGGAATGCTCCGCGGAGAGGAGATGGGGCGAGGGCGGAAAGCGAGGGGCGGGGGGCCTGGGGGAAGAATGATGAGTGTAGAAGAAGGGGACATTGGCTGGTTGGGGATGGGGAGTGGGGCTGGGAGGGGGATGGGCGCGGTGAGGGGAGGGGGAGGCGCGGGTGCAGGGGAGGATGCGCGGATGCAGGGCTCCGCGGGTAGATGTGACACGCTGGGGCGGGTGGGGAAGAAGGACCGCAAATCGCGGTTTGGTTCAGGTGAGCAGGGGAAGCGGGGAATGCTGGAGACGGGGGAAACGCAGGGGACACGGGGAATGCAGACAGGGGAAACGCAGGGGACACGGGGAATGCAGACAGGGGAAACGCAGGGGACACGGGGAATGAAGACAGGGGAAACGCAGGGGACACGGGGAATGCAGACAGGGGAAACGCAGGGGACACGGGGAATGAAGACAGGGGAAACGCAGGGGACACGGGGAATGCAGACAGGGGAAACGCAGGGGACACGGGGAATGTAGACAGGGGAAACGCAGGGGACACGGGGAATGAAGACAGGGGAAACGCAGGGGACACGGGGAATGCAGACAAGGGGAACGCAGTGGAAATCGGGAACGCTGACAGGGGGAACGCAGGGGAAATCGGGAACGCTGACAGGGGGAACGCAGGGGAAATCGGGAACGCTGACAGGGGGAACGCAGGGGAAATCGGGAACGCTGACAGGGGGAACGCAGTGGAAATCGGGAACGCTGACAGGGGGAACGCAGGGGAAATCAGGAACGCTGACAGGGGGAACGCAGGAGGCGGGCGTAGGGGGAGGGGGAACGCAGATGGGGAGAACATAGACAGGGAGAGTGCTGACGGGGGGAATGTAGGGGATTGGGGAACACAGTTTTGTTCGAGGAGGAGGAGGGGATTTGGCCTGCCACATAAGGAGAGGAAGTATGGGGGTGAGGAAGGGGGAGAAAAGGGACACGAATTGGGTGCGGTGAGAAGCGGTTGGGGCAGGTGAGGACGTGAGGGCTGAATAGCAAAACATTGACAAGCCTGGAATATACAAAGCCTCACTGGCAAACCTCCCCCCCTCCACTCTCTCATTCCTGTCCCTCTCGTTTCATCCCCATGCCCCCTTTTCTCTCCAAGGTTCCTCCTCCCCCGCCCTCCTCTGCCACTGCACCTCTCCCCCCACAGAGGGCCATTTCCCCCAGCACTGGGTGCAGGATGCCATAGGCATCCGCTGTTTTGAGCCGATTCACTACACGACTCATTGTCTTCCCCGTTCCTCCTCCCCTGCCCTCCTCTGCCACTGGACCTCTTCCCCCCCCCACAGAGGGCCATTTCCCCCCAGCACTGGGTGCACGATGCTATCGACGTCCACTGGCTGCTTTTGAGGCGCCTCAAGACTCCTTCCATCCCCAACCCCCCTTTTCTCTCCCCTGTTCCTCCTCTCGAACCGCCCTCCTCTGCCACTGTACCTCTCCCCCACCAGAGGGCCATTTTCCCCAGCACTGGGTGCAGGATGCTATCGACGTCCATTGGCTGCCAGAGCCCCCTCTCAGGTACGCTCGACTGCATGCTTTCCCCCCACCCCACTGCATGCTTTCCCCCCACCCCACTGCATGCTTTCCCCCCACCCCACTGCATGCTCACTGAGTTCACACTCCTGAGTTCACTGGGACGGCCGTCTTTCCTCTCCCACCAGCACTGGTTGCAAGACGCCATTGATATCCACTGGCTGCCAGACGCCATTGATATCCACTGGCTGCCAGACGCCCTTCTCCGGAAATTCTCTTGGGAATGCCCCCACATCGACTGTATGCTTCCCCGTGTGCTCCCCCCGTTGTATCCTCTCGCATGTGCTGCCCACCATTGTGCTGCCCACCATTGTGCTGCCCACCATTGTGCTGCCCACCATTGTGCTGCCCACCATTGTGCTGCCCACCATTGTGCTGCCCACCATTGTGCTGCCCACCATTGTGCTGCCCACCATTGCGCTGCCCACCATTGTGCTGCCCACCATTGTGCTGCCCACCATTGTGCTGCCCACCATTGTGCTGCCCACCATTGTGCTGCCCACCATTGTGCTGCCCACCATTGTGCTGCCCACCATTGTGCTGCCCACCATTGTGCTGCCCACCATTGTGCTGCCCACCATTGTGCTGCCCACCATTGTGCTGCCCACCGTTGTGCTGCCCACCGTTGTGCTGCCCACCATTGTGTTGTCCCACCCTGTACGGTCCCCATTGTGTTGTCCCACCCTGTACGGCCCCCATTGTGTTGTCCCACCCCCTGTAATCCTCCCCCCTCCCCTCCCCTCCCCTCCCCTCCCCTCCCCTCCCCTCCCCTCCCCTCCCCTCCCCTCCCCTCCCCAGCATATCAGCCATGCTGGGCCGCCCGGCCCGGGCAGTGGAGGGGCGCGTGCTGGACGATTTCATAGCCCGGGATGACGTGGCTGCATTCCAGGCGCGTTCAACTCCTGGGGTTCCTCAATAGTCACTTGCCTCTCTTCATGCCACCCCACCCTACTCCACCTCATCCTACCCCACCCTATCAGATCGCTGCTTGATTCTGCCTCTGTCGCGCTGGCAGCGCTGCGGGTGAGCAGCGCTGAGCTGGCGCACTGCAGTGCCGCCCTGGCAGCCATGCTGGGCCGCCCGGCCCGGGCCGTGGAGGGGCGGGTGATGGAGGATTTTATTGCCCGGGATGAAGTGGCAGCCTTCCAGGCGTGGTTCTCGACAGTCTCTGACGCCGTCCTACGTGGCGCGTCCATGTCAGCGCCAGCGTGGCAGCGGCAGCGCCAGCACGACGTGCGGCTGGTGCTGCCGGGCGGCAAGCTGCGTCCTGTGCGGATCACGGTCGAGGCCGCCCCTCCAACTTCCACTGGTGGAGGAGTGGGAGCAGGGGTAGCGGGTGGTGGTGGTGATGCTGCTGCTGCTGGTGGTACTGGGAATCATGTGTCGATGGTCATGGCTGTGATTTGCGACCTGGCAGCTGCCAGCACTGCCAAGGTGCGTGATCTGCCTGGTTTGATCCACTATTCTGCCATTGCGAGGCAGTTCCTGAACCGTCAATGGAGAATGGCGCCATTCTGATCCCCTCTTTGCCTGCAATTTCCATAATTAGAAGTCCATGGCGCGGTGTGGTCTGGCGCGGTGTGGTCTGGCGCGGTGTGGTCTGGCGCGGTGTGGTCTGGCGCGGTGTGGTCTGATGTGGTGTGGTGTGATGTGGTGTGGTGTGATGTGGTGTGGTGTGATGTGATGCGGTGTGATGTGGTGTGGTGTGATGGTGTGGTATTTCCATGTCCCACCCTCTCCCATACCAATCCTCTCACCACTCTTCCTCCTCCCTATCCCTCCCTCAGGCCAATCCTCCTTCCCCCTTCCCCCCAATCCCCCCCTCCTCTCCTCTCCCTGCGTCTCTCCGTACCAGCCGCCCTCCTCAGATCGCCACCGCTTCATTCTGGAGCATCTACCTGCGGGCGTGGTGCACGTGCTGCCGCAGCCGGGGGGAGCGGGGGGGGCAGGGGGAGCGGGGGGAAAGGGTGGGGAGGTGCTGGTGAATGCGCATGTGGAGGCGATAGTGGGGTACTCGCGGGAGCAGCTGGGGAGTGTGGACGAGTGGTTCTCGCTGCTGTTCCGGGAGCGAGAGGCCGAGGTGGGGAACAGGGTGGGCTGAGGGCCTTGCTTGGGAGAGTCAGGTCCAGGTGATAATGATGCTGTTTTTAAGACGACTCAAAGCAACTTGGTTCGGTTTTTGAGTCGACTCAAAATCCGACTCGTCAGGTCCGGGTGATAATGATGCTGTTTTTAAGACGACTCAAAGCAACTTGGTTCGGTTTTTGAGTCGACTCAAAATCCGACTCGTCAGGTCCGGGTGATAATGATGCTGTTTTTAGGACGACTCAAAGCAACTTCATTTCTCGTGGGAGCAGGTGGGGAGTGTAGATGGCTGGTTCTCGCTGTTCTTCCGGGAGGGAAAGAGGCTTAGGTGGGAACAGGCGCTACTAGGGTCTTGCTCGGGAAAGAGAGGCGGAGGTGAGGGGGAGAGAGGCCGTGGGAAGCAGCAGTAAGGATAGGAAGGAAGGTAGGAAATCCACCCTCTCACCCTGTGCTCCCCCACCACCCACCCACTCACCCTATCCCACACACCCTCCCTCCCAGGTGCGCAAGATGATGGATGCAGATCGCAAGGCAGGCTTCCCTCACCCATGCTGCATGCTCTGCGTGTGGTGAGGAGCGATGGGGAGCAGCAGTGGGTGAAAGAAGCATTTTATTCCCATCATTCTGCAAACCGCTCTCCCTCTCCCTCTTTCTCCGCAGGTGCGCAAGGTGATGGATGCGGACAGGAAGGCGGGGTTCCCCCATCCGCGCACCATGCGTGTGGTGCGGAGCGACGGCGAGCAGCGGTGGGTGGAGGTGGTGGGGCGCGACTGCAGCCATCTCTCCTCTTCCAGTGACATAACCGGGGGAGCAGCGGAGGGGGGAGGCGGCGGGGAGCTGTGGGTGGTGAGTGACATCACGGACCGGCTGATCGTGCAGGAGAAGTTCCGCCTGCTCTTTGACTTCTCCTCGGTGCGTCTTTGACTTGTTCGGTGTTTGTGGGTATCGGTATGGGTATGGGTCTGTGTGTTTGTGCGCGCGCACGTGTGTGTGTGTGTGCCACCCTGCCTTCTTCTTGCCTCTAACCACGCACTCCCTCCCATCCCCTCTCCCATACCCATCCCGCCTCCCGCACCCCGTCCCTTCCCTTCCTCTCTCCCCCTCCCCTCCGCCTGGTGTTCTTCACCAACAGCTACCTGGTGTGTGACGAGACGGGCATAACGGAGTGCAACGAGGCAGCAGCGAGGTGACTGCGCTGCCTTCTTAACGCCCCCGACTCATGCGCCCCTCCTCCCACCCAACCCCTCCTTTCTCCTCCCTCACCCCTCCTCCCCCTCCCCCTCCCCCCCCATCAGGACGGCTATCTGGTGTGTGACGAGACGGGGATCACGGAGTGCAACAAGGTGGCGGTGAGGTGGGGTTGTTGCACTCCACGAGACGGGGTCACGGAGTGCAGGGGGCACAAGGTGCTGTTCCAACCCCACCGACCCCTGCTCCCCTCCTCCATTCGCCCGCTTGTTCTGGATCCCCCCTGCAGGACGGCTACCTGGTGTTTGATGAGACGGGCATCACCGAGTGCAACGAGGCGGCGGTGCGCTGCCTGCGCTGCCCCGACAAGGCCAGCCTGCTGGGCCACCACCCCGCGCTCTTCTCGCCGCTGAAGCAGCCGGACGGGCAGCTGTCCAAAGAGAAGGCTAAAGCCATGGACCGGAGGGCAGAGCAGCACGGCATGCACAAGTGCGTGAGGAGGGGAGGGGTGGGTGGGAGGGGACGTGGTGGGCATGCACAAGTGCGTAGGGGGGAAGGATGGGGGGGTGGGGTTTGGGAGGAGGGGAGGCGGGGGTGGTTGCAGTAGTGAGTGAGATTGGTGCTGGGAGGCGGGTGGGGGGAATGAAGGTGAGGAGAAGGGAATGAAGGTGAGGAGAAGGGAATGAAGGTGAGGCGAAGGGTACGAGATGAGGTGGGGAGGGGGGAGGGAAGGGGACAGGAAGGGCATTTGTAGATTGCACCACTGTGATTTTGTTCCAATCCCAATCCGTTCTACACTCTTTTTCCCCTCCCATCCGTCCCCCCATCCTCCGTCAGGTTTGAGCGGGTGTACCAGCGGTTTGACGGCTCGTTGGTGCCCATAGAAGTGACTTTGACGTTCCTGGAGGTGCAGCAGCAGCACGCCATGTACTTGGTGGTGTGGCACGAGGTGGCCGAGATCAAGCAGCAGGCGGAGGAGCTCAGAGCCACCAACACTCGCCCCCTCTCCTTTTCATCCCTCCCTTTCATCCCTCCCATCCCATCCCTCCTATCCCTCCGTCCCCTCCTCCCCGCCCCTCAGATTCGAGTGGGTGTACCAACGTTTCGACGGCTCTCTAGTCCCAATAGAAGTGACGCTGACGTTCCTGGAGGTGCAGCAGCAGCACGCCATGTACCTGGTGGTGTGGCACGAGGTGGCGGAGATCAAGCAGCAGGCGGAGGAGCTGAGAGCCGCCAAGGACGCCGCTGAGAAGGCCAGCCAGGCCAAGAGCCAGTTCCTCGCCAACATGAGTCATGAAATCCGTACCCCTATGAATGGTGAGTGTGTGGTGAGAGTGAGGTGTGAATAGCGTGCAGCTAGGGCTGAGTGCTGAGGATGAGGATCGGTATGAAGGGAGAAGGCCAGCCAGGCCAAGAGCCAGTTCCTCACCAACATGACACCACGAAATCCGCACACTTATGAATGGTGAGCGGTGAGAGGAGCGGTGCAATGCAGTGAAGGGTAAGGGGTGAGGGGTGCGCAGTGAGCAGGGCTCCATGACGGGAGAAGGCTAGCCTGGCCAAGAGCCAGTGGTCGTACCTCGAGATCATTCCCCTGCTCTTGCTGCCCCCCGCGCCTCCTCTTCCTGTCTCCTACTCATACTTGCAGGTGTCATCGGCGTGGCAGAGCTCCTCGAGTGACATTATACCGAGCTGGCTTCTGAGTCGACTCAAAAGTCAGCGTGGCAGAGCTCCTCTCAGGCACGGACCTCACAGCGGAGCAGCGCTTGTACCTGGAAATCATCCGGTCGTCCTCTCCTTTCCCTATCTCCCTCTACCCCCCGTCCCCCTCTCAAACTTTCGTCCAGGTGTGATCGGAGTGGCGGAGCTGCTACTGGGCACGGACCTCACAGCGGAGCAGCGGTCGTACCTCGAGATCATCCGCTCCTCTGGCGACAATCTCCTGAGAATCATATCGGACGTGCTGGATCTATCCAAGATCGAATCCAAGAACCTGGCACTAGAGCACATCGAGTTCAACATCCAGCAGCAGGTGAGCTTCAAGCATTGCTGTCAGAGAACTCTGAGTTCAGTAGTCAGGGTCCTTGTCTGTTGTCTCCCTGACTCTTATCTCCTTCACTCCCGTGCTGCAGGTGACGGAGGCGCTCTGGCGCTGCAAGAGGGGCTGCTAGAGGTGGTGGCGAAGAACAAGGGGCTGTACCTGGAGGCTGGAGGCTGGAGGCTGGAGATGAATCAAGCAGAGGCCTTGTCTCTCTTTTCCCTGTCTCCCCATCCCATGTTCACCATCTCTTGTTCCCTCCCGTGCTGCAGGTGACAGAGGCGCTGGCGCTGCTAGAGGTGGTGGCGAAGGACAAGGGGCTGTACTTGGAGCTGGAGATCGCTGAAGAGGTGCCGTCCGTGGTGGTGGGCGATCCAGTGCGGTTGAGACAGGTGCTGCTGAACCTCATCTCCAACTCCATCAAATTCACTGATAAGTGAGTGTTGAGCTGAGCTCACGGATGAGTGGGTTCCTATGGGTTCCTATGGGTTCCTGGTTCACCTGTAAGGGAGTGTCCTGGGAGTGTTCAGCTCAGCAGATGGATGGAAGGAACGATGGTTCTGCAAAGAGGCAAACAGGTGGGTTCGTTGTTGAACGTCCTCTTTGACTCATCGCCTCCCCTTTCCCCTCTGTTCCCCTCTCCCCCCGCACCTCTTCCCCTCCCCCCTCGCACCTCTTGCCTCCCTTCCCTCCTTCCCCGCCCCTTCCCGCCTTCCCCGCCCCTTCCCTCCTTCCCCGCCCCTGCCCTCCTTCCGCGCCCCTGCCCTCCCCCCCCAGTGGCGGAATCACAGTGGACCTGCGTCTGGCCACTGACGAGGAGATCAAAGAGGTCGAGCAGGCAGCGACCCCGAAGCTTCTTACAGACGGCGCCACCAACACCACTGCCGCTGCTGGCGGCGGCGGCAACAGCAACAGCGGCAGCAGGAGCGGGAACCAGAGCAAGGGCGGCGGCAAGGGGAAGGAGGGAGAAAGCGAGGAGGAGAGCGAGGGAGAGAGCGAGAGTGAAAGTGAGAGCGAGGGGGATGAGAGTGTGATGGTGCGGTTTGAGGTGCGGGACACGGGAGTGGGCATGGACGAGAGTGCGCGCAGCCGGCTGTTCAAGGCGTTCTCGCAGGCCGATAACTCCACCAGCCGCCGCTACGGTGGCACGGGGCTGGGCCTGGCGATCTGCAAGAGCCTCTGCAATTTGATGGGGGGCGATATCAGCCTTCACAGCCAGGTACGTTGGGGCCGAGTCTTGATATGAACTGGCTTGGCAAGCCAGGCTGACAACTCCACCAGCCGCCGCTACGGTGGCACGGGGCTGGGACTGGCGATCTGCAAGAGCCTCTGCAACCTCATGGGGGGCGATATCAGCCTTCACAGCCAGGTAAGGGGAGGGGCATGGGGCATGGGGCATGGGGCGGGCTTGCACAGGCAAGTGAGTTGAGTTGAGGCCAAGGCTATTTGGCTTTAGTTATTGATCTGAGACCAATCAAATCCAGCCGCGGGGCTGTGCCTGGCGATCTGCAAGAGCCTCTGCATCCTCATGGGGGGCGATATCAGCCTGCACAGCCAGGTGGGTGGGTTTAGGGTCGGTCGGGCCGGATTGCCACGTGTGTGTGGGGATGGTGACTCGTGGCCCAGGGAGGCCTTTCTGGGGCACCTCAAAACCCTAACCTCTACCCCTTTCCCTACCTCTTAACCCTTCCCCTACCTCCCCCCCTTCTTGCCCTACCTCCCCCCCTTCTTGCCCTACCTCCCCCCCTTCTTGCCCTACCTCCCCCCCTTCTTGCCCTACCTCTTTCCAGGTGGGCGTGGGGTCCACCTTTTACTTCCACGTGCGGGTGGGCGTGGTGAGGCGCGACGCCCAGTCAGCCACGGCATCGGCGGAGCAGTCGCTCACAAGTGACGTGGAGCCGCTGTGGAAGCACCTGCAGGACCTCAGAGTGCTCGTTGCCGAGGTGAGTGGGTGTTGGCGGCGCTGGGGTCGCTAGTGGCTGGGGTAATGGCATGAGAGGCGAGGAGACCAAGGGAGCAGCCGCTGTGGAAGCACCTGCAGGAGAGCGGTGGGCGAATTTTCTAGTCGACTGAAAAACATGGGAAGTAGGAGATGGTTGCAGCGAAGTAGGACGTGGCGGAGAATGGGAAGCTGACAGCACAAGATGTTTGCTTACTCACCCCATTCCCCCCAAACCACCCATTCCCTTCTCTCCCCACTTTCCCCCCCCACACCGCTTCCCCCCTTACTCCTCTGGCAGGACAACAAGGTGAATCAGATGGTGGCGACGCGCATGCTGCACAACCTGGGCCTCAAGTACGACGTGGTGGAGAACGGCAAGCTCGCCGTGCGCGCGTGCTCCGAGCGCTGCTACGACGTCGTGCTCATGGTGAGTCGCCCTGCTGCTGTTATCTGCTGCTGCCCTTCATGCCGTGCAACAAAGTTGCCCTCGTGCCGAGCCACGCTCCCCCGCCCTCCCTGCCCCTAAACCCAAAATTATCAGTTTTCACACCCGCCCACCCACTCCCCCTCTCTCCACTCCGCTACCTTCTCCCCCCATCCATATTCCCCCCACCAGGACCGTCACATGCCAGAAATGGGCGGGTTTGAAGCCACGAGGAATTCGGGAGATGGAAGCGGAGAGGCTGCAGGTGTACACAGCAGCCATGGCCGCCTGTGGTAACCCATTCCCCTCTCCTTCCCGCCCCTCCCACTCTCCCCCTGCCATTTGTGCAGGACTGCCACATGCCAGAGATGGATGGGTTTGAAGCCACGAGGAAGATCAGGGAGATGGAGGTGGAGAGGCTGCAGGTGTACACAGCAGCCATGGCCGCCTGTGGTAACGGCTCCCCTTACGGCAGCGCCGCCAGCTGGGTGGATAAAAGCGATGCCAGCGATAGTGAGGCTAGTTCCCCCTCCCAGCCCCGAAGGGCTCATATGCCCCCGCGGCCGCACCGGACGTTTATCGTCGCGCTTACTGCGTCTGCTCTTAGCGAGGATAAGGACAGCTGCATGGCTGCTGGGATGGACTATTATTTATCGAAGCCGATCCGGCCGCGGGAGATAGAGAAGGCGATCAGGGAGAGCTTGACCCAGGCGAAGAGCCCGACGGGTGAGTTAAAGCCCACGTCGCCGCAGCTGAGGTACCAGCAGACGAAGCGGCAGCTGCTGCTGCAGCAGCAGGAGCAGCAGCGGCAGCAGGAGCAGCAGAGGCAGCAGGGTGTGGGGCGGGACGGGAGGGGGGCAGGAGGGGAGAGTGAGAGAGAGGGGGAGGATACTGTTGAGTTTGTTCCAGGGAGGGGTGTCGGGAAGGTACAGGGGAGGGATGCTGTGGGGGAATCGAGGGGCGATGTGGTTGGGGGAGGCGAAGGCGGGAGAGCAGGAGAAATGGGAGGAGCAGCAAGTGGGATGGACAGGAGTGGGATGGGAGGGGGAGCAATGACTAGCACAGGAACGGGAGGGGGAGGGGGAGGGGGAGCAGGTGGGGGAGGGGGAGGGGGGCGAGGGGGAGCGACAGGGGGGAGGGGGCGAAAGAGTCTGGCAGCGTACCCGTCATTTGGGTCATGGAACGATGTGCTGGGGTCGGAGTCGGAAGGCTGTGCCTCTGATGACTCCTCCCGGGGCCGCCCCCGCCCCCGAGGAGGGGCCGCCGCACCCCCTGGCCCCACTGCTGCTAGTGCTGCCGGTGCTGCCAGTGGTGGCAAGGGTGGTGGCAGTGGCTTGGGTGGTGGCAGTGGCAAGGGTGGTGGCAGTGGCTTGGGTGGTGGCTTGGGTGGTGGCTTGGGTGGTGGCTTGGGTGGTGGGATGGGAGAGGTGGGAGGTAGACGAGGAGGAGGTGCAGGTGGTGGCATTGCTGCTTCTGCTGGCAGTGGTGGACGTGCTGGTGGTGGTGGTGGTGGAGGTACTGGTGGTGGTGGTGGTGGAGGTGGAATTGCGTTTGCAGCATCCCCTCAGGCTCACACCAGCTTCCCTCGCTCTCGCAGCTCTGCCGCGCCCAGGTCAGCCGAGTCCATCCCTCTTGATCCCGGGGCAGGCTTGGCCGGACCTGAGGCTCGGCACCGAGCCAAGTCTCCCCTGGTTCGGGCGAAGTCAGGTGTGGGGCCTGAAATAGGCAGAATGCGAAGAGGAGAGAGAGGAGGAGAGGGGGGTGGGAGAGGAGGAGGAGGAGGAGCAGGAGGAGGAGGAGGAGGAGGAGGAGGAGGAGGAGGAGGAGGAGGAGGAGGAGGAGGAGGAGGAGGAGGAGGAGGAGGAGGAGGAGGAGGAGGAGGAGGAGGAGGAGGAGGAGAGGAGGAGGAGGAGGGGGGGAGAAAGGAAGGAAGTTCCTAGACGCCTTGCCAGCAGCAACGTCAGCAGCTTCCAGGAAGCTGCACGGGCAGGGGGATGAGTGTCTGCCGGCCAGGCAGCCTCCTTCAGCCCTGTCTGTGCGCGCCCGCTCGCGCTCCATGTCCATGTCCATCGCTTACATGAACTTCCAGGTGAGCCACCACCACTCCCCACGTGAGCCCTCAGCTCACATCTTATTAGCACTCTCTCGCGCGCTCGCGCTCCATGCCCATGCCCATGCCCATGCCCATGCCCATGCCCATTCCCATGTTCATTCCCTCTCGTTACAATTCTCTCTCCCTCCACCCCACCATCTCTCCCCTTCCTCAGGTGGAGAGTGACGACGAGGAGGACGAGGAGGGTGTGGTGGAGGGGGACTTATACCTCCCTTCCCTTCCCACTGTCTCCCGTCCCCAGCACTATCTGAAGACACCTTCCCTCCACTGCTCCCCCCCAACCCCCCGTTTCTTCAGGTGGAGAGTGACGACGAGGAGGACGAGGAGGGGGTGCTGGGAGGGGGCGCCAACGGAGGCTTCTCCCAAGGCTGGCTCGCCGGCAGAACCGGCAGCGGCTCCTATGCCGCTGGCCCTTCTACTTCTGCCTCTGCTGGTGCTTCTTCTGCTGCTGCCCGCGCTTCCCCTGCTGGTGCGAGCGGGTCAGACAGTGGCAACGGGGGGAGGTTGGGGGGGAGGCCCGGAGGGTTGGCCGGAGGGGGGCAGAGGGAGGAGTCTTTTGGCGGTGAAGTGAGGAGTCTAGGCAGGAGAGATGGGTCTGGGGGGAGTGGGGGAGAGGGTGGTGGTGCAGGAGGAAGAGTGAGAGGAGGAGAAGGAAAGGGAGGAGGAGGGGGAGAGGGAGGGCAGAGGAGGCTGTCTCGAAGTGGGTCGCAGAAGAGAATGTGGGAAGCTGGCACCCCATTGCAGAGTGATGATGAGGATGATGAGGAGGATGAAGAAGAGAGCGTTGGGGAGGGAGGGAGTAGGAGTAGCCATGGAAATAGGCATGGGCATGGGAATGGCCGTGGGCATAGTTCGAATCAGGATGGGCTGACGAGTAATGATGAGGATGATGATGCAAGCAGTATCTACAGTAACACTAACAGTAACTCTAGCCATAACCGTTACGGTAGCGGCAGCAAGCAGAGGGAAGGCGGCAGCAGCATGGGCGGCAGTATGGGCGGCAGCAACAGCAGGATCGGATCACATGCAGAAAACGACAAGGGGCCGTCCCTGGATCAGATCTGGTCTAAGATTCATGGAGGGAGTGGGGGGGACCAGAGAGGGGTGGGAGGGAGTGTGAATGGAGAGGAGGAGGAGGAGGATGAGGGTGAATTATCGTCGTCCAGTCGAGGGGGTTCAAGTGTGGGGGGGAGCGTGCGGAGTGGGAGGAGTGGCAGTGGGAGAGTGGGTAGTGTGAATGGAGGGTCAGGAATAGAGAGGAATGGTAGCGATAGGAGCCTAAGGGAGCAGGCTGCTAGCCCGAGAGGGGAAGGCGTGGGGAGAGGAGGAGGGAGAGGAGGAGGTGGGGTAGGAGGAGGGAGGGGAGGTGGGGTCGGGGCAGCGAGGGGAGGAAGTGCAGGTATGGCAAGGGCAGGTCCAGGGGGGATGGAAAGAAGAGGAACGGGGGAGAGAGGAGGCAGAGGAGGAGGAGGAGTAGGAGGAGGAGGAGGAGGAGGAGGAGGAGGAGGAGGAGGAGGAGGAGGAGGAGGAGGAGGAGGAGGAGGAGGAGGAGGAGGAGGAGGTGGGAGAGGAGGAATGGAGAGGAGAGGGAGTGGTGACCCAATGGATCAAAGTAGGGAGTGGAATAACAGCCGGGAGTGGACGAGCACTCGTGAGGCATCCGGGAACAGAGAGGCCACTAATGCCACCAGGGATACTGCTGACTCCCGGAATACCTCTGGTGGTGCTCGAGAGGCTACTAATTCGAGAGAGGCGTCTGGGTCTTCTAAAGACGTCTCTATTCCTCGTGACGGGCGGGACCTGGATCGCAGCAGGGAATGGAATAATAGTAGAGAGTGGAATAACAGTAGAGAGTGGGGCATGGCGAGGCAGGACGCCAAGGAGAGATCACGGCTGGGGGGAGGCGCAGGGAGAGGGGGAGGAGGGGGAGCGGGGGGCGGAACAGGGGGGGGAGGGGGGGCTGCCCCTCCGAAGAGCATCTTACGAGTGTCCACGTCTGAAAGTTACTCACGGCAGAACTCACAGGTGGGGGCGAGCGCAGGCGGGCAGGAGCGCGTTCCAGAGAGCCCCAGGCACGGGCGAATACCCCGACCCGACGGGAGAGGGGGGAAGCCTCCGCCCTCTGGGGGGAATGCGCCAGGGGGAGGGGCAGGGGCGCCTGGCGGGCGGGCAGGGGGGGCAGGGGCGGGCGGAGGGGTTGGGACTAGCGTGGGGAGGGGGAATCCGGGAGGGTCGGGGCTGGGGAGAGGGAGCGGGGGGAGGGGAGGGGGTGGGGGGGAAGGTGTGGGGGAGAGTAGAGGAGAGGGGGCGGGTCGGGCGGTGGGAGGGGCAGGTGAGGGGAAGCAGAGTGAGAGCTACGGGGCAGGCAGGGGTGGGGGGTCTGGGCCAGGCAACCCCGCTCCTGTGAACGCATCCAGGGGTGGGCCTCTGGGCACTCCTGGTAGTCTCCGGCGGGTCAACAGCAGCAGCCCCTACAGCGGCAGCAGTGGCAATGGCAGCAGTAGAAGCCCGTTGGCGGAACAGCGAGAGGGCGACAGAGCTTCCTCTGTGGCTGCAGCAGACAGCGGGCAGGAAAGAAGCGCCGCTGGGTCAGACGGGCAGCAAAGAAAATCCTCGCCGGGGTCCCCTATGGAAGCCATGCGATCTCTCACAGACAGCCGCCCGCGCACAAGCGGAGAACTTTCTAATCGCATGGGCGGCACTGCTGGGAAAATCCTGGGCCGCGGGTGGAGTGTCGGGGGAGGGGGAGGGTTAGGGGGAGGAGGGGTGCAGAGGGCGCAGTCTATGTCCCCCCTGTGGCGCAGCACGAGCATGGACCCGGGGTCGCTGAGTGCTGGTGGGGGCAGGCAGCCCAGAACGGGGTCGGAGCAGCGGGCAGCACAGGACATGCGCATGTGGATTGAGAGGGCCAGTAACCCCAAGATGGATGAATGGCTGTCGCAGGTGAGATGGATGAATGGCTGTCGCAGGTGAGATGGACGAATGGCTGTCGCAGGTGAGATGGACGAATGGCTGTCGCAGGTGAGATGGACGAATGGCTGTCGCAGGTGAGATGGACGAATGGCTGTCGCAGGTGAGATGGACGAATGGCTGTCGCAGGTGAGATGGATGAATGGCTGTCGCAGGTGAGATGGATGAATGGCTGTCGCAGGTGAGATGGATGAATGGCTGTCGCAGGTGAGATGGATGAATGGCTGTCGCAGGTGAGATGGATGAATGGCTTTGTGTCAGGTGAATACTTGGGCTTTCTTTTTTGGGTCAACACTTTCCCGTCCACTTTCCAGCCATTTAGCCCCGTATTACATTCCTGCTGCTGCACTTCCCTCCCTCTATTCCCCTCCAACTTGAGCAGCGTTTGCGCCACCACTCATTCTTCCTCTCACCTGTTGCTGCCCCTCCCCTCTCCCTTCATTTCCCCTTCAAGTCGTCTCCAGCTCACCTCAGCCCGTCCCACGAGCTGTAAAGAAATCTAGCAGCAGTGGCACCACCCCTCTGGCCTCCCCTCACTTATTGTTGCCCCTCCCCCCTCTTCCCCCTCCTGGTCGTCTCCAGCTCACCTCTGCCCGTCCCACGAGCCGTAAAGAAATCCAGCAGCAGCGGCACCACCCCTTTATCTACTTCTCGCTTTATCTCATTTCCTTGCCCTGTTGTTGCCACTCTTGACCATCCCTCTATTTCCTTGCAGGTTGCCTCCAGCTCACCTCCGCCTGTCCCCCGCGCCGTGAGGAAATCCAGCAGCAGCAGCACCACCTCCCTCTGTCTTCCCCTCACCGCTTTCTGCCCCTCCCCTCCTTCTCTTCCACTTCAGGTCGTCTCCAGCTCACCTCCGCCTGTCCCCCGCGCCGTGAGGAAATCCAGGAGCAGTGGCACCACCCCTCCGCTGCACTCTGCCGACCGGCCCCCTTTACAGTCACACTCGCGCTCGCCGTCCCACTCACACGTGCCCTCCCATCCCCAGCAGCAACAGCTGCAGCAGCAGCAACAGCAGCAGCGCAAGTCGCTTAGATGCATGCAGAGCTCTCCCTCTCTGTCCCCCATCACAAGCCCGACTGGGGAGGAGAGCGAGAACATGTTCCGAGGGGATGGGGAGGATGAGGAGGATGAGGAGGATGAGGAGGATGAGGAGGAGGAGAGTGAGGTGGTGAGGGGCAGCTGGAGGAATGACAGGAGAGGGGCAGCCGATGTGATGACACACCGGTCAGTGTATGATGAATCTATGGAGCCGTTGAAATGATGAATACATGGGGGGGCGGGGGGGGGGAGGGGGGGGAGTGAGTTAGAAGAGGAGGGGAGAGGTGCGGAAGGGGAGGTGTGGTACAGGGAGGGATCAGCATGCAGCCACACAGGGGTGACAGGAGCGGGGCGGTTGACGTGAAGCACCTCGCCAGTGGGTTGTATGATGCGTCTATACAGCTTTTGAGGTGATTTTTTAGGCGCCTTAAAAATCACACCAGTGGGTGTATGATGGGTCTATGCAGCTGCTGAGGTGACGAGTGAGAGAGGTGCAAGTGGGAGGGAGGCGTTGTGTGGGGTATGGAGCTGGTAGGGAGGCACAGAGGGGTGACAGAAGAGGGGCAGCCGATGTGACACACCAGTGGGTGTATGATGAGTCTATGCAGCTGCTGAGGCGACGGAGTGAGAGGGGTGGAGAAAGGGGAGAGGGAGCAGGGGAGGGGGGGAGGAAAAGGGAGAAGGATGGAGAAGGGTGGGGGGAGGGTGGGGAAGAAGGGGGGGGGAAGGGGAGGCGCGTCGTCCGTCAGACTGACTGTTGTTTTTATGGACTGGTGCATGTATGATACAGTGGCTCTGTGGGTGTACACAATGAAATTATAGTACTGTAATTGCTGCTGGAGCGATGCAACATGGATGCAGCCTGGAGGCAGGGGTGAGTGAGGGGGTATGGGTGGGTGGAGTGCAGCCTGAGGGTGGGTTGGGTGGGTTATGGGCAGGGCTGGTGGGGCTGAGTGAAGCGTGTGCTATGTTTTGATGTGGGTCGGGTGGGGGCTTTGGTGGAAACGCACAGTGGAGGCTTCAATGACTGGTTTGGAAAAAGGGGGCTTTACTAGAAGTGGAGGTTCTGAGGTTGGAATTGGTCCCCACCCCACCCCAGGGGGGTAAGCAGAGAGTAGAAAACAGCTGTGGGAAACGAGTTTTACGTTGACAGGGTGTGCAGTGGAGTATAGATTTACCGTAGGATCGTTGTTCCTGATTAGCTCATGAAGATAACAAAATATTGCTAACAAGATTAACGCATGTTGTTTTCAGGAACCAGTACCGGTATGTACCGTAATGTTGCAATACTGTACATGTTACCACCACCATTGTACAAGGCAAAAGAGCTGGAACAATACCGTCGTTCCAGGGCTGACGTTTCAAATTTAGAAAGCTTGCTTTCTTTTACTTATCATTTGACATCGTTCTCATCAGGCCCTCAGATATCAGTGTAAAACACGCTGATTGTGCTGATTTTGTAGCTCAGATTTTCGTTTTCCCTGGAAATTCAGCATATGCTTCAATTTTGCACTGAAATTTCAGTATAACCTATTTTGTCACACTGACCATTTTGCGTGTTACCGTACAAGTAACACTGACGAATCAGTATAGTGTACCGAGTCACACTGATTCGGACATGATAGGGTATGGGTGTACAGGGGGTGTTCAAACTAGGATTCCCGCAAAAAGAACTCTCGGACCACTCAGATAGCTCCCGCCTACGGGAATCGAACCCGAGACCTTTGCGAAAGGAGTGAGTACCAACCTGCTGTTCCCCTAATCCGATCTTCCCGAACGCTTCTTTGCACCAGTTTCGGATCGTCGGGTATGATGGCGGCCTTGCTTGGCCACTTTGGGGTGAACCGCGTCCAAAGATTCGAATATGTGGCCCCGCCGGCTGCCGGTCGTATCCCGCGAGTTGGATGAGTCGTCGGGTGCAGCAGACGGGGCAAAAGGGATCATGAGTTGCAGCGATGGGTATCCATGTGCCCCTTCCAGCTTGGTCCGTCTTGGAGTACGGAATCAAAATCCACATGACCTCGTTCTCGAACTAAATGTCTTGCCACTCGATGACGATGAGGTCTGAATATCTAAAAAATCCGGTGTACATGAGGATGGGGATTAGCCCTTTTTGGAACTCCCCGGGGTTGTCGGATTGCAGGTAGCTGGCAGACATGTCGTGGACTTGTTGCAGCGAGACAGGCTCCTTCACTCGCGTGGGGCGATGGCAGTGTCTTTTTGCGAACTTGGGTGGTGAATGGTCCGGTTGTTGGGCATATGCTCCCGGTCATGCGGTGTGCAAAGCTCACGGCTGAGCATGTGAGTTGTACCATGGACAAGGTGGCTTTGTGTTGGATAGCGTACACCAGGTACAGCGCGAGGGTCATGTCCGCCGTGGGGAGGAATGGGAGGTTCACCTTTGCACAAAAGGCTCGAAACTTGACCCAGTATGGCTCGTATGTTCGGATCGTTGAATCGGCCCGAGACTGTGAGAGCATCTTTAGAAGCTGGACTTGTAGTTTTGGCAACACGTCTGCACAAAGGCATATGGGGTGGGTTAGTTGAAGACCACTCGTAGTGCAATGATTGTGCTATGCGGCAGTCGTGTGCCTGAAAAGGCAGTGCGGTGCGTTCCTACTGCTAGGCATTGGCTGCCGTGCGTCAGGGGAATGTGCGCTCTGATATGCGGGGCCCAGTTTGGTGGGGAGGGTTGTAGGAGTGGCCACCAGTTTGCCCCCGTCCAGTGTGGGGCAATTAGGGTGAATGATGCGTGGGTGCGTTGTGTGTGGTGGTTGACTGCTGGGATCAGCTGGGGTGGTGGGAACGCGAAGCCATTCTCGGTTGCCCATGAGCATGAGAATGCATCAACCGCAGTAGCCTCTGGGTGGGAGATCTTTGAGCAGAATCGTGGCATATGCGAGTTTCGATAGTTCGCGAAGAGATCGATCGAGTGGGGGTCCCCAACGGCGATCAAGGATTCGGAACCATGGTTGCTTCAATGAGTAATCGTCATGGTCGATTAGTTTCGACAGCTCGTCAGCATGGGAGTTAAGCTCGCGCGGGATCCATTCGACGATTAGTCGAGTGCCGAGCTCCATGCAGGTGCGAATGATGTCCTTGCAAGCGCTGGTCAGGTCGGGGGTGCCGGAACCGCCTTTGCGAAGGATGAAGAAAACCCCTTGGTTGTCCACCCTCACGAACACGTGTTTTTGTTAGATCTTGTTCCCGTACGTTTGGAGGGCCCAAATGACACCTTCGATTTTCCGTCGGGTGCTGGACGTTGCGTGCAGTGGTTCTGGCATGGCTGCACTGGCTTCTTCGAGTTCGCCCGGGAAGGAAAGCAGAGTGGTACCCCAACTGTGGGAACTGGCGTCCACGTGGATTACTGCGTCGTAACTATTCCGGACGTGGAATGGTGCCATTGAATCTGTCAAACTCCTCGAGCCAGAATTGCAGCTCCTCAGCCACGAGTGGGGAAATGCTCACACTACTTCCCCAAGATGGCGCGTCGTTGATCCCTTGTAGCATGGCGTGGCTGAATGCGCGCGTCGTGGCCCCTAACGCGACAGCCATTGACGCGAGCGTGCCAGTGATTCTAGCCAGGTGGCGGACTGGAACTTGTCAACGTGCTTTGCTTGCGTTCAGTAGATTGAGAATGTGTGCATGAAGTGATGCTCGTCGATCGGTGCCAATGGAGAATTGTCCGGAGTCGGTATCCAGCTCGACGCCCAAGAACCACAGGTGTTGTGATGGTGACAGCTGCGACTTTTCCGGCGACGGCATCAAAATCGACCCGCGTAAAATGGACGCCATCATTAAGTGGAAGCCGCCGACTAGTATCCCTGAGTTGCAAAGTTTTTTGGGGTTTGTTAACTACGTTCGCCGTTTTGTACCTAATATGGGAGGGATAACCAAGCCGCTGACCGACCTGCTGCATCACGACAGTCATTTTCGGTGGGGGGAGGAGCAGTCCGCCTTCGACGCACTCAAAAACATTTTGGGTTCGCCCCCGGTACTCCGCCTCACCGACCCATCTCGACCGTTCGAAGTCATCACGGACGCCAGCAATTTTGCCGTGGTTGGACTTCCTCGAGTCCAATTTTCGGTACACCATCACGTACAAGAAGGGCGCCAACAACATTGCTGATGCCCTCACCCGACCATCCATGCAGAACGCGGCAATACTAATCGCCCACACCAACCCGATGCTGATGGGACTATTCACCCACGACTACAAGATTGACCGGTTTTTCAGGAACCCGCACCAACAGGCTGCCACGCCACACGGCAAGTACTACCTAAAAGCCGGTACGAACCGGATTTGGGTACCCGCCTACCAGCCTTTACGGGAATTGCTGACGCAGGAGGTACACGACTCCAACCTCTCCGGGCATTTCGGCATCGACAAAACACTGAAGCTGCTGCAGCGGAATTATTTCTGGCCGGATATGCTCACCGACGTGCAGCGCTACGTGTCAACTTGCCCAACCTGCCAAGCAATGAAGTCGTCGCGACAAAGGCCAGCCGGATTGCTGCAACCCCTCGCGCCACCCGAACGACCGTGGCAACAGGTGACGATGGATTTCGTCACGGGGCTTCCAGCTGGTACAAGTGGCAACGACTCGGTAATGTTCGTCGTCGACCGCCTGACGAAAATGGCGCATTTCACACCCATGCCGTACGACGATCACAGCCGAAGATACAGCGAAACTCTTCATCTCCACCGTCGTACGCCTACACGGGTTACCTTCGGCGATCATCAGCGACCGAGACCCGAAATTTACGTCGAAGTTCTGGCAGGAGACGTGGGCACAGTACGGTACCCGCCTGCAGTTTTCGTCGTCATACCACCCGCAAACCGACGGACAGACAGAACGGACAAATCACACTATGGAGCAGCTGATTCGCACCAACTGCCCGGATATTCGCAAGTGGGAGGACTCGGTGCCGATGCTGGAATTCGCATACAACAACGCCCCTTCGGCCACGACTAAACAATCACCCTTCTATTTGAATTACGGGATAGACCCTGTGGTACCGTCATCAACGACTTTGGACAACCCGGTGCCACGATCGCAGTAGTTTGTCACGGAACTGCAGACAGCCCGCACGAAGGCGGCTGATTTTATTCGTAAGGCTAATACCACGGCCAGCCACCAGGCGGACAAACATCGACGGAATTTACCTTTCCGTGCAGGGCAGGTTGTACTTCTGGACACCAAGAACCTTCGTCTGCCGCAGCCAGCGAAACTACGGCCCAGATACGTGGGACCATTTCGCGTACTCAAGATGGTGACACCTGTCACCGCGAAGCTGTTGCTGCCCGATGACTGGAAAATACACGACGCGTTCCACGTCAGCCTGCTTCGCCACTACGAACCGCCGCAGTCGCCAGCTGTTGCTCGGCCAGCTATCGCGCCGACCACACGCCCCGTGGCCGAACCCACGCTGGAACCTTGGAAGATTCTCAACCATCGCGTGGATGTGACTACCGCCGGCCGCTCGGTCAAATTCCTGCTTCGCTGGAAAGAACGCACGAGCGAGGACGACACGTATGTCGCAGCCGACTCCCTACATGGACATCCGATTGTGGATGCTTACCTGGCCCGCCGAGGTGTCTCGGATATTCACCACCTTTCTTAAGGGGGGGGTAGTGTAAGGAATTTTCCGGATTCCTTACTGAGTCACACTATACGCGTACAACCCCGGTTTTCGGAAAACCAGGCTCGGTCCGCCGACCTCGCCTTCCGAGCCACCACCGCGTCGCCTTCGGGTTTTCCAACCCCGAACCTGCACCCAACCATCTCTCGACCCCGCGACCTCGGCCTAGCTAGCATTGCTATAATAGTTCTACGCCTCGTTGTTTTCTGAGACGTTGTAATCACTTCCGCATTATAGAGTTCTGCGCACTCTTCCTTTCACAACTCATAACAACTTCACTAAGAACGCTTCCGCAATTACATCATCTCTACTCAAGATCTTAGCCTTGCAACGACCGTAAGGACTTTGTTCAGCCTAACAGCATGTGTAAGGAAAGGACAGTGCAAACACATTGCGGCTAGCTTGAATCAGGGTGTTTGAGCTGTTCAGGCCTTCGATAATCGGGGTAAACAACATGAACACCTGAATTACAGGATACTATAAATGTTCCTTTCGCCTAAAACAACATTTGAAAGGGTTGAGTCAAATTTACTCTCTGATCCTAGAAAGTTGCGTCTTGATTTCTGAAGGTGCCTTGTGCTCGCTAAGGGCTGCTTTGCCATCCAGTGTCATTGGAAGTATCGCGTCAGGGACAGGAGTGGTGTTGAAGGGCGCGGTCGAAAGTCTTTTGCCAAGGCGCACAGTGTTCATCGCACTGTTTGCAGAACATGCCCGCCAGATTGGCATGCGACAAATCACAGCTGGCAACGATTTGGTTTCGATATAATTTGGGGGGAATCAAAGCAATATAGTGTCCACTTCTCGGGAGGATTCATTTTTGGCTTGGTGTTTACACCTGGTCCCCGTCAATGTCACGTCGTGAAACCGCACTAAAAAAGACTTTGAACCATACTCTGAACCATTTTCTGTGCTTGATGAAAGCACGCCCAGGAACTAGGGGGTATGGATGATTTTGTCATGTCAATGTCATAAAACTCTTGCCTGGTGAAAACAGCACATCCATTGGTTTGCTTCATTGCAACTGGCTTTGTTGTGTTTTTCACTCACATAAGGGGTCCTCAAACATTGCCTTTTCTAAAAACGAAGGTGACTGAAACATCCTTACGAACCCCACATCTTTGATGTCTTCACAGTCCACCAAATCAATATCCGCGACCCCCATATGTGACGCAGTGCTTAGCAGGATGACACGAGCCTGGGCACGCTGGCAAAGCCACCCCAATCATAGCCTTCATGGAACCCTTGAGATATCGTGAATATGTTTGGTGATCGCCCCGACAAGGGCTGTGAAATCGGTGCTACCGTACCTAGCCTTTTATCAGCGGCTGAAAACAGGCGCCATCTTCCATACCAAAATTATATGGTCAAATATTGGTAGGTATTCCGATATACAGACCGGTTGCTTTGGGCTGCCTTGAGAATAAACTATGACTGACTGACAAATTGTTGATGACAAGCCTGATCCATCACACATTGATCGAATGCTGGTCTGATACGGAAAATTGATATACATCTACTTTGGAGGCCGAATGGAACCCAATCCTCCACAATGAAAAGCCCATGGAACAAAGAGGCATAGAGAACTTAATTGCTTTGCCGAAACGCGGTAGCTGATATATGATAGCATTGTACAAGGCAAAAGAGCTGGAACAACACACCCGCGCAATGTGCGGGGCAAAAACGGTCGAAACTAGGCATTGCAACGGATGCCATGCCAGCCTGCAACCAAAAAACTCCTTGCCTTCTACATGATGCCACAGCCTAGAGTACCTGTATCCTGACGTAAAATCCACAGGCCCTGACCTGGGAACTCTTGCACACACTCTCTAAAAAATGCCCTTTGTAAGGAAATGGGGGTCCCAGCCGTGGCTCCAACCAACGGCGGCATCGGTAGCTCCGTCCCCTACTGCTCCATGAATTCGTGGGACCATACCACACCATGTGGGGAATAGGTTGTGTACGGTGCCAGAATGCAACCTACGCAATGCTTTCATATCCACTGCGCACTGCACCCACTGTTCTTACCTGCGCACTGCACTCATGTGCACTGCACTGCACTATTGCCCCTGTGGGTTCTTCTGCTGACCCTGTCACTTCTGACCGTCCTGCTGCCTATGCCATGCCCCCGCAGCAATGCACTCACTACTTCAGTCACCACTCAGTGCCCATTCTTCCTTCCGAGACCAGGCAGCACCTGATTGGAGGCACCACTTCAGTCACCACTTCAAAATGGCAAATCTTCATTATCCTTGGCCGGTACCTGCTCCCTCTCCATACGAACTCTGCTCCAGACACACTCTGCCTCGCTGCTCCTCCCATCCCAGCTTGCACGCACCTCAGAGCATGGCGACAGGCCTGCCACTCCTGAAACGAACTACGGCATGAGAGACCTATTGATGCTGCCTACTCCTGGTTCTCTTTTTGTTCCCGATCCTGGCCGCGCTGCTGCTGCTGCTGCTCCTGCTGCTGCTGTTGCTGCTGCTGCTGCTGCTGCTGCTGCTGCTGCTGCTGCTGCTGCTGCTGCTCCAGGCGCTGCTTCTGCTGCTGCTGCTCCTGCTGCTGTTGCTGTTGCTGCTGCAGTTGCAAATGCTGCAGTTGCTGCAGCTGCTGCAGCTGGTGGTGTTGAAACTGCCTCTGTGCAGAGTGCCACTGCTGTAGCTGCTGGACCCTCTGTAGCTGCTCCTCCTGCTGCCTCGCCAACACCTCGTGCTGCTGCTGCAGCAGATGTTGCTGGTGCGGCTGCTGTTGCAGCGACTGCTGCTGCTGCCCCTGTTGATGCAGTAGATGCTGTAGCAGGCGCTCCTGCTCCAACTCCTGAAGTTGCACTGCTTCTTGCTGCTGCTGCTGCTGCTGCTGCTGCCGAGCTTCCTCCACTATTACTCCAGTCGGTGCCAGTTCGTGCTGCAGGTCCATCAATCGCTCCATGTGAGGCTGGAGTGCCCACTGCTGCTCCTGCTCCGCCTGCTGCTGCTGCTCTTGCCGCTCACGCTGTTGTTGTTGCTGCTCCTGCTGCTGTTGCTGCTGCCCCTGCTGCTCCTGCTGCTGCTGCTGCTGCTCCTGCTGCTGCTGCTGCTGCTGCTGCTGCTGCTGCTGCTGCTGCTGCTGCTGCTGCTGCTGCTGCTGCTGCTGCTGCTGCTGCTGCTGCTGCTGCTGCTGCTGCTGCTGCTGCTGCTGCTGCTGCTGCTGCTGCTGCTGCTGCTGCTTCTTCTGCTGCTCCTCCTGCTGCCTCTGAAGCTGCTGATGCAAAATCTGCTGCTGCCAAAGCACCTGAAGCTGCACCAACTCTTTTCTGCTCCACTCTTCCTCCTGCTGTTTCTGCCGTTGTTGCTCCTCCTCCTCCTCTTGCCGTCGCTTTTGCTGTTTCTGTTGCTCCTCCTGCTGCCTTGGATTCTGCATCTGCTGCTGCCGCCGCCGCTGCTCCTGCTCTCGCTTCTCCTGCTGCAAGAGTATCACCGTCTTGAGCTCTTCCGTCCCCTCCCCCCCCATTATCCACCCACCTGCAGTCTCTCCTTCCCCTTCACCCCACAAGCTCTCTTCACTCCTGTCAAGTTCTTCGCCTGGTTGATTCCGCCTCACTCCCAACGTACCCACAATGTAACCCTCCTCCAAAACTTGGTCAAACCCATCTTTACCTCTAGAGCCTCCTAGTCCGACTGTTGCTGATTCTTGTGGCAACTGCTGCGGCTGCTGCGGCTACTGCTGCTGCTGCTGCTGCTGCTGCTGCTGCTGCTGCTGCTGCTGCTGCTGCTGCTGCTGCTGCTGCTGCTGCTGCTGCTGCTGCTGCTGCTGCTGCTGCTGCTGCTGCTGCTGCTGCTGCTGCTGCTGCTGCTGACGCTCCTGCTGCTCCTGCTGCCACACCACCTCCCGTTCATGCTGTGCCTGAAGCCCGGCTAGATTCATCAAAAGCAGAGACTCATGTGCCTTGGCACCTGCAACGACGTGTGCTGAGGGCGATTTCTCAGTCGCCTCAAAGGGCGATTTCTCAAAAGGCCTTCCGTCACCACTTGAGATGGCGTGTGCTGCTCGCCCTGTGAGTGCCGTGCCTGACTGGTGCTGTGCTGCTGCCTGTTGTTGCGCTGCTGCCTGTTGTTGCGCTGCTGCCCGGTTCTGAACCTGTGCGAGAAGAGCTGCGAATGAGGGACCTTGAAGAGGGCGACAATGAAGGGAGGGGGCTTGGAAGGAGGGGGCTTGATGGGACGGACCTTGAACCTGTGTTGCTGTCTGCATTATACCGGCTGCTGCTTGGTTCTGGGCATGGGCGAGAAGTGCGGCAATGGAGGGATCTTGAGGAGAGGGGGCTTGAAGCGAGGGGTTTTGAAGAAGTGAGGAACGTTCTGGACCGTGCATTGCTGTCTGCATTGCACCAGCTGCTGCTGCTGGGTTGGGTTCAACAGTGGCCGCTGCTTGAGCTTGGACCATTGCTCCTGGCTGCAGCACGGGAGTTCCCTGGGAGAGCGCCAGAAGCAGCTGTGCCTCTCCTGCTCCCAGGCGAGCACTGCAGGGAGGGAAGTTGGGGAAGAAGTTAGGAAACGATAGGTGAGCTAAAAGGGATGCTATAATCGACCCTGCATGCGCCATTGCTCCTGGTTGCAGCATAGAAGTTCCCTGGGAGAGCGCCAGAAGAGCGCCAGAAGAGCGCAAGAAGAGCGCCAGAAGAGCACCAGAAGAGCACCAGAAGTGCACCAGAAGTGCACCAGAAGTGCACCAGAAGTGCACCAGAAGTGCACCAGAAGTGCACCAGAAGAGCACCAGAAGTGCACCAGAAGTGCACCAGAAGAGCACCAGAAGTGCAGCAGAAGTGCACCAGCAACGGCAGAGGTTTTCTTGCTCACCTTGCACCTCTCTGCGGTAAGATTCCCTGACTCTGAAGCATCTGCTCCGCTTCTCGCTCTGCAATGCGTACACACACACACACACACCCACACCCACACACACACGCACACACGCACACATACGCACACGCACACACGCAAACACACACACACACACACACACACACACACAAAAGACACACACGCACACGCACACGCACAACACACATGCACACTCACACGCACATGCACACGCCCACACATACACGCACCCATGCATGCACGAAAGCACGCACACAAGCACACATAAAAGCAACAAGATACCTTTTCAGAATACATTTATAAGCAACACAGGCTATGCAATTCTCCCCCCCCCCTCTCCCTCCCTCCCCAAACCAAGCTCAGCAGCGTGTGTACTGTACCAGACATCGCAAGCCCATTGCAGCAGAATCTGTCACGTGAAGTTTACCAAAGCATCACCGTTTCAACCACATTCTTCCCTTCCTTTCCCTCTCCCCCCATCCCACAACCTGCCTCGAGGGTGAATTCACGTGTCCCCCAAGCATCTGCAATTGTGGGGATGGGCTCCCTTCCTGCAGAACTAGAGCTAGAACAAGATCTAGATCTAGAGCTGCACAGGGTGACTTTTGACTTGAATCAATCATAACTTGACTTCCCCTTCCCCTCTTCCCCCTCCTCCCCTCCCCTTTCCCCCCGCGCCCTCTCCTCCCCCCCCCCCCACTCCCCCCCCACCCCCCTTTTCTCCTCCCCTATTTCCCCCACCCCCAACCAACCTCGGCGGTGAGTGTTCATATGCCCTCCAAGCGCCTGGGACTGCGCAAATCCCTTCCCGCAGAATCTGCATTCATACAGCAACCCGCCACGGCCGCCACCACTGCCACTGTCGCCCAGCGAGCCTCCTGCCAGCGGCTGTAGCGGGCCGGCCATGCAGAATCCCGGGGCGGCACGGTGGAAATCCGCGGCTGTAGCGGCGTTCAGAGAGAGGGACGCACTCAAGGAGTCGGTGGGATTGACTGACGGCAGTGGTGCTGTGCCCTGCCCTGCCATCCAACCGCCTCTCATCCCTTCTAACCTATTCATTCCCTCATTTGATCCCCCCATTATTCCCCCACTCATCACTCTCCCCAATCCTCCCCCCATCCCTCTCCCCAATCCTCCCATCCCTCCTCCCATCCCTCCCATGCGTCTGTCCATCCCTCCACCCATATCCCAGAGCAACCCTCGTTCCATCTCCCCCACTGACACCCCGCCCTCTATCCGCCCGCCCTCTATCTGCCGCGCCCCTATCTGCCCGCCCTCCCCTCCTTGCCTAAAGCCCACACTCCCTCCTAATCCCAATGCGTGCAACGTGGTGGCGTTTCCTTCTAGGGCGGTGGTAGCAGCAGCAGCAGCAGCAGCACTTGGGTTGGCAGCAGCGGCAGCTATGGCAGCAGCGGCGTTTTGCTGGAGCAGATGGGCTAATTGAGAGTGCAAGTCACTCCCGTGTCTAAGAACGTCTAGATCAGCAGCATGATTGGTTGATCCTCCTGGAAATCCTTCTCCGCCTGAACCTCCTTCTCCTGCTGCGCCGAAGCTGCTGCCGCCAAAGAACCTTGGAAAAGCAGCAGCGTGACCTGCCACGTGGCCAGCTGATTGGCCTGCCACGTGGCCACCAAAATGGCCAGCCACGTGGCCGCCCAAGTGGCCAGCAGCAGCGGCTTTTACCTCGTCTTCGCTCGGTAGAATCCACCGCTGCTTGCGCCCGCGCTCCTCGCGGACGCCGCCACCGCTACCTATTGTAGTACTACTATTTCCGCGGAGCCCGTTGCCTCCTCCGCCAGCAACTCCGCTCTCCGCGACCGCCAGATCCAGCCTCCGCGTCAGACGGAGCCCAGACTGGCGGCTCTGCGCGCTGCTGCCGGTGCCGCCGCTGCTGCTGCTGCTGGACGCCGCGCCGGGGATCGTGTTGCCGGAATACGCGCGGGGAAGCTGACCCGGGGAACCCGCCGCGGCGAAACGGGCGATTCTTCCCGGAAAAGGCGGAAGAAGCGGGGTGCGTGGCGGATCCGGGGTGCGGAAGGGACTCGCTGCCGGAAGAACCGGCGTGGGATCGCTCAGGGAAACCTCAGGGTGTCTTTGAACGGTTTGGATGAAGCGAGGATGATCAGGGTCTCGTTCGGGCGAGCCGTCCATCAGAAAGAACAGTTAACTTCCGTAGCTTTCAGCGTATTCAGAACTCGGTGATTCGGACTGCTATTTCATTGTTGAACAGGTTCGTCGGGTGGGGGGGGGGCGGGAAATTTTACTCGTGGATGACGACACATGTTGCAGATTCGGGTGTTTCACCCAAATCAGTGGCGCTCCTTTCGCAATACGCATCAACTAGTTACGCCAAGTCGTACTACCGACCTTGGCCCTCCAAAATCGGTGAATTTCAGATGTAGAATAATTTTAGATCCAGGCCTAGACTCCGAAGAGGCGTGTTTGCCCAGTGGCCAAATCATCGCCCCTAGAGTCAGATCTCATTCCTGCCCGGAACCTTGTCGTAGTAGAGGTTTCCGTTGAAACAGACACATGGCGAATGCATGCTGATATCATGCCGCAGTCGAATAGCCTGACTCCACGTTGCGAAGAGATAGAAAGACAGCCCTTCGATTCCCAATCACGACCTTAACCAGCTTGGAGGAAGCTGGCAAGCAGCCTGTTTCAAAGCTGGCATGTTTGGAGCCCTAGTGGCCAGCAGGGAACTGTGTGGTGCTATGATAGAAACGGGACGGGAATGTGATGGTGGGGCGGGGCCTTTCCCATACAGAGCTTTGCCCTCATTCCTTCCAAAGCAAGCACAGCGCGCGCAACCTCCGTTCCGCTAAAGTTCGCTCCCCGCCACCCACCGCTTGTACTTGCTGGTGGGCTCGACCGCCTCCCCGTTCTCCGCCATACACATGATGCCCATTTCAGTCTCCTTCCCCATCTTTCCCTGTGCTCCTCTCTCGAGCATGCGTTCACTAGGGGCAGAATGGGACTGAATGTAGAACAAAGGTTGACAAAAAAACTACAGTTGCGGAAATTGTGGGTAGCCCAGCGTGTTTTGTCTGGGAAACTCGAACATCTTGGTTTTGTCGTGGGCTAGTAACGCGCGGGCCGTTGGCTGTGAATGTCGACCACTGGGCGTATGGAGTGGCAGGGGGCGTGTTCAGAGTGGGCGCTTGAGTGAGCATTAGGGTGTAGCACACTGTGTCAGGGTTTTTCACCTTGTGCACTGGGTCTTCAGCCGTGCATGTGATATGTGAGCTGGCGCGCCAGCTCGCTGATCACCACCATGTGCCCACTGGTTAGGGTTTCTGCTTTGCTGATTGATGTGGAGGGCTTCTGCTTGGTGAAACGCATGCAAATGCTGGAATCAAATTCATCCAGAGCACAATGGAGTTGGAAAATGGAAGTTATGACAGTCTTGTCTACGGCCCTGTTCTGTTGGCGCATTAGCGGTGCTCAGCCCTAACGATAAGCATTCTCGGAAAGCGCATAACAAGGCTTAAAGCCCACGTCAAGCCTCCCAAGTCGGTATTATCTCCCGAACCTCTGGTGCGGGAGTTGTGCGCGCATTACTCATGCGTGCACAAGAACGCTGTACTCTCAGTGCGCTGAGAAAATTCCACGAGCTTGGTTCCACAGGCAAATTTCCCGCATGGCCTGTGCGAGCCCTACGCGCTCGTGGAGGGGGGGTTGAAGAGGCGCACAACCAGTAACGGGCAGATCCAAACGCCCGTTTTGGGGTATTTGTTCGGTGGAATACTCACCCCAAAAACAATCCAACGGCGAACCAGTAAGACTGACACATCCAGAGCATCAATTCGCGAATTTTTGACTTTGGAAGTGTGCCAGGGCAGTGTGTGGAGACAAATTTTCGGGCACACGGGAAAAAAAGGTTCGTAGTTTTGTCGATTAGTAAACCCTTCGACGAGTCTCCAGGCCCTTTCCTATTTCGAGGAAAACGCTGCCCGCAGTACCTGTGCGGCAGTTGCGAATGGCCTGTGCGTCAACAGAACAGAGCCTGCGTGAATATACAGTAATTCATTTTCCGTACACCCTAATGCTCACTCAACCGCCCACTCTGAACACGCCCCCTGCCACTCCATACGCCCAGTGGTCGACATTCACAGCCAACGGCCCGCGCGTTACTAGCCCACGACAAAACCAAGATGTTCGAGTTTCCCAGACAAAACACGCTGGGCTACCCACAATTTCCGCAACTGTAGTTTTTTGTCAACCTTTGTTCTACATTCAGTCCCATTCTGTCCCTAGTGAACGCATGCTCGAGAGAGGAGCACAGGGAAGGATGGGGAAGGGGACTGAAATGGGCATCATGTGTATGTTACAAGCTGCATTTCTCAAACAAGTAAAAATAGCCTCAGTCCCACAAACTCAGACCTTCAAGCGAATCAGGAAAAGATCCGATTGCCCCCCACCTCGATATCGATTCATTGTCCAGCTTTGTTCTTGAGATTTGTCCAAAGGGTACAACTTTCTTCTGCGGGCTTTGGTTTGAATCACTCCAAAAACAAAGGCGGCAGCGGGCCAACGAAAGCGCACGAATGGACAAGACAGTCCCCACTTGCATTCTAAATTCCAGGGCAAGAACACAATTTCTGCACGGTATGTCCCTACAATCATCAAGGCTCTCGGTGATATGTTTGGGTTACCCTTCTGAACCCAATCTGTGACCCGACACACACGTGCAGGGTCCCTGGAGTGACATACCCAAGCAATTACTGGTGTGCTGCTATCATGGAAGAACGGTTGTGGGGCTTGGGGCTTTGGAAGTGTCTCGTTCCTGAACCCCTGCACACTCAACGCTCAAGAACAGTTTCCACAAAACAAGGAGAGAGGGAGCTGGGAGAGGCGAAGAGAGGGATAGGTGGGTGGGTGGGGGGGGAGCGAAAGGGTGGTGGGTGTGGTATGGAGAGACACGGAGTGGAAGTTAAGTGGCGAGAACAAAATTCAGGCGACTGCTGCTCACTGGGAATCACATACAGGTAAGTTACTCTTTCCTGCCCTCACATTTCCGGGAATGCCTTCTGTTTGTGGAGGACGAATCCACTAGACAACACATCCATCCATCCAGCACAGTGCCAAACATTCTGAGACTTTCAGCGACCTTCGGGCCAAACCCAGGGTAATAAACAGTGTGGTACGCTAGGCCAACAAGTTGCTGACCAGAACACGGAGTGGTCTGTAAGCGGCGGAAATTATAGTACCCAGAGAATACCAGGCTAACCGTTTTTCTAACCGAGCCATCAAGGGCAGGGTTTCGACTCCAGCGCGCTCGGTCCAAACATGCCAGCCCTCAAAATAAGCTTTGATACGGAGCGTGTTCACATGCCAGCCCTCCTCACAATAAAGCGCCAAAGGAACCGACATTTAAAGACTTTTTTCGCTTCCAACGTTTGAAGGTATCGGGTGGGAACTTCGGGTTTCGGGTCCTGAAAATACCTCCGATTATTTAAAAGTGATGCCAGCGTGAGTTGCCTATCACTGCTGCTGAGTATGAGTCGTCGAAAGGAACAAAGAGGTCCAGAGGAACCAACTAGCCGTCGCCAATGTCAGTTTCATGTGAACTGGGTAACCGAAATCTCACTAGGCTGGCTCTGCGTCTCAGGCCAATAAGAGGGAAATTATATATCCAGTCACAGACACTGGCTCGATATCACGAATGGTCATCTGGCAATCACGAACGGTCACAGAATCTAGGATCCTATCACGGACGATCACAGTAGTCACAATTTGGCCCCACGATCTATCACGTACAGTCACACAATGAAACGCTCCGTGGAAAGTTGAAATTTCACGAGTAACTGTAGAGATTCGGGGAAAGTTATATTGTGCGCGAAAGAAAGTGTTACCTCCGAATAAGTTCGCGACCACTTTCGCAAACTCGTTCAAAGCATGAAGCAGTTGTCTTTTTCCCGCAGCAGATTTGCATAATTATATCCGTCCGCAAAAAGAAAAAAAAAACATTTTTTAAACCTCGTACCTGTGGACTTTCGGTATCAACCCTAAACACCTTGTCGTATGGTGTTTAGGGTTGATGCTCTCTCGGATGGCATGCCATCCGAGTGGGTTTTAGTTTTTTTTTTAGGCATGCAAATTTTTTGTAACCTTCGCCTCCGCGACTCGCTACGGAATTAAACAGGCTAACTACGCATATATGACAAGACTAGTCGCCAGTTAAATGTTCATAAATCTCAACAGTTTAAGGCCGTTACAGCTTCTACACCGTGCGTTTCGTCTTGTGACGAAACGTGATAAGTTTTTGGGGCAGCGTGTGACTATCCGTGATAGAAATCCCGGATTTTGTGACCATCCGTGATAGATAGCTAGATTCTGTGCCCGTTCGCGATAGCAGCGTGATTTTTTGTGATGACGAGCCCCTGTTTGTGACCGCCTATACACCTGGGCTCCACTAATTTCAAGGCCCGAAATTGGGCGCTCGCGGGTAGCTACCCTTATTATGTCTGGGACTAAGGGTTGTACAGAGTGAAACATATTTTGAAGTGGGTAGGTTACGGACTCCTTGTGAGGGCGATGACGCAACGAAGGTCGCAACTATAAATATTTCCCGTCAGAGTGGGAGGTAAGCCTGATCCACTGAGGGATTTATTGTTTGAAATAACCGTTGAGGAGAGCGTCCTTAATATCGTTTTGATTCTGGGTGTCTGAAAGATACGGCCGAATCTGGTCTAGGGTGTCTCTGAAAACGTTTTCCATGGCTTGAAATTAGTGGAGCCCATGTGTATATTAACCCAATAAGAAAGGGCGGCCTCGCGTGCGACACGAGGCATTGGGCACGATCTCGTCCTACGGAAAATCGCATCATTCGATACAGACGCATCTGCTTCACAAAAGCAGCAGCAACAGAGGGATCGAAATCGTGCAGGGGCTGGAGCAATTGCGTTCATTCTGTCAAAACCGCATAATTAGTCATCATTTTCTGATTTTTTCTTCCCAGGATTCCATTTAAAGCAAGGGTGCACTTTCAGGGGGGTGGGGGCAATGGTTTATCACTTGCCTTGTGTGGTTACCTGGTTTGTAGCTGGGAGTGAGACGCGAACAACTTTTCAGTGTTGGCGGAGTTGCGCGGGTGGTCTCCCTCCCGTCAGTAGCGACGGGGGTAATGGGAGTTGGGAACTTGGGTCTGGGGGCCAGGCAGTTTGTGAACCAAAACGAACATGGTTCTCGTCCCCCCCTGCAAAATTCGCCCTCGAATCAGCGTGCGCCAGAGGGTGTGCACTAGCAATACACCCAAAAGCCACCCCCATGAATGTGCACCGTCGCTTTAAGTAGACATAAGAAATTCATCAAGCATTGTGGACCTGGTACAGACACATATAACGATATGTTCATTGTCAAAAACTCTCAGCAAAATAATATCAAAATCAAGAATCAACAGTCGCCTAAACATCAAAAGATGTGTATACGTTTAATTGGCATCGACTATCAACAGGGTAACTATGCAGTACGTTCATCAGAGTTGTACCGTATGGAACGCTATACACGATTTATTGGCGGAAATCGGTGCGGTGTACCAATATGGGAACATGCACCGAGCATACCAAAGAGGAGCGATCCACCACCAGTTCTGCAACGAAGCACAACATTTCCAGAAGTGGGGAAATTGTTGCACGCCAAAACCTATGTGACAAACAATTGTATCGAGGAGCTCTTTTTTACGTGTTTCTGAGCACACATGGTGCATAGGGAATTTCGGTTCAGTGGATGAACAAGTTGCTGGGTGGGTAGGGTACATGCTCCACTTTTGTGCTTGACGAACGGGTGTAGTACAGCCTTCGCAAGTGAATCCTCTCAAGGATGGAAAAAACGATGCCCAAAGCGTTTTTTTTTTTTTCTTTTTTTTTTTTTTCTTTCTTTCTTTCTTTCTTTCTTTCTTTTTCTTTTCTTTTCTTTTTCTGCGTTCCTCTCCAAAAAATGTGAGATTGGTGCTTTGGTGGTGTGTCCGAAACACTTAAGGGTTTAGGACTGAGTTACGTCAAGCTGAGATACGAGGTGGCTGGTGCTGGCCTGCCTCCGCTTTGGCCGTTACCTGGTAACATCAGAGACAGGATAAGCAGGATTGGAAAAACAAATGCGGGCACACGGGATGGGCAAGAAGAAGAGCATGGATAAGACCAAAAGGTATGAGTTTGTTTGTTATACGTCTAGCAAAACTGCGACAAGCCAAAAGGCAGAATAGGAAAGTCGAGACGGGAGCAGACGAGGGAAAATTATGACGGGGAGGAGATAAAATATTTGATAGCATGGACAGATGAGAAAGAGGAAACCGTAGGTGCTACAGTCAGAGACGACAGGCAGGCAGTAGTGCAAGGATGAGAGCCGTGAATCTGTGCTGAACGGAGCCGCAATATGCACAGTGCTTGGAATGCTGCCTTCACTGTGTTGTGAGGATGCCATTTGAGAATTGCATGCATCAGCAGTGACACATCCAGAAGTGATTTCACGGCATGCCATGCCATGCCATGCCATGCCATGCCACGCCACGCCACGCCATGCCATGCCATGCCATGCCATGCCATGCCATGCCATGCCATGCCATGCCATGCCATGCCATGCCATGCCACGCCATGGCATGCCACGCCATGCCAAGCCACGCCATGCCACGCCATGGCATGCCACGCCATGCCACGCCATGCCATGCCATGCCACGCCATGCCATGCCATGCCACGCCATGCCACGCCATACCATGCCATGCCATGCCACGCCACGCCATGCCATGCCATGCCATGCCACGCCATGCCATGCCACGCCATGCCATGCCACGCCATGCCATGCCACGCCATGCCATGCCATGCCATGCCACGCCATGCACCATGCTGAGAGCTTGAAAGGCTGCCTTCACCGTGTTGTGAGGATGCCTTGAGCCAATCACCTGCTCTTTCACACTCCCCCCCACACACAACCACACACACAAGTGCCACCCACCCGACATCCACCCCAGAATAACACGCACACGCACACACCCACACACCCCCCAGCCCCCCCACACCTCTCCACGCTCTCCCTCCCCACACACACAACCCACACACCCCCACACCCTCTCCCCCCCACCTCCACACACACACATGGAGACACACAGGCAAGACAGAGTAGAAAATTTGAGACACGCACAATCAGATGAGATGACTCCCATCCAAACGACTCGCCTCAAGAGGCGGGCAGCCTCAGGAGGCCCGGCAGCCTCAGGAGGCCCGGCAGCCTCAGGAGGCCCGGCAGCCTAAAAAAAACAGCGTGCCCCTCTGAGGCGCCTCAACAACAGCGCTCCACACACCCAACCCAACCCGTCAACTTAAATCATAACAATGTACCCAGAAATGTAATCTGATCCCACGTTCCTCTGATCCCACGTTCCTCTGATCCCACGCGCCTGTGACCGCTCACCCCACCTGCCTCTCACCCCACGTGCCCCTCACCCCACGTGCCCCTCACCCCACGTGCCCCTCACCCCACGTGCCCCTCACCCCACGTGCCCCTCACCCCACGTGCCCCTCACCCCACGTGCCCCTCACCCCACGTGCCTCTCACCCCACGTGCCTCTCACCCCACGTGCCCCTCACCCCACGTGCCCCTCACCCCACCTGCCTCTCACCCCACGTGCCCCTCACCCCACGTGCCCCTCACCCCACCTTGGTCTTGACTGCCTGGAAACCCGCGAGTCTCAGAATGCCAGCCAGCGTGCTCCCGGCACTCATGCCTGATCCCTTGCGCGCCGCCCACATGTATACCTGCCACACACAGGGCGAAGGGTTAAAGGGGCAGGTTAATAGTGGTGGAGTTCGGTGGAGTAGGGCTCTAAGGCTGCACTCATGCCCGATTCCTTGAGTGCCGGCCACATGTATACCTGCCACGCACAGGGACCAAGGTTGAAGAAGTTCACGAAATAAGGGCCTTGGGCAGGACTTAGGTGATTAGACTCCGGGAATCCCTGCATCTGTGCCCGACCCCTTGGGTTGCCATCCCCTTGCGTGCCAGATTCCTTGGGTTGCCATCCCCTTGCGTGCCAGATTCCTTGGGTTGCCATCCCCTTGCGTGCCAGATTCCTTGGGTTGCCATCCCCTTGCGTGCCAGATTCCTTGGGGTGCCATCCCCTTGCTTGCCAGATTCCTTGGGTTGCCATCCCCTTGCTTGCCAGATTCCTTGGGTTGCCATCCCCTTGCGTGCCAGATTCCTTGGGTTGCCATCCCCTTGCTTGCCAGATTCCTTGGGTTGCCATCCCCTTGCGTGCCAGATTCCTTGGGTTGCCATCTCCTTGCGTGCCAGATTCCTTGGGTTGCCATCCCCTTGCGTGCCAGATTCCTTGGGTTGCCATCTCCTTGCGTGCCAGATTCCTTGGGTTGCCATCCCCTTGCGTGCCAGATTCCTTGGGTTGCCATCCCCTTGCTTGCCAGATTCCTTGGGTTGCCATCCCCTTGCGTGCCAGATTCTTTGGGTTGCCATCCCCTTGCGTGCCAGATTCCTTGGGTTGCCATCCCTTTGCGTGCCAGATTCCTTGGGTTGCCATCCCCTTGCATGCCAGATTCTTTGGGTTGCCATCCCCTTGCGTGCCAGATTCCTTGGGTTGCCATCCCCTTGCGTGCCAGATTCCTTGGGTTGCCATCTCCTTGCGTGCCAGATTCCTTGGGTTGCCATCCCCTTGCGTGCCAGATTCCTTGGGTTGCCATCCCCTTGCGTGCCAGATTCCTTGGGTTGCCATCCCCTTGCGTGCCAGATTCCTTGGGTTGCCATCCCCTTGCGTGCCAGATTCCTTGGGTTGCCATCCCCTTGCGTGCCAGATTCCTTGGGTTGCCATTTCCTTGCGTGCCAGATTCTTTGGGTTGCCATCCCCTTGCGTGCCAGATTCCTTGGGTTGCCATCCCCTTGCGTGCCAGATTCCTTGGGTTGCCATCCCCTTGCGTGCCATATTCCTTGGGTTGCCATCCCCTTGCGTGCCAGATTCCTTGGGTTGCCATCCCCTTGCGTGCCCGATTCCTTGGGTTGCCATCCCCTTGCGTGCCAGATTCCTTGGGTTGCCGTCCCCTTGCGTGCCCGATTCCTTGGGTGCCCGATTCCTTGGGTGCCCGATTCCTTGGGTGCCCGATTCCTTAGGCGCCCTTCCCACGTGTGCCTTTCCAAGTTCCAGCCCCTTACAGGTTGTTGCAAGCGCTTTTTGAGAACATTCGAACAACGCCTCCAACCGCGTGCACGCTATGCCATCCCACCTGTGCCTTTCCTGCCACCCCACCCCACCCCAACCCCGCACCCCGCGGTGCAGCCATCTTCCATAACCTATTGCTTGACTGTCCCCATCTTGGTCGGTTCGCGCTGCATTAATAGGCCACATCACCCCGCCTTTGACAAAGGCCACGCCAACCAAGCCATCACCCCACCTTTGTCTTTCCGTATTTCGCCATCTGTGCCTCGGCGATCGTTCGCCCTCTGTAGCGATCAAAGTAGTGCAGATTCCTCAGCGCCCGCAGGTACGCCTGCAGGGGGGTTAGGGAGGGAGGGGGAGGGAGGGGGTAGATGGGGAGACGGGATGAATGCACCATCGTTCGTTCAACCTCTGAAGCGGTCACAGTAGTGCAGATTCCTCAGCGCCCGCAGGTAGGCCTGGTGGTGACACAGGGAGGGGGGGGCGGGGAGGGGTTCGATGGGGAGACTGGGCGGGCGTAAAGTTGCCCATTTTGTTCGCCCTCCTCCGAAACGATCAGACAAGTGCAGATTCCTCTGAGCCTGCAGATAGGACTGGGGGAAAGTACCGGGCAGGGGGAGGCGGATTGGGAAGAGAAGAGAGGAGAGGAGGGGAGACGGGGGGATGGGGGCGGGGGGGTGGTGTAGATGGGTAGATGGGATGGGCATAGCAAAAGATTGCTTCATCGTTCATTTTTCCTATAAACGAGATCCCTCCGAATGCCAGCGCACCGCACTGCACTGCACTACTTGATTCATCTCACCGCACTGCACCGCACTGCACTGCACTGCACTGCACTGCATTGCTCAAGTTATCTCGCCCTTGCACACCCACCTTATCAACCGCCAGCCCCATTTCTGCCGACTTGCCCTTGCCATACCCCACCGTGCCTTGCCCGTTCCCACACACCACCAGCGCTGTAAAACTCAGCACCTTGCCTCCCTGGCGGGGGACGCAGGTAGAGCGGAGGGGGGGGTTGGGAAGAAACGTTGAGAGGAGTGGGGGGGGCAGGGAGGGAAGGAGGGGAAGGAGACGGGAAAGGCAATGGGGGAACGAAGAAGGGGAGTCTACTGCCCGTTCCCACACACCACCAGCGCTGTAAAACTCAGCACCTTGCCTCCCTGGGGGAAACGCGGGTGGGTGGAGAGATGGGGGAGGAGAAGGGGGGGAAGGAGGGGGAGGAAGTACAATGGGGGAGCAGGGGGAAGGCAAGGGGGGGCCGAAGAAGGGGAGTCTACTGCCCGTTCCCACACATCATCAGTGCTGTGAAACTCAGCACCTTGCCTCCCTGGGGGAATGAGGAAGAAACCGAAGAAGGGTGGAAGAAAAAGGGTTCCAGGTACCAGAAGAGGGGTCAAGCACAGAATAGGGGCGCAGGGGACTCATTAAGCGTTGAGGCGCCTCAAAACTCGTGTCAATACAAACAGGATTCCGGGTACTGAGTTTGAGCCCAGAAGAAGGCGGCAGGGGACCCATTACGAAAAGGCTCAGCGAAAATGTGACAGGAGTTGGCAACGAAAGGGATGGAAAGGCTTTTTGACGCTTGAAAAAGATGGGAGGATGTGACAGCAGTTGCCAGATAAGGGAATTGATAAGAGAGGATGAAGCGAGAGGAAATGCAGGGTACACAGAAAGCAGCAGGGGGTTGGGGGTGGGGAAGGGAAGGGGGAGGGGGGAGGGAAGCGACGATGCGAAGAAGAAGAAAGCGCAAGGAAAATTGGGAGTGGGAACAGGGCAATGCGGAGGATATGAGGATATGAGCAGATGAGGAGATGGGGAGATGGGGAGACGGGCAGATGAGAAGGAGGGGAAGGGAGGGCAGCGACGCACCTTGGTGACCTTGGCAGTGCGGTTGACGTCCACTATACGCATCTGTAATTGCTGTGGCGGGATGAAGCGAGGGGGAAGGGAGGGGAGGGTGGGCGAGATAGGGAGATGAGAAGGAGGCGAGGGAAGGAGGGGATGGAATGGGAGGCAACTAGGCGCCCTTGGCAGTGCGGTTGACGTCCACTATACGCATCTGGCATTGCTGTGGCGGGATGAGGCAGGAGCGGGGGAATGAGGGGGGATGCGAGGGGGAGAGAGTGGCGAGGGGGAGAGAAGTGTCAGAAGGAGGTTATGCGGTTGACATCCACTATGCGCATCTGTAATTGCTGTGGTGTTTGCAGGGGGGAGAGGGGGGATGGGGGTTGAGGAGGGATGGGCAAGATGGATGGAAGGTCTTCCCCACCCCCCCTCATCCCCCATCAGCATGGATGGAAGGTCAATTTGACATCCACTGTGATCAGATGCTGTCAACCGACGGAATGCTGTCGTTCAAATGAGTAACGGGGAAGGGAGGGGAGAAGCGGAGGGGAGAAGCGGAGGGGAGAAGCGGAGGGGAGAAGCGGAGGGGAGAAGCGGAGGGGAGATGCGGAGGGGAGAAGCGGAGGGGAGAAGCGGAGGGGAGAAGCGGAGGGGAGAAGCGGAGGGGAGAAGCGGAGGGGAGAAGCGGAGGGGAGAAGCGGAGGGGAGAAGCGGAGGGGAGAAGCGGAGGGGAGAAGCGGAGGGGAGAAGCGGAGGGGAGAAGCGGTGGGGAGAAGCGAAGGGGAGAAGCGAGGAGGCACAGGCTTTGAGGGGAATGCATACTCGATATAAACTCTCACCCGTTTCAACCGTTGCATGGACGGCGGTCGGCCGGGCTTCACTTTGAGCATCTTCTCAAACATGAATCGTTGCACGCGCCGCGGCATGCCCTCGAGCCGCCTGCCCATGTCGATAATATGCTCCAAACCCTCAACGTCTAACTCGGGGTGCAACCCTAACCCCGATTCTTCCTCCTCCAACGCTGACGTCAGCTCCGCCACGTCAGCGCTGATCGCGTCGGCGTTCGCCAGCGCGTGTGCCGGAAGCTCGTTCGTCCCCTCGTCCGCGTCATCCTTCTCCTCGTCCTCGTCGACCTCTACGCTGCTTCCGCGAAGCTTCAGCTCCGCGCTGTCGCGGTCCGAGATTCCCCCTTCAGCATCCGCTCCCCGTGAAACCTCTCTCGCGGAGACGACGCGGCTCGAAGATCCAATACGCGGATCGGATCTCGAGTCTCCGTCAAAGCCGCCGCCACCGGCGCCGCCGCCTGCGCTACCTGAAGCGGTTGTGAGAAGGCGGTGCGAGAGAGCAAACGGGTGCGATAGTAACGGGGTTTCGAGACGACGCGATCCGGGAAATGGAGTAGCGAATTTGGCGGGAAGGTGGTGGTATGGCCGTGCGGGGAGATTCGAAAGGGACGGCGGAAGCGGAGCGGATGGGAGGCGGAGGGAGAGGAGCGAGCGGAGAAGACGGGTGGAATGGCGAACAGACGCCATGGAATCGCGCTCGAACCCCGTCCCTGCTGCTACTTATTGCTCAGTTTGCAGCTTCTAAGGCTGCTTACTGCCTACTTCCTCATGGCGTCGCGGCAGCCTGATCATCTTTTTTCTCAGGCATGGCTGGAGCGGCATCCCCACTGGAAGCATGTCATTGACCAGTATATTGCTACAATGACACCACTTGTGACTGTAGCTGTAGATAAAAGACAATCATTACATCTCAAATTCACACATCCCACTTCATCAATACCTACATCCAACCACTTGACTTTCAAGCGCGTTATTACCATATGAAAATTACTTCCTATCGCGCCTTGCATTGCTCTGCTATCGAGACATCTCAAAAGGGTGCAAATCTGTTGTACCTACCTCAAGCCGAATGCATCATTCATCACGCCATGCTGTGTATCGTTCCAGTTTTCAGATGCCTCCAAGGCACAATCAGCTTCCAGACATCTCACTCAACCCAAACACACCACCACCATCACCATGCAATCACCGCCACCATCATGCGCTGCTCTGCAGCATGGCAGTGAAGTCAATCCCCACAACGGTGGTGTTGTCATGTGTCCTCAGGGTGCGAGCCTTTGCCACCAGCGCACTTGCCATAGCCTCTGCTGCACTGCCCTCCACCCCCCCCTCCTCCTGCTCCTTCCGAGCCTGCTTGGTCCGTGCCAACGCATGATGCAAGGAGGACAGCAGTGAGCATGGTAGGGGCACAATATGGAACGAGGAAAATGCTATTTGAGGAAAAACTATTGCGGATGCGTGCAATGGGGGAGATGGGAGAAAATGCAACGTACCAAGGGGACAACCCACAAACAAACTGATGCGACAAGCACGGCATCAACTGTACGTCGCAGTGCAAAGACAAAATATTGTAGGGCGTATTGTACACATGAATACACCATTAGGACAATCTTGTAGGACGTATTGCACTCGCTCATAAAATCTGACAAGGTCGTGGCATACAAGATAGACAATATCCACAAACGTTGGAAATCACTTCTGAGAATTCTCAAAAGTGATTTCTATTTATCTGACAAGGTCGAGGCATACAAGATATGACATTATCCACAAACGTTGCCTCACCTCTAGTGCCACTTGAATGGCTCGTTTAACTGACATCACGTCCCATAAACCGTCACTGTAGACATGTATGCATGCACCATATACGTGCACATACATACACATGCTTGCACACACATGCACTTACATGCAACCACATGGAGACACATGCATACGCATGCATACACATTCATTCACATGCACACACATGCACACACATCCACACACATCCACACACATGCACACACATGCATACACATGCATATCCATGCATACACATGCACAAACATGCATACACATGCACAAACATGCATACACATGCACATACATGCATACACATGCACATACATGCATACACATGCACATACATGCATACACATGCACATACATGCATACACAAGCACATACATGCACGCACATGCACATACATGCACACACATGCATGACCCGCATGTGCAACACAGAGGGACATAAAAATGAACCAACAGCAATGAAAGAAACATATTTCAGAGCAGCTCTCACCTCCTCATGTCCCCTCTTGCAATCTCCCCCCACCATCAGCACCAACACCAGAATCAACACTACTATCATTCACCTGGCAATGACTGCAATGACCGGCTTGCTCGTGCCCCCTTCCTCAGGCACGGGCAGCTGCAGGGGCGCATGGATGAATGGGTCCGAGGAGAGACCCACGTCCTGCTGCTTCAGGAACTTGTCTCCAAACACTCGCGCTATGTTCATGCCTGCATTTGGGAAGAGCAAAGGAAGGTGGGCGGGAAAGCGATGGGAGTGGAGCGTGTGGGCGAGGGGAGGTCTAACGCAGTCTCACAGTCTCACACCCCCACACTCCCACACCCCCACACTCCCACACCCCCACACTCCCACACCCCCACACTCCCACAACCCCACACTCCCACACTCCCACACCCACGCACTCCCACAACCCCACACCCCCACACTCCCATACCCCCACAGCCCCACAGCCCCACGCCGCCACACCCCCTTCAACCCCTCACATTGCCCCTTAATCGCACCGCACAGGCGTGTGTCCCCATCGCGCATGGGCTTGCCAATTGACGCCAGGCGCCCCTTCTCCACTGCTCACTCCGCGTGACCCCTGACCGCTCACTCACAACCCATTCATCTCCCACATATCCCTACGTACACCCTCATGCCTCACCGCACAGCCGTGTGTCCCCATCGCGCATGGGCTTGCCAATGGACGCCAGGCGCCCCTTCTCCACGGGCCCTGTCAGCCGATGGTCCTCTGTCATCTGCACCACACCCTCCTCGCTTGCACTTCCTAAGCTGTACACAAGAAGGTGCGAGGAGATGGGAGGGGATGGGTGAGGATGGGTGGGGGATGCATGGGGAAAGGAAGTAGTGACATGAGCACAGGATTTTACGCCTCCCAGGTTCCCTGCCACCCACACACGATGGGGCGGCTGGAAGGCCAGTCCATTCGGGCTCCATTCGGGCATTGCCACTGTTTCCCCCTCTCCCCTCCTCCTTCTTACCCCAGCACGCAGTGTGAGTCCCCGAGATTGCCTGCCTGCACCCACACACGGTGGGGTGGCTGGAAGGCGCGCCACACGAGCAGCACCGTGGCAGTGCAGCCCTCATCCTCGTTATTGAGCTCCTCCTCTGTTGCCTTGAACGCTGCCCGCAGCACATCGGTCGCGTTGCAGCTCATGCGCACCACCACGTGCTTGCCGCCTTGAGGAGCTCCTGAGATAGCTTCTCAGGGAAGATTCTGAAGGGTGGGCAAGGGAGGGAGGAAGGGATGGGCAAGGGAGCGGGTGGGGTGAGGAGAGGGATGGACACGTGGGCAGCTCATGCGCACCACCACGTGCTTGCCGCCCTTGAGGAGCTCCTGAGATAGCTTCTCAGGGAAGATTCTGAAGGGTGGGCAAGGGAGGAGGAAAAGTGGTGGAATGGGAGGGGTGGAGAAGAGTAAATGTGAGTAGCGGTGGTGTGTGCGCACCACCACGTGCTTTCCCCCCTTCATGAGCTCTTGAGATAGCTTGTCGGGGAAAACATATGAGAGGCGGGAAAATGCCCACGATTAGGTTGGTGCGGGTTCATGTTGTGATGTGAATGTGGAGGAAATTCATAATTGGCAGGAGGGTGATGTGGTTGGAGCATTTCAAGTGACCACAAAGATTTTTTTTTGAAGATGCTTCTGAGCTTGATTACATACCTCTAACAATAAAACACCACAAAGTCATACCCCACACAGTGAGTTTGACACGCCGAAAAGTTGGAGAGAGGTATGACATCAACGAGAGGATGTCATTCATTTAAGGACCGTAACGTCTGGCATCCTATTGTTGATGTCATACCTCTCTCCAACTTTCCGGCGTGTCAAACGGACTGTGTGGGGTATGTTTTTGTGACTTTTTTTTGTTATAGGTACGTTATCAAGTTCAGAAGCCTCTTCAAAAGTTGTTTCTTTGTGGTTTTTGAAATGCTCCAACCACATCACCCTCCTGCCAATCACACTGGCATAATCACACTCACCATTGTCACGGTCCACAAAATGACACCAGAACAGACCCCCCCGGCAGTAGCAGTGGCCTCACCTCTTCACGTTGTCGGCGCACTGCCTGCCCGCATGGCCGTCAAACACACAGCAGATGCCCATCTGTAATCCGCGCACATGCACGTGGGGAGAAGGGTGGAAGAAGGCAGGGGAAGGCAAGGGAAAGCAGGGAAGTATCCAAAGTGAATATTAAGGGCACCAAACACAAACACACAGCAAATGCCCATCTGAGGCCCGCACACATACACATGGTGCAAGGGGTGGGGATAAAGTGAGGGGAAAGTGAGGCACCATGTGAGGGTAAGGCAGAGAGTTACAGTGCAGAAACAAACGATCGGTGCGAGGTACAAAAGAACGGATACACGTGCGTGTGTGGAAATGGAGGGTGGTACAGTAAGGATTGCACCTTATGCACTGACGGACTGCAGCAACCAACTTAATACACTCACAATCCACACACTCACGTCCAGCAAGCTTCTGAGTGGCCACTCGCACAGAGGCACGTCCTCCGTGGGCCGCGGCTTGCCTCCCTTGCTGCTGGCACCACACCAAACACTCTAAGTCTGCATCCCACCCCCCTCCCCATAGCATCCTGCACGCATCAACAAGGTCACTCACACCCCGTCACGTCACACTCACGTCCTGCAGGCCCCTTAGCGGCCACTCGCACAGAGGCACGTCCTCCATGGGCCGCGGCTTGCCTCCCTTGCTGCTGGCAGCAGTGGCAGCACCACACTCAGAGCACACGCACTCACTCAATACAATCACACACACCCCGTCACATCACACTCACGTCCTGCAGGCCCCTTAGCGGCCACTCGCACAGAGGCACGTCCTCCATGGGCCGCGGCTTGCCTCCCTTGCTGCTGGCAGCAGTGGCAGCACCACACTCAGAGCACACGCACTCACTCAATACAATCACACACACCCCGTCACGTCACACTCACATCCTGCAACCCTCTGAGTGGCCACTCGCAGAGAGGCACATCCTCCATGGGCAGTGGCTTGCCGCCCTTGCGTGCGCGCATGGGGTCGGCTGCTATGGCGATGTCACACGGGGCATCGGGGCACGGGTGCTCCACCTTACTCGTGTCTGCTAGCAGTCGCACCTGGGAGGAAAAGGAGGGCGGAAAGAATGCGTGATGGCATGGTATTGGGTGCTCTGGAGGGCAGTGGCTTGCCTCCCTTGCGTGCGCGCATGGGGTCGGCTGCTATGGCGATGTCACACGGGGTACCGGGGCACCTGCCTGTTGCTGGTGTCTGCAAAAAGTGGAACGTGATTAGCACATGCCTACACACGCATAAACACACGCACCAGGACACATACACACACTCTTTTACACATGCACACACTCGTGCACCACACACCCACACGCGTGCACCGAAATCCCCCTTCTCTTTCCCCCCCCCCCCCCCCCCCTTCCTCTCCCCCCCTCACCCCCTCACCACAAACACACACACACGCACTCAGGCAAGCACCCACCAAAATGCGTGATTACGACCCGCACGTGATAACGTCCCAATCCGCCAGCTGGCACAGCTGCCCCTCCGTACGCACCAGGCGACACACTCATGCACACACACACATACATCCTTGCACACCCACACACGCGCACACGCACCAGGATGCGAGACTGCGACCCGCACGTGATCACGTCGCCATCCGCCAGCTGGCACGGCCGCCCCTCGGTGCGCTCGCCGTCCTCGTCCGCCTCTGCGTTGATGGCCTCGTCGTTCAGCAGCGTGCCGTTGAGTGAGCCACGGTCCACCACCTCCCACCGCCCCGACTGCATGATGTGGGTGTCAGGCAGGTTAGCAGGGGGCAAGGGCAGGATATGGTTGAATAGAGCAGGGGCAGGGTACTGGTGAAGAGGGGTTGGGATTGGGGGTGTTTCTGTTGCGCCGGTGTACCAACCAAGTCACGCCCCTCGGTGCGCTCGCCGTCCTCGTCCGCCTCTGCGTTGATGGCCTCGTCGTTCAGCAGCATGCCGTTGAGCGACCCGCGATCCACCACCTCCCACCGCCCCGACTGCGCGAGTTGTGGGTGGTGTGAGGCAGGCAGAGGTTGGGAGAGTTTGTTTTGAGTCGACTCAAAACACACCTGCGCGAGTTGTGGGTGGTGTGAGGCAGGCAGAGGTTGGGAGAGAAGAAGGGCGAAACGAAAGCAGGGTACGTGAAATGAAATGGACTCCTCCCTATGTTGGAGTGACTTTTGAGAATTCTCAAAAGTCACTCCTCCCTTTCCATTCGTGACAGAGGTTCAGCTGCAGATCGTTCGCCTTCCTTCACCCGCCCTATTGTGACTTTTTGCTGGCACCTCAATGGAACACGGTACGAGAAACAAACCACTTAAACGCACGCACCAGGGCATTCCATGTAACATAGGCGTGCTTGCTGGACACCTCCCCATCGTTCAGCTGCAGGTCGTTGGCCTTCACCCGCCCTATGGTGGCGGACGGCCATGGCTCCAGCTTCTCGTTCTTCAACACCAGCTTGCCGCCTGACGCTGGTCCACTGATCACCTCCAATACAAGTGTGGCGCCTGAGTGTGAGAAAAGGGTAGAAGAAGGGGGGGTGGGAATGGAAATTTCGAAGGGGGTTGACGTGAGCACCTGCAGGCTGCACCTCGACCGCCCTATGGTGGCGGGCGGACGGCCATGGCTCCACTCCAGGTGCTCGTGCTTGAGCACCAGCTTGCCGCCTGACGCCGGCCCGCTGATCACCTCCAGTACCAGCGTGGCTCCTGGTGATGTGTGCAACGGGGTTAGTTCGCGGCAACAGGGCACAGGGAGGGTACGGGGCACGGGGCATGGGGCATGGGGCATGGGGCATGGGGCACGGGGCATGGGGCATGGGGCATGGGGCATGGGGCATGGGGCACGGGGCATGGGGCATGGGGCACGGGGCATGGGGCATGGGGCACGGGGCGGGGCATACGAGCTCCGAGGCTCCCTAGTCCCAGCTTCTCGTTCTTCAGCACTAGCTTGCCGCCCGATGGTGGCCCACTGATCACTTCCAGCACCAGTGTGGCGCCTGAGTGTAGTGCGTGCAAGTGAAGGGGTTAGAGGCAACATGTGATGTGATGTGAGCAGAGCACGACCACACAAGCTCCAAGCCCCCAGACCAGCCGTGAAGCTTCTCATCCGTTCGTGAGCACCAGTCTGCTGCCCGCTGCTGGCCCATGCTACTGACTGATCACCTCCAATCCAGCACCAGCGTGGCTCCTGGGTAACCACCGGGGGGGGTACACGAAAGGGGTATGCGGACGAGAAATGCAGAGGGGGTGGAGTGGAGGCGGGGACGACAACCGTGCATGCTTGAAGCCTCCGCCCTCCAGATTCATGTCGTTCGGTGCTAGCCTGTTGCCAACTAACCAGTTCTCGTCCTTTGAGACGTCTCAAAACTCGTTCAGTGCTAGCCTATTGCCAACAACCCAATTCTCGTCCTTTTCCACAATTCACTCACCATCCGGCCTGCCCCTGACCCACCTTCCCTCCTAGCCGCCTTCTTCTTTGCAGCAGCAGCAGCATCAGGGACAGCAGCCGCAGGAGCAGCCGCAGCAGAAGCAGCAGCAGCCTCTGCGCTCTCCTCCCCATCCATCCCCTCCCCAGCATCATACTCCCTCACAGTCGACTCTCCAAACTTCACTCTCCCTTGCCTCCCCCCTCCCTCCTTCCTCGCGCGTTTATTTGCAGCAGCAGCCGCCGCTGCTGCCTCCTCTGCTGCCTCTGCTTCCGCCTGCCGCCGCTCCTCCTCCCACTGCTTCTGCCGCGCTGCCCGCGCTGCCTCTGCTGCCTCTGCTTCCGCCGCTGCTTGCTGGTCCGCGGAGGCGGAAGGCTGCGACGGCGGGAACGACTGCTGCTCTATGTCCTCGCTCTCGTCCCCCCAGTCCTGGGGGGTTGCGGGGAAGGTGAGGGGGGTTGTGGGGTAGGGGGACGGAAAAGGGGGAAAAGTAAGGGGTAAGTGAGGGGGAGGGCAGGAAATACTGCTGCTCTATGTCCGCTCTCGTCCCCCCGGTCCTGGGGAGGTGATGGGGCGGGAGGGGGGGAATTGTTCGGGAGGGGGACGGAAAGTGGAAGAGAGGAAAAGATTGCATTGCCATGCTTTCATTCTTCCCATTGGGTTTCGTGCCTGTAGAAAAAGGCGTGTCTCTCGAAACATGACTTGTACATGGGAAATGTGGAAACCCTACAGCTGCAGCTGCAGACGATGCAGCTGCAGGAAACTCGTACCTGCGAGAACAGAAGCGGCACGCGGGATTCGCCATTCGCGGCCGCTGCAGCACCACCTGCAGCCGCTGTCCCTGCGGACGGCTGACCAGGCCCGTCGTACCCATCACCGTCTCGCCGTTTCTTCCGCATGCACAGATAGCACACCCCAATGGCGACGACCGCGCACACGGTAACGCTCGCGATGACCACGTGCGACGACGGAGCCATGTCGGCGAGCGAACGGTCTGGAAGCGAATCTAAGAAGTGCCCGAGAAATCGGACGGTGGAGAATGCCGGAAAGAAGGTTGCGCCGAGGGCTTGCGGGAATGGGAAGTTGTGGCTCGCGCGGGAAAAGGAGTCGTCCGACGCGTCGCTGTTGCGCCAGGTGTGGGGTGGTTGCCACGTGGCGGCTGGGGACTGCTCCAGCAGCATGGACCGAGAAATGTAATGCTGGACCATTCAGAAAACAACACGTGGACGAACTGCGGAATGCAGAAGGGATTTAAGACCCCGAGCCCAGTACTAACCAGCAGATTCACATTTCAAACCAGGAACGATGTTCGGCAAGGGATCGTCGGGACGCGAAGAAGAGCCTGGGTTTGGAATAAAGCAGATGCTTGCGTGGACTGGCGTGAGCAGGAAATGTGGAATGTGACGGAACGGCTGCCCCTAAAACCGCAATGCTGAGATGGCGGCGCAACGGAAGCAGAGTTTCCTAGGCGTGTTCTGGCATTATTAGGTAGGGATAGAACCTAGAAAGTGACCAGTATCGAAGGGTGTACTCCCATTCATGACTTTTCGTGTTACAATTGTGTCGTGAGAAAGTTGAGATTTACTCCTTCCAAAGATATTGTTATCTAATTTCCACTGCCCAACCTCTTTAGTGTGTGCGAGGGGGCGCCCACACGGTGGGCTAAATCTTGACAACAAAATGTTGCTGGCTTATCATTTTTACATAGATACAAAATCCATCTGTGCGCATAAGTAGGTGGTCGCTCCTATTTATTTCGCATTAGTTTCTGACAGTCTTGAGAGCTCCTCTGCAAGGGGTGTGGATGGGAGAAGATACAGACGGTATTAGCAATTAGAAAAATGGGGGACACACGAATGTAGCATGGAGAAGAAGGTCAGCAGAGGATGTCAAGCCGAAAAGTGCGAGCAAGGGAGGGAAACTGGAAAGCCATTACCATAACTTTTTCCTACCTTGCTTCTTCTCCTTGAGCGTACTGCTGTCAGCGAGGAAAAAAATCGCACCACGTTTCTGATACGTAGTCTGCAAAACATCGCACCATGTTTTGATACGCAGTCAGCAATTGATCATCAAACCTGAGAGACAACCAGCAAATCCAGTTTCCGAACAAAGAGTCTGACCCATACCATTGGTAATCTTAAGGCATACCTCTTGTCAGGCTTGCCTGGTAAAATTCGCAAAGGATTTTGGGTTTAGGGAAATTTCAGTGTGTTGTGACGCGAGCCGGATAAGAGATTGGCCTGATAAGGGGCCGTAGGAACATGCCCTAACCAGAAGCAGTGCACGGCTGCAGCAGAACGGGACGAGTGGGACTACTCAGTGACTTTTTAAGTAGACTCAAAAGTCACCTCCATGCGCATAAAACGATGCAGGGCAGCAGTAGAACACGACAGAGGGCAGAACACGACGGAGGGCAGAACACGACAGAGGGCAAAACACGACAGAGGGCAGAAGACGACAAGTTGGACTTACCCGGCCCGAGGGCAGAGAGGAAAGCTCAGCACAGGCCACCTGCAGTTCCTGCACCTGTAGAGACATAGTCATAAGAACACAGAGGGGAGTCACAAGAACAATCTCTCTTATAGAACTCCTACCAGCACCGCAAATTGAGCTGATCAAGGCAATTAAGTGGTTGCTCTGGGAAATTAAAGAAAACAGCGAAGGCAGCAGAAGGAGCATAGAGTAGGGCTCTAATACGGGGTAACAAGCGGCTCTAATACCCCGAACATACGGGGTAACAAGCGGCTCTAATACCTTTGAATTTAACTCCTTCTGGTGTTGTGTGCCGCCTGCCATGATGCAATTTGAGAATCTGCTGGCTCTGGCGAAATCTTGAAGGACTATCAGCAGCTAGTTCTGGTCTGCATCTACCACTGAAACAGGGGTCGGGAAGGGAATGCACAGGAATCGGAAAAACGGAAACGTGATGACAGGGTATGCACGGGAATCTGGGTGTAGCTCGACAGGAGAAGGAATGACCACCAACCACTGATACCACACCACTGATGTCACACGACTGATGTCACACCACTGATGTCACACCACTGATGTCACACCACTGATGTCACACCACTGATGTCACACCACTGATGTCACACCACTGATGCCACACCACTGATGTCACACCACTAATGTCACACCACTGATGTCACACCACTGATGTCACAGCACTGATGTCACAGCACTGATGTCACAGGACTGCTCGAACTCCCCATGCCCTACTATTCAAACAAACTCCCCTTCCCCAACTATTCACTACCCTTCCCCTACTGCTCAAATTCCCTTTCCCCCACTATTCAAACTCCCTTTAGCTCATTGTTCCACTCTCCTTCCCCCACTGTTCCACTCCCCTTCCTCCACAACTCCACTCTCCTTGCCCCACTGTTCCACTCCCTTTTCCCCACCGTTCCACTCCACTTCCCCAACTGTTCCACTCTCTTTCCCACTGTGACATTCCACCTCCCCTTAGCCTTATCACTTCGTGGGACTCAACAACCTAAACGGCCAATTGAGGCCCCCTGGGGCTGTGGCGCCGGAAACGACACAAGTATTAAGTAAAAAAGGGCTGCGGCCCTAGAAACGACCTTAGCACTCAGTCTTCCTAGGCATAACGAACAAGAAACGAGTGAGTCGCGAAGGCACCAGCACACATTTCGACCTTTCAGATAAGGTCGATTAGGGTTGCAACCCTAGTAGCGACCTGCTTACCAGGTCGACATGGGCTGCTGCCATAATTTCGACCTTAGCATAATGGCGACATGCGCTGCAGCCCATGAAAAGGCCTATATTTAGGTCGAGTCGCGCTGCAGCCCCATAGAAGCCCTTGACACGGGCTCGTCATAGGCTGCAGCCCGACAACGCCCCTGTTTGGACGCGCGTGAAACCTCTCACTATCTTGTGGTCGATGTACCTGCGAGTTGCTTCAATCCATGTGAAGTCTGCAACTTCTCTGGCGACTAAAGCAATATGCGTCCTAGGCCGGAAGTATTGTGTATTTTGATGGTAGAAAACACTCGATAGAAAGGCATGTACCACCTACATAGAGAAGGTATTAGACTGCTGTAAGAATGCAATGCTTTATATTTCCATTTTTCCAACTAATCAAGGAAATTGTAGGGACGTCAAATTCATGTGAGGTCAAAAGTTGGGATATATGACAACTCAGTATAACGAACCTCACATGGCTGCCTTTTTCTGTGCAGAAGCAGGTTAGGTTGGTGCAATAACGATGAATTCTTCCCAGTTGCCCATTGGCTGCGACAGCGCCAACCACTGCGCGGACACCTAACCACATGTGGCGCCACTTTACGTCGCCACGTCAGACAGGCCCAGCAGTTGGTCAACCGCGGTTCGCGTCGGTGGGCCAATACACTCCGTTTCTGGCTGGTCAGAGGGCTGAAAGCGAGGTGTGGCGAAATAGAGACGACGGTTCGAGTTGGTGGTACCCGTTGCGGCATGAGGCCGCGACTGGTTACCCTAGATCCTGCATCCACCAGCGAAACTGGGGCAGGTTGGGGGGCGGTGGGAAGGGAAGAAGGCTACAGTACTTGAGATTCCCTTCCCGCTCGCCTGGCACCAAGCAATCATCTGTGGAAGTTGGTGTGGGTGTGCACTGTGACTCGTTCGGGATCGAGCTCATCAGCAGGAAAGACTCGAGTCGGGAATCCTAAGCGAGGGGTCCTTCAGGATTCTCCTTTGAGACAAGATTGCCTCCAGCTTGCATCCAACATCAAGAAAGAACCCCTAGTCGCATTGCCAGCGACGTTATGATACGAGTGTTGGGAGACAGAGGTTACAATTCTTCAGTCGCGAGTATGCAGGCTCTTCTTCCTATACCATTTTTACTGCCGAAATTATCCTCATTTTCGTTGCGAGCCCAGTTAATTCCTGATTCGTGTGAACGCGTTAGCTTCGAATCGAGCCTATGGCGCAGCGGCGTTTTCTTAGTCGAAAGTAGCCTTCGGTTGTGTACATTGCATGCGACTGGAGACGCACATGCATGGCTGCCGGCTGCGAAGTCCCGCACGTCTTCCTCCTGGAAAATAAACACGACGATGCGACGCTGCCAGTCTCGCATGGCAGGCATGTCAAATTAGGAAGATTAGAAAGCGTAGGCCGCGTCAACTCGACTGGCGTGTCAGGAGAATTCGTAGGAAACAAGCCGGACAAAATAATGACTGAAAGACGTCGTACCACATCGCAACAGCAATTCACGGAGGAGAATCAGGGTTACCCAGAAGCAAACAATTCGCCAGCACGGCGAGATTCTCAGAAAGTTCGCACGCGGTCTCCAGTGCCGGACCCCTCGACAGGAACCGGGATCACGAAAGAACGTCGAGAAAAGCGAAGGTCGAGGGGAAGCTCCTTGGTGACAGACGAATTAGCCTCAGGAGCGACGGCTATGGCGGCAACAGCAGCGGCAGAGCAGCGGCCAGTCACGCCCACGTCCTCCTCTCTCCCAATCCCGTCCGTCCCCGAACACCCCCCCGCGTTGGACTTTCCTAGAGCGTCAACTTCCGGTGCTGCGCCGCCGTCAGCAGGCGCCGCCGCTGCACGGGGAAGCGCACCGGGAAAGGAGCTACGCAAGTCGCGAGGCGGCTCGATGCTGCTCGACGAGATGCTGCTGGAGGGGCCTCCGCTGGCAGTCAAGGCCGGGCTCGACCGGGGGAGGTCGTATTCGAGGGGAGGGTTACCTGCTGCTCTCGCTGCCGTGGCGGATGAAGCGTCCGCTGCCGCCGCCGCTGCTGCTGCTGGTGGTAGTGGTGGGGGGATGGGGGGAATTGCTGCTGCTGGTGGCTTGCGAGAGGTGCGTCTTGTTTTCCTCCTCACCTCGTCCCTGCTTCCTCTCTTTCTCCCATGATCCTTTGTCGCGAACGGAAAAGGCTGACCCCTGTAGCACAAGGTAGCTTCCCTCGCACTAAGCAAGTAAAGAAACAAACGAACGTTGTAGCTACGTATGAAGCATGGTTCCACTGATACGCTTCCTTCGTCCCTGTGTGCACCGTTCTCCACCCCTTGCAGTCCCACCGCAAGCCCCTCCTAGCTCGTCATCGCTATCGCTCCGCCTCCATGACCGCCGCTGAAATCGCCAGACTTACAGTTGGAGACGCGGGTTCGAATCCTGCCGGAGAACGCAGCCCCAGTCGCCACAACCACCCTCCCCGCAGTAGCTCTCCCCACGCCATTCAGGCGGGAAACAATCCCCCACGTCCCTTCAATGCTCCTGTTGCAAAGCATGGCTATACTCCTGTTCGTTGCTTTAGCGCGGATGGAGAGGGCCCCGTTGATGATGGCGGCTCTGTGTATCAGAGCCGTGCTGCTGGGAAAGGCAGCACTAATGACCCTGGTGTTGCAGCAGTGAGAAACGCCCGGAACAAGGCAGGAAGGGAGCAGTTGGTGTGGCCGGGCCAGCATAAGGAGCAGGAGGATGAGGAACAGCAAGAGGAGGAAGAACAGTGGGAGGACCAGCAGAAGCAAAGAGACCAGCAGCAAAGGCAACAAAAGTATCCAACGTCTCGAACTGGACATGCTCGGTCCGCCTCAGGGCCCCTCTCCTTCCTTGCTTCTCCTGGTTCTCCCTCTCCCTCGCCCCCACGCTGGGCGGGTCCCAGTAGCCGCCTTGCCCACTCCGCCTTGTCCGCCGCTGCACAAGGCGAACACAGGCCACCGCAGAATCATCAGCGGCAGCAGCAGCAGCAGGCCATGTATGGGCGTAGTAACCGAAAGGAGAAGTTAATGATAAGCAGTGAGCAGGGAGAAAGAGACGAGGATGAGGGTGAGTGCGAAGGCGAGGGCAGAGGAGAGTGGGCGGCAGGGGACGCGGAGTGGGAAGGGGAAACGCCCAAGGATCGCACAGAGTGGTACCAAGAGTGGGAGGACACGAGACCCTGGGACCATGGCTCCAAGCCTGCTGCTTCTGCAGGTCAGGGTCTACACCATATGCAGCAGCAGCAGCAGCAGCAGCAGCAGCAGCAGCAGCAGCAGCAGCAGCAGCAGCAGCAGCAGCAGGGAAGGCATCAAAAGCAGCAGCCGCCGCAGCAGCAGCGCCAATCCCAGCGTGCAGTGAAGGTCCCTTTGCATGGTCGCCCCCGCCGTACCATGTCCGCCCTGCCCTCTGCCGTGCTCAGCAGCGATTTCTCCTGGGACAGTGGCCGCACGGCTGCACTCTCTCGCCTCCGCAACTCCTCTGTTGAGTCCTCTTGCTCGCCCACTCACGCCCACGCTCACTCCCACACTCACTCCCACTCCCAGGCGGCCTACTCTCACTCCCGCCCTCGTTCCCACTTCCGTTCGCCCAGCTGCCAATTACCACTTGACTCCCAGCAAAAACTCTCTTCGGAATGCGAGGATGAGGAGGAGGAAGTGGAGGAGGGAGAGACGCAGGACGCACAGCGAAGGGAGTGCTCACACGGGTCGGATATGTATGGGGATGATGATGCTATGGGTGACGTCAGGGAAGCTGCTATGGATGACGTCACGAGTGAGGCCTGGAGAGGGGAGGAGGTGCAGGGGGAGGAGAGAGCGATGATGTCAGCAGCAGCAGCTGCCATGCTGGACCTCGAGCTGTCTGACTCAGCAGAGGAAACTGCTACGGAAGATGAATGGATAGGGTCAGGGCGAGGGAAAGGGAGCCGTGCAGCTGGCTTCAGTTCCGGTGGTTCTGCTCGTTTGGGTGGTTCTGGTGGTTTTGATTGTTACGGTGGTTCTGGCCGTTTGGTTGGTTCTGGTAATTCGGAGCATTCCGGTGGTTCGCTTGGTGGTTTGCATATGGATGGGGGGGGAGAGGGGGGATCTTCACAAACGCAACGAGATGCCAGCCTCCTTCAGAGCGTATCAACTCCTCAAAGGTCGCGAGAAACGCACGCAAGTAGGCTGAAATCGGGGCGTGCACAAGGCGAGAAGTTAGGGTTAGGCCACGTGTCAATGTCACAAGGCCTGAAGCCAGGCCACATTCGGAGCAGGTCAGTGGGTCATGGTCTCGGGCACAGGGAGATGGGCGGCCGTCTGGGGAGCACAGGAGAGGTGGAGAAGGAGGAGGGGGGTTCCCATGAGTCGGCCGACGAGGAATCTCAAGAGTGCGACCACAAGGGCTTGGAGAAGAGTGGAAGTAAATCTGGAGGAAGCGGTTTCAAAGGAAGGGACACTCGAGGCGCCCGATCGCTGACCTCTGTGGGTCGATCGGGTGCAGAGGAGTGGCACGGGGAGGAGCCTTTTGAGTCGCCTGGATTGGGCGTGGCTGAACTTGAGAGTGATGGTTGGAAGGCTGGCCCGTTCACCCCTGTGAGGCAGCATGGGCAGAAGGAAATTTCGGCACAGCAGAAACGGCAGGAGAGGCAGGAACGGCAGGAACGGCAGGAGAGGCAGGAACGGCAGGAACAGCAGGAGAGGCAAGAACGGCGGGGGAAGAAAGGAGAATTCGCTAGGGATAAGAGCAGAGGAGAAGAGGGAGAGGGAAGCAAGGGCAAGAGCAGAGGGGAGAGAGTAGGGACGCTCCGAGGTAAGGGCTGGCGGAGTAAAAGCGTAGGGGGGGGTGCTGGAGAGGAGAGGGTATTAAATGGTTGGGGGCAGCAGGAGGACAGGGACGGGCGCAAGGTGAATGAGAGGGGGAGTAGCAAGGGGAGTGGCAAGGGGAGGGCGGATGGGGAGGAGGTGAGGGTTAAAGGAAAATGGAAGGCGGGTGAAGAGGAGGTGAGAGTAGCTTGGGACGCAGTAGGAGTGATGCTGAAGGGAGGAAGGGAAGGGGGGAGACGGAAGGATGTAGGAAGAGAGGAGAGGGGAAAGGGGCAAGAGAGGGAGGAGGTAAGGCTAGGTGGAGTAGATGCGGATGATGCTGTTTGTACGGGTGAGAAGGGGAGTGCCCCTGCAACGGGTTGTGATCCTATTTTTGAGTCGACTCAATTTTCTAGTCGACTCAAAAATAGACTCACCGATGCGGATGACGCCGTTTGTGGGGGTGAGAAGGGAATTGGCCCGGCTACGGGTAGTGATCGGAGGGAGGGGAGCAGCAAGGAGGGAAGCAGGAGTAGTCACGGATTCGGCAGTCGACGAGATTGGGAAGGGGGAGACAAGATGATGGTTACGAAGGAACAGAGGCAGGGGCAGCAGCAGCAACAGCAGGAGCGGGAGCAGCAACAGCAGGGGCAGCAGCAGCAACAGCAGGAGCGGGAGCAGCAACAGCAGGGGCATCAGCAGCAACAGCAGGAGCAGGAGGAGGTGCAACCTCCACCTCCACCGCCACCACAGTCACGGTCCAGGCTCACTCGCCTACCCTCCGCCTCTCTGCTCGCCTTTCATCTGGACACAGGCACCCCCCTCCCTCTTGCCTCGGTTGTCCTTCCCCCAGACATTGCCGACTTTCTCGACACTGACCCCACGGGCAGCCTCAAACGGGCAGGTGAAAGTTTTCACCCAGGGCTGGGTAGCAGAGGGGAGGGAACAGAGGAGAATTCAGTCACTGTAGCTCCTGCTCCCGTTCGAGCTTATACCGCACCAGGGGCAGCTACAAATGAATCTTCTGGAGGACTTGCCCATAGCCGCTTGGCACGAGCGCAGGCGGGGGAGGCAGGTGCTTCTGAGACTGAGACGGTTCAAACAAGAAAGGATGCTTCCCCGGCAGGGCCAGAGGAGGGGATGGGAAAGAGCTTGACTGTGAAAGAGCGGGCCATGAGGAAGGGGCTTCTTTCTGGCACGCTGGCAGAACTTCGGAGGGGTAAGGATGATGATAGAGGGAGGGGTAAGGATGATGATAGAGGGAGGGGTAAGGATGATGATAGAGGGAGGGGTAAGGATGATGATAGAGGGAGGGGTAAGGATGATGATAGAGGGAGGGGTAAGGATGATGATAGAGGGAGGGGTAAGGATGATGATAGAGGGAGGGGTAAGGATGATGATAGAGGGAGGGGTAAGGATGATGATAGAGGGAGGGGTAAGGATGATGATAGAGGGAGGGGTAAGGATGATGATAGAGGGAGGGGTAAGGATGATGATAGAGGGAGGGGTAAGGATGATGATAGAGGGAGGGGTAAGGATGATGATAGAGGGAGGGGTAAGGATGATGATAGAGGGAGGGGTAAGGATGATGATAGAGGGAGGGGTAAGGATGATGATAGAGAGAGGGATGGAGGAGACGGGAGTGGGGGACTTGGGAAAGATGAGGGCCGGGGAGTTGGAAAGGTTGTGTCTGGGGAGAGTGGGAAAAGTGGCAGCAGCAGGAGGGTTGGGAAGGGAGGATTTGTGAAAGCTGCTACTGTGCAGGATAGGAGGAGGGGGGCAGGGAGAGAGGGAACAGGCAGCGGTAGCAGCGTATGTGAGTTGGAGGGAGAGAGCTTAAATGGGAAGGGACAGGAGAAGGGGCAGGGGAAGGGGCAGGGGAAGGGGATTGTGTGGGGAAGGATGGCGAGTGTTCAAGTGCTGGGGAGAAAGTACAATGGAGGGAGGCTTGATGAATGGGGTAAGAAAGGGAGTGAGGCATGCGCTGACCGCATTGACCCTGTTGACCGCGTTGACCCTGTTGACCGCGTTGACCCTGTTGACCGCGTTGACCCTGTTGGCCGCGTTGACCCTGTTGACCGCGTTGACCCTGTCGACCGCGTTTTGTTCGCACAGCGAAAGGAGGACTTGTACGGCCGGTCAAAGAGCCAGCCAGGGATACGGCCGAAGACCGCCGACCCAAGCTCACGCTCTTCTGCCTCTACTACTGATGATGGTACTTCTGCTGCTGCTGCTGTCGCTGTCGTTGCCTCTGTCGCTGCCGCTACTAAATCTTCCTCTGCAGCGAAAACTGTCAAGGCGAAAGGGCTGAGGCATGCTGTTAGTATCAGTAGCAGCAGCAGTGGCATCAGCAACATCAGCAGCAGCAGCAGTGGCAGCAGTGGCATAATTAGTGGCAGCAGCAGCAACAGCGGAGGCAACATGGGTGCCAGTAGTGTCAGCGGTGGCAGCAGCATCGGTGGCAGCAGCAGCCGCATCCGGCGCAGTGCGAGCAGCATCCCCAGTCAAATGGAGGGCGGGTCGAATCCGAAAGGCGGGCAGTTTGTGAAGGAAGAGCTCAACTTCATCATTGATTCGTTCCTCTCCGAGCCTAAGCTTGCCAGTAAGCCCAGAAAGGGAGACAAGAGCTCTGTGGCGCCTCAAAAGAACTCCATCATTGACTCGTTCCTGTCCGAGCCTAAGGCTGCCAATAAGCCCGGCAAGGGAGACAAGAAGGGGGGGTCCTTTCCCCGGTCAGGGTCGGTTGGTTCTAGCTCGGAGTCAATGGGGTCAGGTAAGGAGGGAAGGGAGGGGAGGGAGGGGAGAAAAGGGCAGGGGAAGGAGGGCACAGAGGGGAAGGAGGACAAACAGGGGAAGCAGAGGCAGGAGGAGGAGGGGAAGAAAGGGCTTTATCTTCGGTCGGGATCGATTGGTTCTGGTGAATGTAGAGTGGAACTGAAGGAGGACGGGCGAGAAGGGCAGGAAAAGGAGGGGAAGGAGAGGAACGAGGGGAGGGATGGGGGGGAGGGAAAGGAGAGGAGGAAAGGGCTGTTTCCTCGTGTTGGGTCTAACGACGGGGAAGAAGGTTCTCGGAAGGAGGGTGCGGCAGTGTTGTCGCTGTTTGGAAGGATGGCGACTGGTAAATTCGCAAGAGCTGAGAAGCCCTCTGAGAAACAATGTTCTCAGCATGATTTTCCTCCGTCTTATCAGCAGAAGCAGCGGGAGCGCGAGGAGGAGGTAGGCAATGCATGCAATGGCTCAGAAGGCAAGGAGGAGAGGGAGAGGGATGGGGAGAAGCAGAAGAAAACAGGGACAAAACAGGGGTTCCTGAAGCGGCCTCTTAATCTCCTGCACAAGGGTAAAGCGGCCAGAGGAGGGGCGAACATTCCCCTCCAACCAGGTGTGCGGGAGGCACAAAGCACAGCTCCAGGGCAAGCCTGCAGCGGCAACAGTAACAGTAACATGTACAGTAACACTGGTGGTAGTGCTGATACATGGGATATATTGATGGTGGGTCCTGATGGGAGGGATCCTCTGAGTGAGGACGAGGATGAGTGTGAGAGGCTGGAGGAGGAGGAGGCGGACGTAGTTCGGCCGTTGGATCAGCCAAACCAGTGGTTTCAACAGCACCAAATGCGGCAGTCAAGGCACCAGTATCAGTAGTATCTTGCTATTCCATTAGTTATTGAATATGGTACGTTTTCTATGCTTATTACCGTATTATTGAAATGGAGTTATAGGTATGGAGTTAATCTAGCTCCAGCCTCTTACAAAAGATCCACAAATTATGGCGTGGCAGTGCATGGTTTTATAAATGAAGTAATTATTCGTGTTTGTAGCTCTAAAGATTGTGGGGAGTGCCGGGACCGCACTAAAGCAATCCTCAACGATACCAGCGCGCCACGTGGACCACACCGTGGCTTTCCCGAAGGTGTGAATTGGTTCAGCTCCGCGCCTTCATCCGCTCCGCGCAATTGACACTTCACCCGCACTTTCCCCGCGCGTCTTTCTATATCACCTTCCCCCCTTGCGCGCACCCCCCTCGCAGGACCCCTCCGCCTCACTTCATTACCTCCTACCTTAGTTACCTCAGATTATCCCGAAGATAGTCCTGTCGAGTAGTTAGTACGGCAGTGGGTGACTCGTATTCCCATCGGGCATCGGGCATTATTATCGCTTGACTTCTCTTTTTCTTGTCGCCTTTCCGCGCGATCCTGTCCCTCGGTGGCGGTGTAACGTCGGAGCATGGATCGCCTAGTGTGCCATTCCTCCGTTGCGCCGCACACACTCGCCACGCCGCTGCGCGCCGATTCACGCACGCGGAAAGGCGCGGTTGCAGCGGTTGCCGTGCCGCGATCCGCATCGAGAGTGAAGCTCGATGCGTACGTGACGAGCCGCGCGCACGTGGGCGCGAAGCAGCTGATGGGTCAGAGCCTCCATTCGGCGACGGAAGTGTTGCGATCACGACACGTGGTGGGATCGTGCGGAAGACGAGGAGTCGTCGAGATGGTGCGTTGCGTTGTAATTAAAGGAAACTTCGAAACAGTAGAAGGAAGTCCGTATCGCGCTTACGACACAGAAAACAGAAGCTGGCTTGTCGGCATTCCCGCGACCGAATCCTTGATTCAACCGGAACTGGAGTATAGCCCTGTGGCAGCGACCTTTCGCGAAGGTGCACGCAGTTACTATAAGAATTCGCGAAGGATGCCGCAGTTACAATTACCTTTCGCCAAGAGTGCTCGCTTTGCTACAGCAAGCTTTCGCGAATCATGCTCGAACCGTTACAGCTCTGGCACCGCAGCAAGGTTTGCCGCCAAATGGCCCGGCGTCCGGCAATCCCAAGGCTTAAACAAGCACGAGGGTTACAACAGCGGCAAGTCGGATCGCAGTTCCTAGCGACTCGCGGCGTTCTCAAAGGTCACGGAAATCCCAAGGTTCACTGACTCTCGAGGTTCTCGGTATTCCCATGACTCACGGCGATTCCCATCCCTAGGGTTAACTTCACTGCGTGCCGCTGTGGCGCGTTATGCAGCTTCATCTGGTTGGCATATCCGCGTTATTGACGGATCGGGTTCGCGCCAGACTGGACGTGTTTCCTCAATGCGTCATCGTACTCGTGCTTTTGAGAATTCTCGAAACTAGCTTAAAAAAAACGACTGGTGTTCTTTGTAGTCGCACGTTGGAGCCGCCGTGACGCTAGTTGGAGCGGCCCTGACGATAGTTGGAGCCGCCGTGACGTTAGTTGGAGCGGTCCTGACGATAGCTGGAGAGCCCAATCCCACCCACCCGTTCCTTTACTTCCCGCTCCTCCCCCCCGACCCTCTCCTCCAACCATCCCTCTCCCGCGGCCCCCCTCGCCGCTCCCCCACCCCGTACCCGTCGAACCAACCCCCCTCCCCCCTCTATCCCCCGCAGGTCATCCCGTTCCAAAAGGGCGAGGCCACGCAGCAGCCGCCCTGCCGTCGTATCTATTCAACTCTCCATCCCACCTTCATTCTCCCTTTCCCCCTTTACCCATTTCTCCCCTTCGTCTCTCCAACTCCCCCCTCCCGCGGCCCTGTTCACCCTCCGCCCTGTACTCGTCACCCTTCCCACACATTCACCTTCCCCGTTGCAGGTCATCCCGTTTCAAAAGGGCGAGGCCACGCAGCAGCCGCCACCGGATCTCCCATCGTACCTCTTCAAGAACCGCATTGTGTTCCTGGGCATGTCGCTCGTGCCCTCCGTCACGGAGCTCATCATGGCGGAGCTGCTGTACCTGCAGTACGACAGCCCTGAGAAGCCGATTTATATGTACATCAACTCGACTGGAACAACTAAGGTACTGTAACGGATATCCGCGTTATAAAACGACTTTTGAGGCACCTCAAAAGCCGTGCCCTCCGTCACGGAGCTCATCATGGCCGAGTTGCTGTACCTGCAGTTCGACAGCCCTGAGAAACCAATTCTACATGTATATCAATTTTACCGGCACTACCAAGGTACTGTACTGTAGAGAATATCCGCGTTATATAAGAGGTCAGTCCTGCAAGGGAGCTCCGTCTTTGAGCTCATCATGGGGGAGCTGCTGTATCTGCAGTACGACAGCCCGGAGAAACCGATTTATATGTACATCAACTCGACGGGAACCACTAAGGTACTGTAGTGTTATATCCCCGTTATAAGACGAGCTCATCATGGCCGAGTTGCAGTACGACAGCCCTGAGAAGCCGATTTACATGTATATCAACTCCACGGGAACCACCTAGGTAAAGTACTATAGCTCATCATGGCCGAACTGTTCTGCCTGCAGTACTAGGCCGAGTTACATCTTTATCAAATCCATGGATACCACCAAGGTACTGTACTGGTTATCCTCGTTATAAGACGACTGGAGATGGATGTCTTACCACCTTCCCCCCCTCCCCTCTATTTCCCTCCCGGTTGAAACTTTCTCCTCCAATTTCCTCTTCCTTTGCCCCCTTCCGATGCGTTCAGGACGGGGAGAAGCTGGGGTACGAGACAGAGGCGTTTGCCATCTATGACACCATGCGGTCAGTCTTCCCTCCTCAGCCCTGCATCCGCTCTGTCTTTTTCTTCACTGGCCTGCGCTCCTCCCTTTCCTGCCCTCTTTCCCTTTGCCATCTATGACACCATGCGGTCAGTCTTCCTTCTTAGCCTTCCTCGCACTTCTGCCCCTGCTAGCTTGCCCTTCCCTCGCAGCCTTCCTAGCGTTACCCTTACTTACTCCTCTCCTTGCTCTTTCTGCCTTGCCCTCCCTTCCTTGCCTGCCATCCATTCCTGTGCCCTCCTCCCATCACTGCCCTTCCTTTTCTCTCTACTGTCCTCTCCCCCCATATATTCCCTCTTCCCCCCCCTTTCCTTAACCTTAGTTTTCCACCACCTCTCCCCTCTTCCACGCCCCAGCTACGTGAAGCCTCCGATCTTCACACTGTGTGTGGGCAACGCGTGGGGGGAGGCGGCGCTGCTGCTGTCTGCAGGGTCTAAGGGCAACCGGTCGGCACTGCCCTCCTCTTCCATCATGCTCAAGCAACCCATCTCTCGGTTCCGCGGGCAGGCCACCGACATTGACATCATGCGCAAGGAAGTGCGGAACGTGAAGATAGAACTGGTGAGTGGTTGAAAGTGGTTGAAAGACAAGCCAGTGATGTCTACAGGGCACCGACATTGGCAGGCCACTGACATTGACATCATGTGCAAGGAAGTGCGGAATGTGAAGACCGAACAAGTGAGTGAGTGGGCCACATTTGTGACAATGAGAGAGGGGTCACTGACTCATACAGGCCACTGACATGGCATTGACATGGCATTGGCATGGCATTGACATGGCATTGGCATGGCATTGACATGGCATTGACATGGCATTGCCATGGCATTGACATGGCATTGACATGGCATTGACATGGCATTCACGCCATGCGCAAGGAAGTGCGGAACATGAATTCAGAACCGGTGAGTGCATGGGTACTAGAGAAAGAAGTCGGTGACATTGACAAACCACTGACGTTCAGAAGTCAATTATGTGCCGTGCAAGGTGAGGACATTGTTATACAGTGACATTGACACCAACTACTGTGCTTGACATCAATTACCGTGTTTGACATCAATTACCGTGTTTGACATCAATTACTGTGTTTGACATCAATTACTGTGTTTGACATCAATTACTGTGTTTGACATCAATTACTTTGTTTGACACCAATTACTGTGTTTGACATCAATTACTGTGTTTGACATCAATTACTGTGCTTGACATCAATTACTGTGCTTGACATCAATTACTGTGCTTGACATCAATTACTGTGTTTGACATCAATTACTGTGTTTGACATCGATTACTGTGCTTGACATCAATTACTGTGTTTGACATCAATTACTGTGTTTGACATCAATTACTGTGTTTGACATCAATTACTGTGCTTGACATCAATTACTGTGTTTGACATCAATTACTGTGTTTGACATCAATTACTGTGTTTGACATCAATTACTGTGTTTGACATCAATTACTGTGCTTGACATCAATTACTGTGTTTGACATCAATTACTGTGTTTGACATCAATTACTGTGCTTGACATCAATTACTGTGTTTGACATCAATTACTGTGTTTGACATCAATTACTGTGTTTGACATCGATTACTGTGCTTGACATCAATTACTGTGTTTGACATCAATTACTGTGTTTGACATCAATTACTGTGTTTGACATCAATTACTGTGCTTGACATCAATTACTGTGTTTGACATCAATTACTGTGTTTGACATCAATTACTGTGTTTGACATCAATTACTGTGTTTGACATCAATTACTGTGCTTGACATCAATTACTGTGTTTGACATCAATTACTGTGTTTGACATCAATTACTGTGTTTGACATCAATTACTGTGCTTCACATCAATTACTGTGTTTGACATCAATTACTGTGCTTGACATCAATTACTGTGCTTGACATCAATTACTGTGCTTGACATCAATTACTGTGCTTGACATCAATTACTGTGTTTGACATCAATTACTGTGCTTGACATCAATTACTGTGTTTGACATCAATTACTGTGTTTGACATCAATTACTGTGTTTGACATCAATTACTGTGCTTGACATCAATTACTGTGCTTGACATCAATTACTGTGCTTGACATCAATTACTGTGCTTGACATCAATTTCTGTGTTTGACATCAATTACTGTGTTTGACATCAATTACTGTGCTTGACATCAGTTACTGTGTTTGACATCAATTACTGTGTTTGACATCAATTACTGTGCTTGACATCAATTACTGTGCTTGACATCAATTACTGTGTTTGACATCAATTACTGTGCTTGACATCAATTACTGTGTTTGACATCAATTACTGTGTTTGACATCAATTACTGTGTTTGACATCAATTACTGTGTTTGACATCAATTACTGTGCTTGACATCAATTACTGTGCTTGACATCAATTACTGTGCTTGACATCAATTACTGTGTTTGACATCAATTACTGTGTTTGACATCAATTACTGTGTTTGACCTCTCTGTTTGTCCTCCAGGTGAAGCTGTACTCGCGGCACACGGTCAAGTCAGAGGAGACGATCGAGAATGACATCCGGCGTCCCTTGTACCTCACACTGATGCTGCTGTGTGTTTGGCATCCCCCTGTTTCTCCCTGCAGGTGAAGCTGTACTCGCGGCACACGGGCAAGTCGGAGGAGACGATCGAGAATGACATCCGGCGTCCCTTGTACCTCACACCTGATGCTGCCGTGGAGTATGGCATCATTGATAAGGTGCGTGCGACCACTCTGGTAGTGATTGCACTGTGAACGTGCTGACCATGTGTAGGCGTCCCATGTACCTCACAACTGATGCTGCCGTGGAGTATGGCATCATTGATAAGGTATGTGACTCATGAGACACGCTGTGATGTGAATGTGTTGCTGATGGCACGTACCTCACACCTGATGCTGCCGTGGAATATGGCATCATTGATAAGGTGTGTGCAACACCTTATGAATGTGTTGCTGACCATTCTTTTGTTGTTGCTTAATTCTCATATTGCTTTGTTTTAGATGCTGCTCCGATTGGTTCAAGAGGCTAATACATTGTGTGCACGTCTTGAGCATGCAATGTTGGAGTGCATTTTAAGAATTTCACATTGTGCTGTGCCCTGTTGCTCGTGTTGCTGGGTGGCTGGCATTGCAGGTTCTTGACACGGACGCCAAGAACGATAGTGTTGTCGATTCCCTTCGCAAACGACAGCTTATCTAGGCTGTGATGGTAGTCCTGGCAATGCTATTACTAACATTAAGGGTACCTGCGGGGTTCATGTACTGGGTGGTATTAGGCAGTTATGTATTATGGAGTCACAGATATCCCGAAGGTACTGGAATTCCAACAGGAGCTTTGCAGGAGTGCACTGGACTGACACCAGCAAATGTGCTAGATGTGAAATGGGTAATATTGTGCAGTAACAAGCAAGATGTCTAGTTCTGGGAAGTTAGAATCAGAAATGATGCTGAGAAGACAATTACGGTACAAGCAGTCACAGCACTCTGCCTTTTTCATTGCTGCATAAAATCTAGCTGCAGCCAGGGCACTATACATGTTCCTCCGTCTAGAAAGAAAACAGAGAAGCTTTAAACACATCTACAAACCGATTTGATCATAGGCGTCGTGTCAACCATCAACTGCTTTATTTCAGCTTCACAGAACCCTAGGTGACTCAGTGCTGGAAAAGCTGATCACAAAGCTCCTTGTGGCTGCTGTAAATCACATCACGCCGCATCTTCATTGTTGCTGTGAGGAAGCCATTATCCACCTGAAAGAACAACCCAGCACGGCTTGTCAGTAAGAGTACACTAAACCCGAGTCCACACTTTCATGGTTTGTAAATAGGCAGGCTTACTGTGAATGGTTCATCAAGGAGTGCAAATGGACCGACCCGTTCATGCGGCAAACAACCTGCCTCCGTTAAACTGATAGAAGGAGAAATAAGGGGGGGGGGGGGGAGGGAGGGAGGACCAATCAGAGTATTCAAAAGTTAGTGACCAGACTAAAAATGTGTGACAGTTTGTTTCGAATACAACCTGCAATGCTGACACTGCAAAACAAGACAGCTGTGCAAAACAAGATTTTAGACTAGACTAGCGTACCAGCGGGTGAGCTCTTGTCGAACGACAGTCCTCTGTTCCTTTTCTGTCACCTCGCCTCCCTCCATCCCCTTCTCTGCTCTCATACTTGCCACTGCAACCTCCATCTCCTCCTCATTCACAACAATCAGTGCTCCAAGCTTTCTCTCGTCCTGAAAACATAAGACAAGCAAGTAACAGAGTCTCAACATATGCATACAGATATAGCTGGTTAAAGAAATGGCATTCAATGCATACAGACTGACATTCTTTGCTCCTAACCTGTTACACACGTTGCACACACTCCGTACCTGGCCGACGAGCATAATCTGGCGGATGACAGGGCTGCTAAGTGCAGCCTCCTCGACAAAAGCAGGCTCCACATTTTCACCTGTTCGAAAAAAGGACAAGAATGTACACATTGAAAAAAATCCAGCCACACACATCAGGTCAAAGTTGCAAGTACGTGTGTGCTTGTCAGCTGTCCAGTCACACGCACCACTGGCAAGAACAATGGTATCCTTCGCTCGGCCGTCAAGGACCAGAAGCCCTCCCGAGTTTCGAGCAGCGCCAACTGGAGTCAAAGGAGAGATCCATCCAAGGTCGCCCGTCGAGAACCAACCATCCTTGTCAATTGCCATTGCTGTGGCCGCCGGGTTCTGTTGAACACCAACAAGCCCATGCACATAAGTTTGATTACACTGAAAAGGTGCAAGAATCCTGGCATCTAAACACAAATTTGAACTCACCTTGTAGTAGCCCTTCATCACTTGAGGGCCACGTGCCTTGACCAACCCTCGTTGGCCTGCAGGAAGACCAGCTCCCGTCTCCAGGTCTACAATCTTTATCTCTGTTCCAGGAACGGGACTCCCAATGCTTCCCAATGCCTGTTTCAAAGACCGAAAAGAAAACCAAATCAAGTCCCATCGTCTGCTGTAGCAAGCACGTGACAATTGAGAAACTTCAGGTCGCCCGTGCCTACATTGTTGGAACTTTGCCTGACTGTCAGCACAGGAGAGGTCTCTGTGAGCCCATATCCATTGAGCAGAGTGATCCCAATTTGCTGAAAACAGAAGAGAAGCGGCGTCAGATAGAATGTGACAAGATTCAGGAGCTAAAACAAATTATTTTCAGAATGACCTAGTCAGTTCACAAAACTCAGGCATTCCATACCTCAAAGAATTTGTCGACGTGCGACGGCAAGCTGCCTCCACCACTCACAGCTGCCTGTGTGCACAAACAAAGGGCAGAATGCGAGGCAACAATGTAAACAGCGTCTATCAACATGAACGTCTGAAAACAGTGTAAGCCTTGCTAGGTCATCTAAAATGCCATACCATACCTTTTTTATGCCAATAGCAGCTTTGACCTTGGTGTACACAAGCTTCTCCGCCAGCAGGTGAAGAGGCAGCAGCACCAGCGCTAAAAGTCCAGCTCCCAAACATTCTGCCACAGCCTTCATAAACATGAGCCCCTGAACGTTTTCACGTGAGCGGAGCACAGCCATTCCTGTCCAGATGCGCAGAGCTTCCTTGTGAAGGGAGCTGACTTTTATCAAGAACTTGGCAACTGCTGCCCTGGCGGCTGATGCTGCAGCAAGCTTCTTCTGGACTCCACTGCAAGCCCATCCCAAAACAGAAAATGCGTTTTGGGAATCTCACAAGTGGAAAGAATTCAATGTAGCTGGATGATGATGATTCAACATATAATTTACTGTGGCTGCATTACCTGTATAAAACCTCAAAGACAAGTGGAACAGCCACAAAGTAGTCCGGAGGGTGTTTGATCAAGTCTTCCTGCAATGCAATTTGAACAAGTTGATTCAGATGCCCAAACACTGTGGGATGACTTGATTGAAATGCGATCATGCACTGGGCAAACCTTGAATGACTTGACATTGCTGTAGATGATTTGGACCCCACGGCTCAGTAGAAAGTACTCGCATGAGCGCTCGTACATGTGCCATGGGGGTAGCAGGCTCAACATGACATCACCAGCGTCAGGCGTAAGGGCACATCCAAAGTTGTTGACCTGCGCAACATGAGATGACGGAAAGGGACGTGCGAATGCATGCAAGCACGAACAAGATGGGACGATAGTGGCGAATATGGCGAATAGTCATGGATAGTGGAGGAGGAAGAACGGGAAGACGAAATGGGGGCCCCGAGAGAGCTAGCCCGAGATAGCTGGAGGCAGAGCAGGATGGAACTGCAGGAAGTGGGGGGGAGAGGGGAGCTTGACCTGATGCATCAGGTTGCTGTGCGTGAGCATCACGCCCTTGGGATTCCCGGTCGTCCCAGAAGTGTACACCAATGTTGCCACGTCATCAGGTCTGGACGCTTGACGAGGCGCTGAGCGCGACAGAGCATCATGCGTGAGCCTGCTTGCACTCCCAGCCGCCGAAACTTCTTCAAACGAGTACAGAGAAAACCATTTGGAGCACGTGCTGCTGGTCTTCCAGTCAGTACTTCGTTCCTGGCCTTTACCGGCTGGAGGCCAAAGGACAACTGCAAACTTGACAGTGTCTTTCACCGAAGAAGCTTCGAGAAACGGCGCAATGTGCTCAAGAACCTGGACGTTGTCCACGATGACAGCGGTACTGAAAGAAAGCATTTACAAAAAACGCGGTCATTCATACTGAAATGCGGGAACCTTACTGAGGTGAAACGAACCCAAAAATTCATGACGAACCTGTCTGAGTTTTCCAAAATGTGAAATAATTCCGCTCCTGAGGACTTCGCTCCTCGAACAGCATCAAGAGCACCAATGTCCATCACGCCTGCTCGCACCCTCCAAACTCATGATCAGAATACGCTCGACCTTCAAAGTACTTATACGGCACTCCAGACCAAAACAGGCATCATCCCATAAAAATTGGCTTGCCTTGATCAGCGATAAGCCATCGGTGCGAGTTCTCAGCAAACAGCGAGGCGCACTCTCCTTGCTTCAGCCCATAGACGCGCAGACCTTCACCGAAATCATAAATTGCACTCTCGAGCTCTGAAAACGTCAAGCCTCGTTTTTGTCCGTGATGCGGATCGAAAAGAGCAATCTTGTCGCCATACTGCTCCGCGAGAGTTGGCCAGATGTCAGGAAGGACCTTCCACCTCCTCGTGGTTGACTCGCTCTCATCAGGTGTCGGGAACACAACGGGTGGGAAGGAACCTTCAAGACTACTCGGGACCTGCAGCCGGCAACACTAGCGATGAGAAATCGACTAACCATAACGCGTGATTTCCATGCAATTGATAGCATTAGCCTAATCTATTACCTCGAGAACGGAGTTGACTTTTAGAGAAGTGAAATTACGTCGAACATGCCCTCTGCCGCCGCTTTGCGAGCACTTCGGATACCTGTCTCCGAAAAAACCAAGTCGTTTACTGTTTTGTACTATCGAAAGTTTCCTCAACGACAGACTTGCCAAGCCCTGGTGAGCAGTGGTGCGCAAAAGCGCGGCCATGGCTTCAAAGACGAAGACACGCGAGCACGGGCTTTACTGGCAACAACCTAGATGGATGCACCAGCTTAGTGTTCTAGACGTCGGCTCAACCACTTTTGTTCACTCGCGGAGGAGAAATAGTTTCTCTAAGCGAAGAGCCCGAATTCGTCGGAGCACATCAAGACTGACGTATGGAATAGCTCGGGTCAGCAAGGCGAGAATCTGAAAACACTCCCATCTTTGGTGTCTCTGGCAAGTCTATCCATTCCGGTGCTGGAGCGGCACGTGAGCTCCGACTCGCTCCAGGCCAGCCAGGCATCGGACATGACTCTCATGAGCCACAAGCACCGCCCGCCAATGAAATTCCTAGACGGACCTCCGACCAAACTGAATTCGGCGTGGCTGGCGCTATGGCCTCACGAAGGACAAGCCATTCGCCTTTTTCTCCGCCTTCTTTGCCTTCCCACCCAGCCAAAATCCCCGAAACCACGGTAGACCGTTCTGGTCTGGATGCAAAGCAGGTGGATGTGATGGAAAACCCATCAAGGCAACACGTGAGAGGGGCAATAGCCAATCTGTGCACTCCGCGTGTGTTGCCCGAACTTGCAGTTGGGCAGGGCGAGAATCAACGAGGGCTACGAAATGGCTCGCCATTCGACGACTGTGGCAAAGTAGCTCCCCATTCGAGAATTGCGGCTTGCGTGGGGACCACTGCGCTCATGCAGCCTCTCGCGTCTCGCCTTGCGGGCAGACCGCATGTCGCAACCGTATTGCTGCTGGAGAAGCAGTTTTGGCAGCGTGGGTGGAGTGCCGCACAAATTGTATACGCGCTTGAGGGTTGTACATTTGATAGGTCTGCTAGATTTGAGATTGGTTTCAAATCTCGGCTTATGCCTGATACATCCTATGCATATGAAAATCATGAAAGCACAAATTGTGCTCCACTAGCCCTAGCACATAAAATCCCGTCCTAATCTGATCAGCGACGGAACCAGTTGACAAAGGATGTGGCTAAAGGTGCACCACCACTTGTTGCCACAGGAGATGAGGAGGGTGATGGAACAGAAGAAAAGGCCTTGGCAGTTGACTGTACCTTTTGCCACATTTCCTCTCCCACCACACAATGTGCGGATTGTGAAAATGTAAACGCCTGGAACCCATCATTCTCAGCACTCTTCGTTTGCACAATCCTTTGTATCGAGGAGCTAACTTTTGCAGAAAAGGACTGCAGCAGCTTCACCTGGCCTGGTGAGCAGCTTTGGTAGCTGGAACGGAGGCAACGAAGCAGGGGGTCCGTGGTACCCTTGGGCCTGGGTGCGAGGGTCAGACTGATGGCTTTGTAATCGGACAAGGAGTTGACAATGAGCATTGGAGAGCGTGAGAATTGCAGGTTGTACTCGGGGAAGAAACACTTCCATGTGTCGTTGGTCTTCTTCATGGCTGCATATAGAGTGAGGATGAGGACCAGGGGGAAAAAGCGCAAGGAGAGAGGAAACAGAAAGACAGGGAGGAAACGCAAAGCAAGATGTTAGATAGAGCAAGTGGAGGAGGTCCTAGCAAAGGTACTGTGCAAGCCGGAAAGAGTCAATTTCATTGCATCTGCATTGAACATCAATCCGCTGGGGACTACTCCAGCTAACGAGAAGGCTGTGCTTGCATCACTTGAGTGAGAGAGTTCCTTTCGCCCATTGTTCAATGCTCAGTGCTCATTGCTCGTTGCTCATTGGACAGTGGCGACTCACCTCGCTTGCACTCGGCGTTGACCCCAATACGCCCCATGTCATGCACGCCTGCCATCTGCTGCACCTTCTGCCTCATGCTGTACTGCCCGTCCTTATCCGCCACATCTGAAGGGAGGGATCAGGCAGGGGAGATCATGGTAGCAAAGGGGGAGGTGGGGAATGTGATTCGGCTACAAAAGGCTCATTGTGCCTCATGCTCCACTGCTTGTCCTGATCCGCCTTGGTTTAGCATCAGCTTAAGGGAGGGGGGAGGGAAGGGACGGATGTGGCATCAGCTACACCTTCTGCCTCACGCTGCAGTGCTGGCCCTTATCCGCCACATTAGGAATCAGGCAGGGGAGGGAGTGGTATTGACTGATGGAGAGCAGCAGCACCAGCAGCAGCACCAGCAGCAGCAGCAGCAGCAGCAGTGACATACTCTAGTTAAACCTACAATAGATGAGGCCATTCCAGAGAGACGTACCTGAGAGACGTAGATGAGGCCTCCGTCGATGAAGCATTTGGTGGTGACGTTGTAGTTGGCCACCCACCTCTAGAACGAATGCCCGTTCGAATTGTCTCCCCAGCAAGGCCTACCCCGGATGAAGCCTGCCCCAGGTGATGCAGGCAGGTGAGGCCTACCTGGGAAGTAGCCTCCGTCCATGAAGCATTTGGTGGTGACGTTGTAGTTGGCCATCCACCTCGAGATCTGATCGCATTCTATCAATGCTCACGTGGAAACCTACCCCAAGAGAAGCCTACGCAAAGTGAAGAAGGCCTGCAAAGCACCCTCCATCACAAGTGAGGCCTACTCTGACCTACTCTGGCCTACTCTGGCCTACTCTGGCCTACCTGGGAAGTAGCCTCCATCCATGAAGCACTTGGTGGTGACGTTATAATTGGCCAGCCACCTCGAGATTTGATCGCATTTGATTGATGTTGCGACGCCGCCCGCACTGCAGCCGCCCACCAGCATCTGCTTGCCCACATTCAGCCCGTGCCGAGCTAGCAGATCTGCAGGGTTGGGGATGAGAGGCGGAGGGGTTGAGAGGGGGAGGGGAGGTTGGTAAAGGAAGCGGGCTTCGTCGGAAAAACGCGAGCTAAGTGAATTTAGTTTTATTTACATTGCCCTCTCTCATACTGTGTGCTTCGCTGAATTTTATTCTAAAAAGTGGGCAAGAACTTGCTATATACACCGTGTTTCGTTGTGACGTTTCCCGAGAATCCAGAAAATGATTCACCACACACCTTGCAGCGTGCCCTGCAGGTTCCAGTGCCCGCGGAAGTAGAGCGCGCGCCCCGTCTCCGCGTTTGGCGGAAGCTTGCCGTAGCCGCCGGTGAAGGAGCTGCCATCGCAGTACTTGACGAGCACCAGGTTCCAGTTGTAGAACGCGGGATTCACGGCGCTGTCCGTGCTGCCCACGCCGCCGTACTTCACGTCCTGTTGCGGGGACAGGGAGAGACGGGGGAGCAGGGAGAGGAGAGGCGGGGAGGGCGGAAAGGAGTGGGGAAAAGGACCGAAGGGACGGGAAAGAGGGTTTGTTGGGAGGTGTTGGATGTGGTGAGAAGGAGCAGCGAAGCTTGCCGTAGCCGCCGGTGAAGGAGCTGATGCAATGAGAATGACAATTCTGGCGCTTTCGGCCCCCTCTCTGTAGAGAGGATGTTTTTGGGACATCCCAAAAACACCCTCTCTACATTTCGCCCCCCTCTCTGTCGTGCCGCTGCTGGCTCACGTCGCTGTCGGCGCCGCTCACCCCGCCGTACGGTAAGGGTGTCTCATGCATTTTCTCGAAAGCTGCCTTAAGCGAGCGCAATGCGAGGTGCTGAGCCCCGGAATAACGTACGCTAGCCAGCTCTGACTCCACCGTAACGCCTCTAAAACTCCCTTGATACGGGCACGACGACAGTTGCGGAGGTTGAGAGTTCTACGTCTGCTGGTTGGCGGTGATTCGCAGCTGACTTGAAAATCATCTCGATGACGGTGAGAGGTGCTGAGGATGGGAATAGTACGTACGCTGGTCGGCGGCCATTTCTTAGAGCTCCCCAGGGGTCCCTTGGCTCGATTCGCGCAAGACTTGGCGTTGAAACACCACCCGCCAGCCTGGCAATGCACAAGAAACGCGGATGACACGAGAATGAAATGGGTGTCATCAACCGGCGCTACAAAAACTACAATAATGGCAAGAACAACCAAAGAGGCATCGTCGCATTGCTTTGTCTACTCCGGAAAAACATCTCTACTGCATCAGTAAGAGTGTTTTTTTCCGGCCCTAAATCTACACTTGAGAATACGGCACCGCTTACTTCGAGAATCATGATCCAGTTGTTGGCGCCGCTTCCGAACCCGCGTCGCAGGTAGTACCCAGCAGGACTACCGTCCAAGCACCTTGCACGAGAGTTCTTCTTCGACAGGAGATACAGCCGTGCGACGTGCAGGTTGTCTCCTGCGGCGACGCCGCTGCTCGCCTGCGTCGCAGCGCCGTCAATCGTCCCTCGCAGCTGTGCCACGCGAGGCATGCTCGGCGGGCCGCCAGGTAAAACGCCGACTCCAGCGTCACGGCCGCCGACGCCGCCGGAAGAAGAGAAATCAGTGTGCGGTCCGAAAGACTCAGCGTCAACGCCGCTGTCTATCGACTCGAAAGGGCTCAGGTCTGCGATCTCTAGCGTAGCCGCTTCGCTACTTGCGACAGTGTGCGACGGGGCCAGGATGACGAGCAGGAGGAGGAGGATGGAGATAAATGGGGGGAATGCGTGAAGCCGCATTCGGAGGAGGGGCGATCGGTCCATGTCTAAATGTGTAGGCACGCGTTCATTCACTCGAAGAAGAGACGAACGAAGGCCGTTATTCTTCTCGGCGTAAAATGCTAGCTATGGTGTCAAAGGGCGGCGGATGTGATGAGAAAGGATTGTGATGAGAAAGGATTTGCTTTTGAACAGGCTAAAGCTTGTGAGCGAAGTGAAATTTGCTTCTCCCCTGCTGTTAGAACTCAGAAGTTAGCCCTGTTACCTAAATTATTTCGGTGTTTTCCACTCCATTCGCGTTCGCTCACTCTTGTGCTTTGGGTCACGTGCTTGCCTTGCTGTCGATTGTCCCAACCGCGCAGGAGAAATGCCTGCACTGTCACATTGGAGCGAGCCGCGACACGGAAATATCAGAGCGGCGCGCGCATTTTGAAATTGCGCCAACGCGAAAGTGCTGAGGCTAGGAAGGCTGTTCGCGTGCTGAGTGATTCGAGCGAAATCAGAGTTACCATGGGTTGACGAAACAGCTGTTGTGCACCCTGACTGACACCATTGGGGTCGCATATACGCGACACGGTTCGGTTCAGGCTGCTCCGCAATGAAAAGCTGCACCTTGGAAACAGCAAAAACCAACATATACTTCTGTACACCGAGTCTTTTATAGCAAGCAGTTACGAAATGCCAATTTCCACCACTGCCTTCTGTTATCGGAACCATCCGTAAGCTCACAATACTAATCTCAATTCCGAGAGTTATGTCCTAAAATAACCACATAGCGCTTCGTACGCGCACCTTTCCGAGCCTATTCCAGCGCGCTGATCCGGGGACCAGTTAGCATCAAACGCTAAGCCGTGTAGGTTTCCTTGTGAGACCACTAGGCGACAGACGCTGTCTGTAACGCCAGGCTTCTTCAGAGTCGTGGAAGTCGGTCAAGCGCATCGCGTGCTGGCGGGGAACACGGACATTTCTCGTAGGAGTCTTGTGCTCATTGTTAAATTTGCCTGGCCTGGTCGTAGCAGCTCGTTATTGAGGCGAAGGGGGGAATTCTGAGGCGGCTTAGGACGCGCTAATCGCAGCAGGCGGTGACTTACTTTTTGCTGACAAATATGGTAACGAAACTTGCGCTCAGTCTTATTCTTGTTTAGGAAGCTATAACTGTTGTACATTTGGAATGTCGAATTGGTGATTTGAAATGGCGTAACTGGACTGTCACAGCGAGTGCCCCTCGGTTAGGGTTTCCTTGCTGTTTGTACTCGTCTATCTGCCAGAGCAACCGCTTTTAATTGGAGCACACCATCTCGGTTAGGGTTCCCTCCCGCGTTATCAGCTGTCCCCTGCATTCACCCAACCAATCCTCCTGGACGCGCACCGTTTCCAATGCTCTCACTATCTTTCTACTAATCTGTGCGACCTCTCCATAGCCTTCTTTCACACACTCCGTGCTTAATCATTCTTACAGACTATTGTTTTTTTTTTCCTCTCTCTCTCTCTCTCTCTCTCTCTCTCTCTCTCTCTCTCTCTCTCTCTCTCTCTCTCTCTCTCTCTCTCTCTCTCTCTCTCTCTCTCCATGCCCGACATTCCCTGTCCCTACTGCTGTGCCCAAATCGTACCACCGTCCTCCCCCTCTCCCGTAACCAATCAGGATGGACACACCATTCTTCTGCTGCAAACAGCGCCACAGAAATCATCATGCACTTATATCGAGTACCCCACCACAGCAGAAGCCATTGATGGTATTTCCCTTCCCTCGCTCTCATTCGTCTCCTGTATTATTCCATACTTGGGAATATGAATGCATGCATTTAGTCTTTTCCACTCTTACCCAAAGAACGCACCCCTCACCTGTATTTCAAGCCCCAATCCTGAAACCTTACACTTTCTAAGCCAAAGAACGCACTCCTCACCTGTACTTTAAGCCCCAACCCCAAAACCTTAAACTTGCTCAAACTCTGAAACCCTCTTGAGGATCCCCAAACGACAATACCTATAGCAAGTTCAGGGTTCCAAGAGCGGAGGATTGAGTGCCATGCGGAAATAAACATGGCACAAAATGTCGTTTCTGTTTTTCTTTATCCATGCTCGTCCCTCTGCTCGCCATGCATGACTCACAGGGCTGTGTGCTCTCTTTGAGCGGCGGCTCAAGGAGATGAACCCTGGAGTGAAGAACATCACATACGACATCTCAGAGCTGTACCAGTTCATGGAGTCTCTGCCCGACCTCACCGCCCTCGTGTGAGTTCCTTTGCTGTACCTCCACCTGTTATTATGCTTGCTCTGTTTGACCGGCAGCCCAAGGAGATGAGCCCCCAAGGATATGAAGAACATCACATACAGCGTCTCAGAGCTGTACCAGTTGATGGAATCTCTGCGTGACCTCACCGCCGCCCTCGTGTAAGTCCCTTGGCAACACATATGCTTGCTTGGTTCGAGCAACGGCTCAAGTGAGATATGCCCCCGACTCCCGAGGGAGTGAAGAACATCACATATGGCATCTCGGAGCTGTACTTGTACATGGAGTCGCTGCGTCACCTCACGGCCTTCGTGTAACTTCGTCAGCAGAAGTTCACCTTTTACCTCTCGTCCTGCGCTTGCCTTTTCCCCTATCCCTGCCCCTGTCTCTTCCCCCCACCACTATCCCTTGCCCTTGTTAGTGCCACTGCCTTACCGTACCCCGCCTTCCGTTTCCTCTCAAACCCCCTTTCGTACCCCTTACCATTGTGGCTCTCATTCTTGCCAAACACTGTCACACACCACTTCATATGTGTCATTCAGTCGTTGTGTCACAATCACAATGTGCACTGTCTGTCTCTTGTTGCTTGTGCATGCAGACTGGATGAGTCTATCTGTGCATACGTCCCATTTGACCGAAAACGGCTCAAAGAGCTTGCATACCAGCGGCTAAGCAAGCTAGCTGGTGTACAATGATTATTGCAACATGCCACATCATGTAATCTGCATCATATGACCTCCCTATGTTTTGAGTAGCATGGCCATCTGCGTATAGTCTAGCTCAAGAAAACAAAAGGTTATGCGGGTGATTCATTCCGCATGTAGGATTAGGGATGTGTCCTTGTGGCTGCTTATTTCATCCTAAATTGAGCCATTTTATGGTATTCCAAGCACCAAACCAAGCACTGTGCCACAGGCGATCAAATGGTGTAGGATATGAAGCCATCGAAATGCTTGCAATAGACCCAGGACACCAGGTGAGACTGCCTCACACAGTCTTCATCAACAAGGCTTGTGTATGGGTACCAGAGTCTTTGTCCACATTTACAGGTATCAAGTTTTTGAAGCTTCCACGTTTCACTTTATATAGACATCGGCAAGACAGTGTACTTAATAATTCACCGAACGGAACAAAATGACTAGCGAGCAAGCAAAATGAAATGCTTGGCGGTTCGCGGTTCCGCAACCTCTCCCGCTCATTCCCTTTGGGACGCGACGCGCGTGGGCGACACGTAATTTACATCAACGAGAGCCAAAATGTCGAATGTTGAAAATCCAATTTCGACCTCCCTCCTCCACACCACACCATACACATGCCACGAATTCACTCCTTGGCCTGGCCATGGTCCAGGTGAAGAGCAGTCTCTTCTAGTGCAGGTTCAGCATTCCTCTAGATGTGTGTATCGTGTAGTCCTAACGGCTTACCTGGGCGTGCGCGTGGCGAATGCGATTCGACACCCTACAGAAAAATCGACTGCGCTGAGGGCACCTTGCTGAATAGTGTCTGGAGATTCTTGGCTTTGTCGTTTGATCGTGGCAAAGCAGCGAGCAACTTGTTAAAGGATCTGGACCACCCGAGCTTTAAGAACGAAGTAGCGATCCAGAGCGCATTGTCTATCCGTTGGAAAAAGAAAGACGCGGAGAGATAGGTCATCTTGAAGGATCACTGTTTTCATTCAGACCTTAGTGATTCTGGCCCGCAGTTTTATCAGTACGAGCCTAATACTTTTCCAACTAGACCCTCTAGCGCGATCGAACAACCAGCAATACGCCTAGCTTGTATGACTTATCCCGCCAGGAGCTAGATCATAGCGTTCGTCTCAGAGAAAATGGCACGGAGTCACCACCGTATTGGACAAGGCCTTCAGGCCTCGCTTATAAGCCTCACCCTCGTACTCGCGCTTGTCGCGCTCTCTGCAGCCCTCGCTTCCGCGTCCGTGAATCCCGCGCGCCCACGCAACCTGCTCGCCTCCGCACTAGCAGACTTCAAATCGCGTGGCGACTTGAATGGGAACGGCAACGGCGGCTCGAGTCCCAGGCCAGGTGCCAGTGCGTCGTCCGTTAATCCCGGCGGCCGCGTCGCGCGGCTTCACATGCTGTCGAAGGAGCAGACGCGAGGTCGATGCCTGGACGGGAGGTAAGAGCGGAGGAATGTTGCTAGAACGAACGGCTCTTTATTCATTCACATAAGTTCATTTTGCCGCATTGCGTGGCTGCACATGCTGTTGAAGGAGCATAGGTGAGTTCGATGCCCGAATGGGTGATGAGAGTGGAAAAGTGTTCCTTAAACGTACTCTCCTCTTTGAACATTCTCGTATAATCACTCCGAAAGCATCTCGGAAATAACATTGATCTGTTCACCCGTGTTTTCGCAGCATGCCGGGTTACTATCTTCGCGAGGGTTATGGCACGGGCGCGAACAAGTGGATCCTTTTTATGGAGGTGAGCGCGAACCGAAGTGCAACAACTCTGATTCAGGCAACAAGTGCATTCAGTGAATTTGGTTTCGCAAAGCTCTAAACCCTTTAGTTTTCTTGGTCCTCTACCTTTGCGGCCGTATTCTTGATAGGAAAAGCACTTCATGGATTTCATTCTTCCAACTGCATCCGTCCCTAATACTTTTTTCTCCAAATCCCGCTTTCTGTTTTCTACCCCTAGGGCGGTGGGTGGTGCTTCAATCCGAAGCAATGCGCCAACCGCGCAAAGACGGACCTTGGGAGCTCCGTCAACTGGCCGTCCGTCAGCGTGAGTATGGAATCTTGCACCGTTCATTTGAATCAACAATGTCGTATGTCAATGCGAGTTCCAGCCATACTCGGTACTGAGGAGTCGCAGAAAATACCGCAGACCGAGAAGCCCGTGTCCCTCTCCCCATTTCCGTGCTCCCGTTCCGCTTCTCCCTCCGCTTCTCCCTCCGCTTCTCCCTCCGCTTCTCCCTTTCTTTCCCTCCCTGCAGAACGTGCACTTCGGCGGAGTCGCAAGCCCCGACGCGGGGATTAACCCCCAGTTCTACAACTGGAATGTGGTGCTTGTCAAGTACTGCGACGGCAGCTCCTTCACGGGCGGTTCGGGCAAGAAGAACAAGACGGAGGAGACCGGCAAGACGCTCTACTATCGGGGACACTGGAACTTAAACGGCGTGCTTCAGGGTACGTTTTTATTTTAAGCTGGACTATCAGAACCTGAACCACGGGGAGCTGACCTATCTCGGTCCAAAGAATAATTTCCGCTGAAACCCTTCCTTCTTGACTTGGTTCTCCCCCTTCGGCCCTCCGCGCTCCCCGTTTCCCCCGGTCTCAGATCTGCTGGACACTCAAAATCTGAACCATGGGGAGGAGGTGCTGGTGGGGGGCTGCAGCGCGGGCGCGGTGGCGGTGTCGATCAAGTGCGACCAGATCGCCACGTGGCTCAAGGATTACGGCATCAAGACCAAGTGCTTTATGGATGGAGGTTTCTTCCCAGGTAGGCCGTTTTTGGGGTTGGCTTGGCTGTATCGGGGACCGTTTCCCAGGGGAATAAATTTCCGGTTTTACAAGGGTTGGAATAGTAATGCTCTGTGTGCCAGCTCTCCATAGTGGCGCTGCTTACCTTCTCTCCCCGTTAATTTGTTTTTTCTTTTGTTTTCGATTTTCGCATCTCCCCTTTATTTCGCTGTGCCCGGCAGACGTGGTGGATGTGAACGGCGAGCGGTCGCTGCGGGAGAAGGTGCAGCGGCTGGCAACACTGCATGACATCGACCGGATTGGGATCAACGGCGACTGCAAGGATGGTGAGTTCAGAAAATTCACCATGGCATGGATGATTGTCTGTTATGGTGGTGAGTGTTCAATTTTTCCTCCCCTTCCTCACACTCTCACTGTCAATCTTACTGACTTTTCCTTTTCGCTTTTCTTCTCGCCTTGAAGCGAGTCCGTCCTCTCCATTCCCAATCTCAAAATCACTTCACCCTCAGTTGCCTTTTTTCGGCCTCTCTTTACCTCCCCCTCCTCTCAGCCATGCAACCAAGTGATTCCACGTGGAAGTGTTTCTTCCCCGAATACAATCTCAAGTTCGTCAAATCGCCAATGTTCGTCGTGAACTCGCTGGTGGACTACAAGGCCGTCGCGATCGCCATGTCGCCAAAGGCGAAGGGGAAAGCCAACCCGCTTGTGCGCTGCCTCGGTTCCCACTTAAAGAAGTGCACCCCGCAGCAGATAAGCCAGCTACAGTACTTTTCCAGCAACATAAAAAACTCGTTAAACAGCGTGACGAAAAACCGGCAAGCAGCGGGGGTTCCGTTTGAGACGTTTACATTCACTGAATCTACCCACTGCGTGGTGGGAGACGAAATGTGGCAGAAGCTTCAGGATGACGTTTCAGGAGGCTCGGGAGGAGGGAATGGTGTGGCTGGTGCTGCGTCAACTGGTCTCGGTCCGACGAATAAAAAGCCTAATTTGGCGGGATCCTTCAATAGCTGGTATCATTAATCGCGAAGGCTGGAGATGGCAACGGGAGAGGAGAGGGAAGGGAGTTCACCGCATGTTCATCTGAGGAGGAGGGGAGGGGGCGATCGGACGGTGGGGAATAAGGTCTGGGGGTTGGGGACTAACCCTGTTTTCGTTACGACTGGGGAGACTAAGGCTGCTGCGGTGCTGGAGTACACCAGGGTGCTGCGATCACGCTGCAACAAGGCGAGACAGCGAGAACTGCAGGCCACAATCACCGAAGCTCCGACACGTAGGGAACCCACGTGTACAAGAAGTGAGTGAAGAGGGCGTACGCAGATACATACGCACGGGGGAAAGCAAGACGAAAGGAGGAAACGTGCAGTGGAGAGGAGATGTGGCGAACCGACGATACTGGTTACGGGGGGGGACACGCAGATGTCGTTACACACGAGCTGCTACTGCACACGGCCCCGCACACAAACCATACACAACTGACTGACACTGGGGGGGTTGTTTGGGGTAGATTTCTCTGTCTGTTACTAGCTTCGCGTAGTAGGGGATTCAGTCATTGATGTAATAGTGCATATATATCATTTTGAACAGCAGAAGTACAACAAAAGCGGGAAATAAGGTCAAAATCCCATTGAACATTTGCCACCACCCACGTTTCTGTTTGCTGGTACCTTCGCTGCGTCCGCTCCTTCCCCCTCCTTCCCCTTCACCCCACCTCCCTCTCTCATTCTCCCTCTAGACGTGGCCAAAGGACCAAATGCCGGCACAAGTTTTCCTGCTGCCCCAAGCCCAAATGCCGGGCAGTTGACATAAATTGATTCGTACTGCCCAGCATTGATTGCATATGACTCGTGCCACACGCCGATGTCAGGGCCGTCCCTCAACAACCGAGTCATTCGCTTCCATGCTGCTTGTAAGGAGGGAGACAGTATGGTGGACACGGGAAAACGGGGAGATTATTGGAGAGGGGTACCTAGGCAGTCTAGACAAGGTATTAAGATGCAGGGAAGACGTGAGTAAGGAGATTGGGGAGGAGGGAGTGGAAGCAGAAAACGGGCAGAAAGCAGTGAAAGGATATAAAGGAATACTTGGACAAACCTGTCTCAAAATCCCCACAACCAAGCTTCTATACGCGCACCCAGCCCAAGCCTCCAAACGACATACCTGAGCCAAGCCTCGCGACATACCTACCCTTGCACACGGTTCTGGTCGTTGGCATAAGTCACACCCATGCCTAGGGCACGTACCAGCCCATAACCCCCCCCAAGGCTCGTACCTGAGCCGTGCACGAGGTTCTGGTCGTTGGCATAAGGGACAAGACAAGTTAATCGTATGAGCGCTAGTACATGACAGCGATTGTCTGCGAGCCCACCCAGGTCCCAGACATGTTCCTGACACCGGTTGATGCCCCTGGCACACACCTGAGCCGTGCACGAGGTTCTGGTCGTTGGCATAAGAAACCAGGTCATCGTACGAGCGCCAGTACATGACAGCCAATGCACTCTTACCTCCCATGCACCAGGCACACACCTGACCCGTGCACGAGGTTCTGGTCATTGGCATACGAAACAAGGTCATCGTACGAGCGCCAGTACATGACATCCAAAGCTCGCGTACCAGCCATGCTCCAGCCATACACCCTCCCCGTGCCCCAGGCAAGATCTCATAAGCTTAGCCGGCCCATTCCCAAGGCTCACACCTGAGCCATGCACGAGGTTCTGGTCGTTGGCATACGAGACAAGGTGGTCGTATGAGCGCCAGTACATGACAGCCAATGCCTGCGAGCCACGTGTCGTGTCCATCCCCACATAGTAGTCGCCCCCCAGGTACCCGAACTTTTCGCTCTCCTGCTCCAGCTCCCTGTTTAGTGACGGGTGCAGGGGTGAGTGGGAGCAGGGCAAGAGGCGGTTGCAGGGGCAGGCACAGGCGTGCAAGCGGCTACAGTATGACTTGTATCATGAGGAACACAAATGCCTTGCCAGAATGTCTTTTCAGCACACATGCCTTTTCACTATGCGCGCATGTCTTGCAACACAAACGCACGGCTCACCTCACAGCTTGCCCGAAGACCTCCCCGACCGAAGCAAAGGACGGGCCCAGTGGGAAGGGATTGTTAGCTCTCGCCCCGATCAGAAACAGACAAAAGTCGCCATCCATCTTGCCAGCCATCCGGCCCTGGAATATATCAATCCCGTTCACAGATAACAAGTTTCCGGAAGCTGCCGCCTCGTGCCGCCCACTGACTCCGTTCTCCTTGCCATTCGCCATTGCCTTATCTGCCTCAAGTAGCACCTCCCCCAGAAGCCCCTCCCTCTCAGCTCCAACGTCCCCCTTAATCCCCTCCCCCTTCCCCTCCGCCTTCCCCTCCCCCTTCCCCTCCGCCTTCCCCTCCCCCTTCCCCTCCGCCTTCCCCTCCCCCTTCTCCCCCGTCTCCCCCTCTCTTCCAGATGCACCCCCCCCGGAACCGCCCTTCCTGGCGTGGCTCCAGCGCCAGCTGTGCAGCGCAGTGCGCAGAATGGGCGGCAGGAGGGCGACGGCCGTGAGGGCGAGGGCGAGGGGGCGGGGGAGGACAAGCGCCGTGAGCATGCCCGCTCCCAAGAGCACCTGAACAGGAGGATTGCGGGGAGGGAGGGGGAGTAGGAGGGATGGAGGGATGGCTGAGCAGGCAATCAGGAAGAGGCAGGCAATCAGGAAGAGGCAGGCAATCAGGAAGAGGCAGGCAATCAGGAAGAGGCAGGCAATCAGGAAGAGGCAGGCAATCAGGAAGAGGCAGGCACCACGTTTGGTATCTGCAGCGCCGTCAGTAGTGAGACGTCTCATAACGTGCATAGTACCTGCATTGGGGCGAGCGCCTTCAGTAGTGAGACGTGTCATAACGTGCATAGTACCTGCATTGGTGCGAGCGCCTTCAGTAGTGAGACGTGTCATAACGTGCATAGTACCTGCATTGGGCCGAGCGCCTTCAGTAGTGAGACGTCTCATAACGTGCATAGTAACTGCATTGGGGCGAGCGCCTTCAGTAGTGAGACGTCTCATAACGTGCATAGTACCTGCATTGGGGCGAGCGCCTTCAGTAGTGAGACGTGTCATAACGTGCATAGTACCTGCATTGGGCCGAGCGCCTTCAGTAGTGAGACGTCTCATAACGTGCATAGTACCTGCATTGGGGCGAGCGCCTTCAGTAGTGAGACGTCTCATAACGTGCATAGTACCTGCATTGGGGCGAGCGCCTTCAGTAGTGAGACGTCTCATAACGTGCATACCTGCATTGGGGCGAGCGCCTTCAGCAGTGAGACGTCTCATAACGTGCATAGTACCTGCATTGGGGCGAGCGCCTTCAGTAGTGAGACGTGTCATAACGTGCATAGTACCTGCATTGGTGCGAGCGCCTTCAGTAGTGAGACGTGTCATAACGTGCATAGTACCTGCATTGGGGCGAGCGCCTTCAGTAGTGAGACGTCTCATAACGTGCATAGTACCTGCATTGGGGCGAGCGCCTTCAGTAGTGAGACGTCTCATAACGTGCATAGTACCTGCATTGGGGCGAGCGCCTTCAGTAGTGAGACGTGTCATAACGTGCATAGTACCTGCATTGGGCCGAGCGCCTTCAGTAGTGAGACGTCTCATAACGTGCATAGTACCTGCATTGGGGCGAGCGCCTTCAGTAGTGAGACGTCTCATAACGTGCATAGTACCTGCATTGGGGCGAGCGCCTTCAGTAGTGAGACGTCTCATAACGTGCATAGTACCTGCATTGGGGCGAGCGCCTTCAGTAGTGAGACGTGTCATAACGTGCATAGTACCTGCATTGGGCCGAGCGCCTTCAGTAGTGAGACGTCTCATAACGTGCATAGTACCTGCATTGGGGCGAGCGCCTTCAGTAGTGAGACGTCTCATAACGTGCATAGTACCTGCATTGGGGCGAGCGCCTTCAGTAGTGAGACGTCTCATAACGTGCATACCTGCATTGGGGCGAGCGCCTTCAGCAGTGAGACGTCTCATAACGTGCATAGTACCTGCATTGGGGCGAGCGCCTTCAGTAGCGCCAACGGATCGCTGCTCTCCATTCGCCTGATGAGCCTCTTTCCTGGAACCTTCGCCGCGTTCCCATCTCCGTGCTCCGTCGCGCTGGTCGGGTTACTACGAACAGCTGCTTCTGCCGGGTTCGCGAACGTGGGTTCGTCCGCTTGGAAGGGGATTTTGGCGGCGGAGTGAGCGGCATTGTTGGCGGCGCCTGTCATCGCGTGCGAAAAGGACTTGTTGTCGCGGAGATCGCAGGAGTCGTTAGTCGAAGCCACGATGACGCGGCTCACGCTTGCCGGCCATAGTCGCCGATTCACCCAGAGGTTCGCGAAAGGCCTGCGAAGAGGCTGTAATGCGTCCAAAACAGTTGTCGAGAGTCCAACTGATTGTGCGACCTTTCGCGGCTGTGCGACTTGAAGCGACGGTGCGACCCTATGCAGCTGTGCGACGGGCAACGTGTTCCACGGCAAGCGACGAATCGTGCGATTCGCACAGGAGACGGCGACAGATCGCATGACCAAGAAACAATCCTGAAACCTTGTCAACTATCGCGATTTTCAGCAGCCGTGCCGCAAGCAAAACGAGCTGGAAAAGGGCGAACTCGCGCGATCGTGGCTATTCAACGCAGAGTGAACAGCAGATGGAGCGCGACATATTTATACTGCAATTTAGTAAGGCAGGAGGAGCGAAGGAACGAGCTTGCGTGTGCGATTTGTTGTGGCGGCGATAGCGTGGGGCGACGCGACGCGACGCGAGGTGACTGGGCGAGATGAGGGGGCGGGGGAGGGTGACGTCAGGAGGGAAGGGGAACGAAGCAGGTGGGGCTACGTCACACTGACACTCGTTCAGGAAGAATCTCGTTGTAACTAGAACTTCATGTGAAAGTGACTTTGTACCTTAGAGAGTTTGTACTAGCAATGAGACATGATTGGGCAAACTATGGTCACAGTCGCCTCAAGCCACTCAGGTTTTCAAGTCCAGGGATTAAGGTCTTAATACTTCACAAAGTTTGAGACACAAATCCTACCTAATCACGTACAGAAAGGCAACCCATCTCTAGGGATCTAAAATTTCCACGCTACAGTTGGCACTCATTTCACCGTTTTCTTTAATTTCCCACAGAGTGCCATCAGGTTCTTCGCATGCCCCACTATAGCATAATTCCCCTGAGAAACAATCCGGGCAAGATTGGCACGGATATCTGCTTCAGACAATGACCCTTGACGAACAGTGTATCCGAATGTGTAGCGCTTGCGACGACCAGCCTTCGGAGTGGTGAAGTTCAGATAGGATAGGAGCTACCGTCCTTGGTAAGAGCAGTAGAAGTGCAGGAATGCTGTGCTGCGATCAAAGATGAACGCTGCCACGATCTCCTCGGGAAGGTTGGCTCAGTGTAGGGAGAAGGAGCAGGCAGAGGAGAGGTAGGCTGTAACTGTGACTCGGACTGGACAGGCGGTGGACACTCTAAGGGAGGAGCCGGACTAGCAGAGGGCGGAAGACCAAGAACCTGCTCAAGGAGCGGAACGAAGTACGGCCGCGGCCGCTCAGCACCACCAGCACCAGGAAGGGACAGCACCAGCACCCCGAACGACAGCACCAGCGCCAGCAGCACCCCCAGCTCCAGCAGCGCCAACTCCAGTACCCTCAGAGGCACCAGCACCAGAGGCACCCTCAGCGCCAACACCCCCAGCAGCTCCAGCTCCAACCGGACAACCAGAAGACGCAGCGGGTCCAGCTCCAGCACCCTCAGTAGCACCGACGCTCGCAGCACCACCAGCTCCAGTACGAGAAGCACCCGCATGCCCAGCAGCTCCAGTACTCCCAGTACGAGCACCTCCGGGACCCGCGGCACCAGCACCCTCAGCAGCAGCAGAACCTCCAGCACCCGCAGCACCTCCAGCTCCAGCAGCTCGCCTCCAGCGCCGGGCAAACCACTCACGCAGCTCCTGTGGAGAGAGTAGCTCCCGCCGGGACGAAGCACCCGAAGAGCCTCCAGGACCAGCACCGCCAGACGCCACACGAGCAGGTCCAGTACCCTCAGACTCCGCACCCCCAGACGCAGCACCCCCAGGCTCAGCACCCCCAGACGCAGCACCCCCAGGCGTAGCACCCCCAGGCTCAGCACCCCCAGACCCAGCACCCGCAGGCTCAGCACCCCTAGCAGCACCAGAGTCAACAGCTACCTCGACAGGGTCGACTGCGTCTACCTGAGACACACCTGAGGGGGCAGGACCCTGAGGGGGGAGGGGGTCTACCGGAGGGGGACCTGGCGTAAGGAAGAGCGGCGGGGGGGGGAGGGACGCAGTGCGGTAGGGGAAGAGACGGTAGTAGGGAACCGACTCGTCAAACGTGACGTCCTGGGAGGACAGAACACGGCGCGTCAGGGGGGAAGCCAAGGAAGACGCAGGGAACAGCACAAGGGGACAGCTTGTCCGCAGACAAGTCGCGGACAAACGCCCGAGATCCCCAGACACGGAACGCAGACGCATCGCCAACCTTCCCCGTCCACAGCAAAGCAGGGGAGGTCTCCGGCATGGAGACCCGGGGCTGAAGGTTGATCTGATGCGCCGCGTACCGAACCGCAAACGGCCACAGAAAATGGGGGGCAGCCGCATGGACCATGGACGTACGAGCGACGTCCATGACCATGCCAATGCGGCGCTCAGCAATCCCATTTTGCTGCGGAGAGTCCGGAAGCGTGAAGGTCTGGCGGATGCCTCGTGCACGACAGAAGGCTCGCAGAAGGTCAGAGGAGAACTCTCCGCCTCTGTCAGAGTGCAGACGCAGAACAGGAAAGTCCGAGCCGAAACTCTCTCTGAGCTGGAGACGAGCTGCGCGGATCCAGGCGATCAACACCTCAGTGTACCTCACCCTTGCTGCGCAAGGGGAAGACTACAGTGTAACGCGAGTAGTCGTCAACCACCAGCAGGAAGTAACGCTCGTGACCCTGTCCACGGACGCGGGCTGGGCCCCACACGTCCATGTGAAGCGTCTGCAGCGGAGCCTCTGTCGGAGGAAACTCAGAGGAGTGAGGAGCAGCGTGCTGCTGCCCCTCGACGCAGGGAACGCAGGTGGGGGCAGGCCCCGGAGGAAGGGGAGGGAGGGACCGGGGGAGACCAGAGACAAGGACACGGGAGGCCATGCCTCGAAGACGAGGCAGGGAGGGGTGACCAAGGCGGTGGTGCCAGAGGAGAGTCTGGTGAGACAGGAGACGACACGAGCAGGGGGCAGACTCAGGACCAGACCTGGACGCCGCAGCAAACACCTGACCCGACGCGGCTACCTGACCGGACTCAGCGACCGGAGGAGACTCAGTAGTCAGTGTGTACAGGCTCGACCCCGGTCGACGGGTAAACGTGGCCAAGTGTCGGCCCGTCCGAGCACACGTACAGTGGGTCCCTCGCTGACTCGCAGGAGTCAACTGGTGAACCCCTCCATCCTGCAGGTCAGCACCACTCACCAAGTTCGTAGAGAACGAGGGGAGGTAAAGACCCGACAGGGTGCCAGAAGGGGCCGCCGGACACGGTAGAACAGTGGAGAAGTGGGCAAGGACAGGACCCCCAGAGGGGTCTGCCAGGGAGACTGCCACTGGCCGACTAAGCGGCGTAAGCGTGGTGCGGTCTCGAAAGAAGGAGCGGGAAGCACCCGAGTCAAGGGTGAAGGTGTGGGTGGCCGGAGCCGACGCGGTACCTGAGAGCGCAGACTCACCAGCACCTGGGGCAGCAGGCTCACTGGCACCTAGAGCAGCAGCCTCACCAGCACCTAGAGCAGCAGCCTCAATTCCCGGGTCAGGCGGAAAACACCGG